AGTTGCTCGGAGGAAACGTCATGCTCTACTACCTTGTCTACATCTTCAACATGGCCGGCATGGTAAAGCCCCCCCCACCCCCCCCCCCCCCCCCCCCCCCCCACCCCCCCCCCCCCCCCCGACCCCCCCCCCCCCCCCCCACCCCCCCCTCCCCCTTCCCCCCTCTCCCCCCCTACCTTCATATTCCCCCTTCCNCTCCCCTCCCATGCCCCCCCCCCCACCCCGCCCCCCCCCCCCCCCCCCCCCCCCCCCCCCTCCCTAATCCTTACCTGCCCATCCGGGACCATGGCTAACCCAATTCTTAGTCTGGTAACGTGGCTCTGACATCCTCCATCATCCAATATGTTATTTTTCTCGTCACGACCGGCGCTATCCTGCCCATCATCGATCGTCTCGGCCGTCGTCCTCTCCTCATCGGCGGTGCCATCATCTGCTGTATCATCCACTTCACCACCGGCGCTGTCATGAAGGTCCACGGAAACCCTGTCGACAGCGTCAATGGCGACGACAACTTGAGGTGGGAAATCACTGGCCCTCCCGCGCAGGGCGTCATTGCTCTCTGCTACATCTTTGTTGGCGTTTACGGCCTCACCTGGGCTCCTATCGGCTGGATTTATGCTTCCGAAGTCTTCCCTCTCAAGTACCGTGCTACTGGTGTCGGTCTGGCTGCCGCCTCCAACTGGGCGTTCAACCTTGCCCTCGCCTTCTTTGTGCCACCCGCCTTCACCAACATTCAGTGGAAGACGTACATGATATTTGGAACCTTCTGCGCAGCCATGACCGTGCACATCTTTTTCACCTACCCCGAAACCTCTGGCAAGACTCTCGAGGAGATTGACGAGCTTTTCGACTCCAATGTCCCCGCATGGCGTACCAGGAGCGCAAGTGTGCGCTTCGAAGATCGTGTCGCGGCAGTTGAGGGCAGGAAGGAAAGTCTCAACACTTCGCATGCTGAGAAGGTTGAAGTTTAGAGCTGTGCATGTTTTTGGATTCGATTGCCATGGACGAGTCATTGATGCTGTCAAAATGTAGCGATACCCCATTATTCTAATTTTATTGATCAAGTTACCCCGACTGTCTGCGCTGCACAGGAAACTCGGTTTTCCTGACAAGATCCTCCCCATCCAGTAAACCCAACACATGTGTTCCCTAATGTTTGTGTAGTCAGTACTCACATCAGCTTCGGTGAAACAGCTCCGGTGAAAGGTGGCCGTCATCGGCTGCGATCGTCTTGCGCTTTGGGACGGGAATCTAGTGATGTGGCTGTTAACCATGACGTCGATCGACGTATTGACGTCATCTAGCAGCCATCGGTTGTTGCTCAACTACACTCGACTTCAACCGCATTTTTTCGAAGGCCGTTGCATGCGCGACATTATCTACTTCGATCCATAGCTGTCTTACGTTTACCAATCCAATCCCATCTCTCGAACTTCTACCAAACCTTGAAAGCAAGATAGTTACTATACCACCCGTACTACCTACGCAATGTCTTCCGAAAACACCACCACAAATACCCAACAACCCGGCCTCATCGCTGGCCATGCCGAGTACGTCAAGGGCGCCGCTGAGGTAAGGAACAAGGACTAATTCAGCCAATTTCAGCTGCAAGTACTCAAGGATGTAGGTGGCTGACAAGATGCGATACAAATAGGCCACCATCGGCAGCGTTACGGGCTCGCACGCCTGGACGTCTTCGGGAGAGCAGGATAAGGCGCACGCCGCATCGACGATGAAGGCTGCTGGTGAGCAGCGCGATGCTTCGACGCAAGGGTACGGCAAGGCCGAGGAGATTGCTGGCAAGGTCTTTGGGTGTGGGGGGATGGAGCAGGAGGGCGCTGCTAGTAAGAAGTAGTAGGGTTTACCGGGGAGGTGGCGCTTCACTATCACAACAGAGTCTTCACGATTGAACAAGAAACGTGATGCTGCTATTCTGAGGTTATGGGGTTATGGTACACGCGCATCGCGATCAATGCGATTTTCCTTGATTCAACTCCGCGAGCCACGGAACGTCGTAACCCGTTGTGACCCTTTGTGTACCGGGATTTCGACGTCGCCATCATCACCTGTGTCTCATTCTCAATCCTCTCCGTAAGAACCCTCGTGTTCTTTTGCAAATTGCCTACCCATAATCGGTAGCCACAGAAAATAGGTAACTTTGCATGGATCAGAATGACCAGTGTCGGCAACACCATCTGCATCTTGTACCCAATGCTCGCTGTAAGGCCCATCGTGTTCTGAATAAGTTCCTGATCTGCGATCAGAGCCTATCCAAACCTCCAGCCCAACACAAATCGAGCCAATTCTGCGTAAAGTGTCACTACAGCCTCATTCTCATGACGCAACCCACATCACCTCGTTGCGTACGCTTCCTGCGTTTCAGCACACTGGTGATGTATAGATATGGGCGTCTTTCCCTTCCACTCTTGTTCCTCGAGTGAGACATTTCTCTACATATATCCGACGGGATGCTGAGCACCCTAGTTCGTGACAGAAGCTAGTAGCGGTCAAACGTCCCACAAGAACTGCGACAGGGTTGCGTTCTTGTCCACAACGTTGAATGCTCTGCTTGAAAGCACTGGCCACGTCAAAGTGGGCAGCTTCAGTCTGCTGCGTTTAGTTCTGGAGCCTTCGACGACGTGCGCGAGCACAAGATCGGCCATGGCTACCCCGCGAACGGCGGGAATCTCAATGTGCGGAGAAAACTTCAGCTCTGGTATCATGGGACTCGTCTCGATGATCCTGTCAAAGTCCTCGAGAACCTCGAGGCACAGGTCGAAGATGGCAAAGTAGTTGATCCGCGCCGAGGGAGTAGGCCCCTCAAATTCCTCCATGATCCTCTTCGTGGCCCTCTTGAGGAATTCTGGGGTCCGCTCAGCTTCGTTTTTCTTGGCGAGCTTGTCTCTGCGGACGTGGTCGAAAGGTAGTTGGTCGCTTTCCTCGTAGACATGAGCGAGGGTTATGAGGCTCACATGGTGATTGCCGGCGCTTTGTTGGCCAAACGTAGACTTGAGCTCCGCAACTACGGCTTCTCTGTTCACCCCGATCTCGATTTTGGACCCGGCGTTTTTTAATCTCCTTCGTGAGCAGCCTTTGATGAGAGCTCCGCCGTAAACGGCTCGACGGAAGATGGAGAGAAAGTTTCTATCGGGCAAGTGATGCAGGAAGATGTTTGCCTTGAAAAGCTGGCACAGCTCATCCATGACCGGGATCTTCGGGAGCTGGAAGGCGGATCGCCGAAGAGCATTGTAGAGGTGAAGGGTCGCCGGGATTATTCCAGAGTAGCTGACAAGCACCTTGGCCATGCGTTGGCTCTTGTGCAGCATCTCCACCATGTGTGCGCCGGCGGTCCAGGGCGCCCGATAGTAGAGATCGAATCGCTTCTCCGAGACGTAGTCGTTCAAGGCGCCGTACAATTCCTCCATGTCGTCGATGAAGCCATCGGTGGTGGGGCCGACTAGGGAGGTCTTCAAGATGTTCGTCGTGGTGCGCACGCTGGCTCTCATCTCCATTGCAAGCTGGAGAGCTCGGATCCTTGCGTCTTGCTTATTGAGCTTTCCTTCTGGCCAGCGAAAGGCGTCGTAGGTCGTCAGGAGTAAGTCTATGCCGAAGACCAGCTTCGTCGACGCAGGTTGGTCTGGGTGATTGAAGAAACCCTGGATGTCAGGTAAGATTGGCTCAGAAGGTCCCCATCGTCCAGCAGATCCCTCAACACAGAGCTCCAAACGCTCCACAGCTCGCTTCTGCGTCAGAGTTGTGTGCGTGTTTTGCAAAATCTCCAACACGCCAAATAGGTGTTCCTGATCAATTTCACCGGCTTCGGTTTTGTGCCTATGGGGTTCGTGCGGGTCTCTCTGAATGACCAAATCGTCAAGGTTGAAGACTGAATGGTTGTCGTTTCCAGAGGGTATCGAGGGATAGGAACGGATGAAGGAGGAAAAGTCGCAAAAGCGGACGGGGTCCTTTAAGCCGTCGGTCTCGGAATCAACATCCGGTTGCACGTCGAGAAATTTTCCGACCTTGATGCAAGTATTTTCAAAATCGGAACTCGACACAGGAAAGTAGCCCTCGATCATGGTCTTGATCAACCCGAATGCTATGTTAGTGAGCCACGCCGCGGCGGGTATCGGAATCGTTCCTTTGCCGGCTTCGATCCAGATCTGCATCACCTGGGCGCGCAGCTTTCCAATCTCCTACAAATGTGTCAGACCCAAGAAGGTCCCATCAGGAGATGCCTGTTGAAAGACATTTGCCAGCTTACATGCAGAATGGACGCCACCTCGAAAATCCTACTCATCTCGTCATCTTCAAGCTCGCAGCTTGGCTTCTGCACGACAGCCTTGCCCTTTCTCTTGGCCGATCGCGAGTGGCGAGCAGTATGAAGTTTCGGTGGCGTAGGTAAAACTGGGGAGGCATCGATGTCGGCTTCTTCTTGAATGGACGCAAGTGTAGCGAAAGTATTCAGCGTCCCGGTGTCGATGCCTGGGATCGCTGGGTGGCGAGGGTTCTTGGAGTTTGCCATCAGGGGCGTCAGGATGCGCAAGGTTTCCTCCAGTCTGGTTACTGTTGTTAGTCCAGTATTGAATTGCTCCATGAGGATAACTCGCCTCTTGATGAAGAACGTATGATTGGCGTCGTCAGCATCGAAAGTCTTGTAAATTTCGAGGACTTCCCAACGCTTGGTGATGGCGTGACGAAGAGGTCCAATAACGGAGGGCGGCACAGCACATTGAGACTTTTCAAGAACCCTGGCGATCCTTACAATGTCTCTGGTAGACGTGATCGGATTCTCGGTCATGTCTCCAGGGACCTCGGAGTGATACTGAGCCACCATCCATCCCAGGAAGCAATTTGTTGAGAGCTTGTACGCCTCATAACAAGCCGAGAGGTCGTGGCCTTCACCTGGAGACATTCTTGATGAGCTTGACAATGCAAGGTGAAATGCGTAGGGGTATGTGAAGAAGTAGAAGAAGTGAAGTCGGGAGGGTAGGTTCACTGGTGGAGGGAGAAGCGATAAAAGTCTAGTGGAAAGGAGCTGGACTTTTTTTGTCGGAGCAGAGTGAGATTTCCTTCAACCAGTCCGTTGGGAAAGTGCACTGAGAGCCCGTTCTCACTACGGAATTTTTTGATTGGGTCCTCAATCACCTGAGTGTATTCACATGGCGCATGATATGTATGTGAATACACTATGTGATTCTTTGCAAGAACCCTCCCCACTCCCCTTTCAGTTATAGAGGAGGCTACCTAGTGTGAAGGGCAGGCCATATATGTGGGCAATAGTTGGCAGCAACCAGCCCACCTAGGCAACTAGACCATGAGGCCCAACCTGAAGTTGTTCAATAAGTCCCCGACTTGTAGCTTGGTTGCACTGAAGTAGTACGGGCCCGGGAAGGGGGACCATAGGCGTCCAGCCCTTAACATATAGGGGATCTTGACTATCATTTAGTGTGTCCTTTGTATCGACTTGTATGAATGTCAAAATACTATACTTGTGTTGAATGGAGAGTGAAAGACAGAAAAACTTTAGCTGTCTGGCAACATCTTGACTCCTTTTTCTTTATCAATCGGCACCGCAAACAGCGGATATCTCCCTCAACAATTTCTCAACTCGTAAGTAGTCCCCACCAAACTGTTTACTGCCGCCAATTTATACTAATGAGACATGAATTTGCGTAAATACTCGTACCGAAGCGCATGATGCATCAGTCAAGAACTGGTGCTGGTTCATCCTGGACGTGACTGAGGCTTTGGCCGAAGTGTTCGGCCCAGAGCTCCCCTGCGTTAAATCTGGCCCACAGACCAAACAAACGACTCTGTAGTTACTTATGAAGAGATGAAGGCTGTCTACACTCACCTCGTCAAAGAGCTTCCCAAAGGGCGGGTTGGCACTATCAACCTCTCTCGGCGTGGCTCGAACCACAATACCGGAGCAGGAGACTTCTTTGGGAATAATACCCGGCCGAACGGTCTTCTTTGACCCTCTGAGAATGATCCAGTCCTTGACTTTGGACCTTTGGTCGAGTTTCCTTGGCAGTCCTTCAACTCTCGTGTCCAACTACGCCTACACAATTGATGAGGCAGATCGGCTAGTCGGGGATGGAAATTGGATTGCATAAATACATTTGGCTGGCCTGTCATCTACAATTCAGTAAGTAGTGCATTCAACATGTGTTTTAGGAACATGTAACATTCATTTATACCCGCCACTAACGGCGTCATTTTTGCGACCAGATGCTTCTTGTTCTGCAATCCGACAGCACTCCAGAATAATATATCTCGAATCAAAATTGGCATTGCCTTTCCAGAGAACGATCGAGGCAAGAACTTCCATTAAAGACTATACCAGGAACCGAATGGAAACTATAATGATAGGCCCTTCGCCGTTGCCAAGAGAATTATGTCTTGTGGCAGCTCATACTGGTATTCCTAGGAGCTCCAAGGCAAAAATGAATTAGTAAACATGAGGCGAATGGAGAAAGAATGTTCACAAAACCGTCTTCGAGAATCTTGGAGGCAAGAATACTTAGTTTCATTGATGAATTGTATTGAAGTGTATTGGGGATGTTCGAGATATGCTAAAAGGCTAATGTTCATGTGTTCCGTCCCTTATTCCAACTGAAACCACCGTGTTTCGTTCACTTAAATATCTTTGAGCATCATTTCATAAGTATGTTCATCATGGATGAAGCGAATCATTACTACCCTCTCCAGCTCACACCAGTTGAAGATATGGCTGACGATGGGCAACCAGCTTTTCAACACTCGAAGTGATGGACAGGTCTCCAGAACAAGTCGCAGAGGTATTTGTGGTACTTCTCTCCAGGTCCCTCAAAGCACGGAAGCCTCCTCGAACACTGTCGGCCTCGAATCCCTTCGCACGCAGGACACTGGTGGCGACTCTAGCACTGTCGCCATCATAGCACAAGACGAGGATTGGCTTCTGTCGATGGTCTTCTAGCTGTCTGCCGACTTCTTTGCTCGAGTCGAACGTCGCCTCCAACTCGAGCCACAGCTTTTCAAGAACCTTTGCGTCAGAGAACGGCTTCCAGTCACTGGACTCGACGACTGGAATGTTTTCGGAACCTGCGATTTGGTGCGCCTGATAGTCTTCGCTTTGTCGCAGATCGATGATGATCGTGTTGGGAAGGCGGGGGATGAGTGAAGCGCTGCTGTTGTCGACATAGCGCGGCGTGCTCGGCAAATGGGTATCGTTGGTCTGAATATCGCTCGCGGAGGGGATTTGCATGAAAACTTCAGTCGCAGTCTTTTCCCATGCTTCGTCATAGCGGTGAAGGTCCACCTTTTGAAGGTTCTAAGAGTAATGTCAGTCTTCTGGGTGAGAAAGTTGGGGATAATGTGCGTACCTCGTTGTGGATTGCTGGGAAATGCTCAGGTCCCAATTTCGCAAAGTACTCATCGATGTACTGGTAAGGCAAGTCGCAACAGATAAAAACGCAATGAATCTCGCCAGACTCATCAGTCAGCTCCTTCAGATTGTCTGCCGCGATACGCTTGTCAAGGAACTGGTAAAGGCCTTGCAGGTTAAAGCCAGAGGACGGGCCGGCGATGAGACCTTGTCTACACAGGTCCAGCGAGAGCGAATACGAGTGGTGAGAGCCAACATGCTCAACGTGGTCAACTGCAGATCTCCAAGGAAATTCGACGGGTTGGAGGAGAGCGTAGGAACGGGGGCCGGGAACACGGTCACCAGGTGCGGTGCAGACACCGAGCCTATACACTGACGGCTTGGCTTGCTTGAAGTAGGTTCCCAGACCGGTAAGGGTTCCTATCGATATGATATCAGTTGGTAGTACTAACATTGTTTGGCATTGATCTTACCAGAAGTGCCCATTCCTGCGCAAATGAGAGAGATTTGGGGCAACTGCTTGAAAATCTGAGGTCCAGTCCACCGCACGTGGGATTTCCAATTCTATCAAATTAAATGTGTCAGTGCTTTCTCACGTTGGATGAAGCATGAAGTACACTCACATCATCATTTTCATACTGGTTCGGGTTGAGCGCCGTGCCCTTGTCGCTGCCCATAGTTCTTGCGGCGCAAATACCACCTCGTGGGTCTAGAGGCTCAGGTTGAGAAGGTCCTCCGAATAGGGTGCTGGTAGGCAAGCAGTTAGCTGTGCTGTACGAAGATCATTGGAAAATTAATGAGAGGAGTGGGTTTACTTACATGTCCAGACCAAAGAACTGCATCAATCTCAACTTGGCCTGACTTGTCTTGTTGCTGAGAAATGCTCGAACGTCTGGTACGCCGTAGTAAACTCGAGAAGCCAGTGACATGGAGATGACTGTGGAGCCGGAGCTGTACTCCACGATTGTCTCGGTTTTTCCTGGAACAACCCCCTTCTGAAGCAGATTAAGTGCTGGCATGGCCTTGACGTTGTTGGCAGGATGCATCGACATCATCTTGGCGAATATCCGGACGCCATGTTGGCGATAGGGGTTCAGGGCTTCTGGAACCTCGACAAGTGGCAGTGGCGGGGCAACATCAGGGTCGAAATAGTTTCTGACAGAATCTGGCCCTGTATAAACATTGAGGTGATTGGTTTGATCCATTGCGTTCTAGCGCTCCTTCAAAAGACTTGAGTAAGAAAGACTTGTGTAATAAGGAATAGTGATAGCAAACGAGACTGGTTGTCAGATGGTCTCGTTTTAGGAGACTGCGAGTGCTACTTTATACCCTCTCTTCCTCTCAAAAGACTCATTTTCCCGAGGTGTCCCGAAGATACAAAAAGAACTCAAGCTATTCAACTCAAACTATGTTTCGAATGCATCACTTGACCATCCTGTCAGGCACGGCCACCTTAGACGCCGCAGATATCCGCGGTCAGTGGACCGCCATCTGGCAATGTACTCTGCAGTGACATTTTTAGAGGGCAACCATGAAGTCAGGATGCATGAAACTCGGCCTGCCAGTGATTTTTGGCACCTTTCCTCCTCCTTCCTTTCCCACTTTCCCGGTCCTACTCCAATGAACGACGGATATCGACAACCTCCCGTGCTTGGACTAATGCGATGCCCCTGTCGACAATGTACAACGCCGGCCTTAAGAAAGTCGATTGACACGAGTCATCAAGGTCATTCACAATTGGTAACGCTGGGCGTCTCTGTCATCGAGGAACCTTGTGAGACGGGCGTCTTGCTGCATCCTGCAAGGGCATACGTAACGCTGTGCTGCCGATCATCCTTCTGGAGAGTAACACGAGGCCCCAAAAAACAATCAAAAAAAGAGTCGCAATCCGGCTCAAAAGTGCCGTGATGAATGGATCCAAAACCGTTGCGCTTCGACAATATATAAGGAGAGCTCAATTGCGAAGTTTTTAGGGAGTTAGTTTGAGCTCGTTTCCCCAAGTTGAGCATGTTTCGCTGGAGCATTCCAGCCAATCCACAAGGGTTCTCGTTGCCAAGGCCATCCCTGTCGAACCGGGCCAGACCGTCAGATGTCCGCGCAGGGTTTCGATTCCTCCGCCGGACCGCTCAATCCTCACGACGGTCTTGGAAACAGGCAATAGTCTGAACTTGGCATCCGGTACTATACAGTCACGAATCAGGGGTTTACATGCTGAACAACGGACCGATGTGACTTTGAGAGCGCAGACGCTGATGTCGCCATTTAACCTGACAGCCGGGGATCGGTCTCCGATCTTACAAACGACCGACGTCGGGGACTGTCTTCCTTGTCTGTAAGTGTTTGCTCACATCTTTTGAGCTAAACAGATGCAACCTCAGAACTTTTTGTTTATTCCACTTGAGGTATCTCAAGTTTGCTTCCTATATTCAACATGGCCACTCAAAACGAAAAGATGAGTGGCATCCTCACTGAAGCTGCTCCTGATGCTCCAGCAGCTGGTCAGATTGTGTTAAATGCCAATCCTGAGACGGCGAATAGGTCTGAAAATGAGAAACCCAGGCATGAATTCAACGAACAGACAAACTATGTTCGTCCAAGGACCATCATTACAGTAAGTCGCATTACAGGGCAAACAGGCCCAAGCGGCTTTTTAACTAATCGTCGCTTTTCAGATCTTCCTGGCCTGCGCCAGCGTGGATCTCGTCGCTCTCATGGACCAAACCACACTCGCAGCCAGTCTGAACATCATTGGCAACTCCCTCAATGCCAGTAATCAGACAGCCTGGATTGCCAGCGGATATTTCATGTAAGTACCGACGAGCCGTTGTACTAGTAGTGAGGCAACTAAGAGGTTCCATCCAGAACATCCACTGTCGGCCAGCTCCTCTACGGACGTCTTTCGGACATCTGGTCTCGGAAAGTGATCCTACTCATCGGCTTGGCGATCTTCTTCACCGGCTCTCTTGCCTCTTCTGTCTCGAATACTGGTACCCAACTCATAATCTTCCGAGCCTGGACGGGTATTGGAGGTGGCGGTCTGATGACCGTTGCGCAAATGATTGTGAGCGATGTGGTGCCGCTTAGGGAGAGGGGTAAGTATCAGGGCATTCTGGTGAGTACATCACCTCCCTGGGTGATATCGATTCTGAATGACAACAAACACTGTCAAAGTGCGATCATCGCCATGTTTCACCTCAATTACTAACGGACAATAAAGGGTTCCGTCGTTGCCATTGCAAACGGCATAGGGCCCGTCATTGGCGGAGCTCTTGCTTCCCACTCGAGAGACTCGTGGAGATGGATCTTCCGGCTCAACATGCCACTCACCCTTCTATGTACGCTCTGCGTCATCTTTTTCATGCCACTCAGAAAAGTGGAAGGCAATTGGAAAATGTGAGTAAATCTTTATAAGCGTTCAATCACAGTTGATTTACGGTCATGGCTCACTCTATTCACAGCAAAATCAAAGCTGTCGACTTTGTTGGAAGCTTCCTCGCCTTGGCTGGAACGACTGTGCTCATGCTCGGCCTGACATGGGGTGGCGGTGACCATCCATGGGATTCCGCATACGTCATTTCCACCCTCGTAGTAGGATTCTTCGTATGTATCGGCTTCACCTGCTGGCAGTGGAAAGGTGCCAAGTTCCCTTTAGTGCCTTGTGAGTTGAAATCATCCCGTTTTTCGATACAATAATCTAACGAAAATGTCTAGTACACATTTTCAGGTCGAAAATTGTGAATGGTGCTTGTATCACCATGGCAATCAACGGATGGAACTTCGTCGTACAGGTCTACTACATTCCCGCCTTCTATCAACTAGCTTACGGCTACTCGGCTACAAAAGCCGGCGCCATGTTGCTTCCAGTCACTCTGACACAGACGCTCTTCAGTACTTTGGCAGGTCTTGTCGTACACAAAGTTGGGCGCTACCGAGAGTGCATCTTGTTGGGATGGGTCATGTGGGCCGTTGGTGTTGGTCTGATGTCGACCCTTGATGAGAACTCTAGCGTTGGTCAGCAAGTTGGATACTCACTACTTGTTGGTGCCGGTGTTGGCAACACACTTCAACCGTGAGTGATGCAGGCAAGCCCAGGTATAAATGCTGACTTGAGCTGACTGGTACTTTTTAGAGCATTAATCGCAATACAGGCTGGTGTAAGTCGAAGAGACATGGCCGTGGTTACCTCGTTCAGAAAGTGAGTCAGCTTGATGTTTCCTCGATCCTCTATCACAAATGTCTAGCCATGATGGGTTACTGACGACATCTATAGTTTCATACGAAATTTTGGAAGCACCATTGGACTCGCCGTTTCTGGAACGATTATGTAAGTCCAACCTTGAACCCCAGAGAACTTTTAATCGCCTCGTGAGAATTGACCTCAATCGACAGCAACAACATTCTCGCAAGTAGTATAGCTAGCCTTGGTTTAGGGGACGACGAGGCGCGAAAGCTGCTTTCGAATCCTCAACAGGTGCTGTCCAATCTGCCGCAAGCCGAGTCACAAAGTCTACGTGCTGTGATCTTGCCCAGCTACCGCAGGGCATTTCGCATCATCTTTCTGGTCATGGCAGGACTTGCCGCTGTTGCGTTCCTTGTGGCATTCTTTATGATGCCACAAGTAGAACTAAGTAGACCCGATGAGGCGAAACTGAGAGAGGATGCTCGTCAACAGTTGGACAAACCGCCAGCCGATGAAAATCAAATGAAGGCTTGAGGATCCTGGATTCTATAGGAATACGTAAAGTAGGTAAAGACTTAGTTCGACGATGACAACAATATTTCCAACATAGTCAATCGTTAGTTCAATCGTTAGTTGCCTCTAGCATAGTTTCCAAGATGCGATTTCCACATCCTGAATGGCAAAATAACTGCCACGTCTTACTTCTGGTTTCCACGGAACACTGGAACAGCTGCATGCCTCTTTCTGCGTCCATCTCCATGGCCTGGAACATGGCAGAAGTGGGCGTTTTTTCCCCTGAGCCTATGTTCTTCAGACAGGATTTCATGATCTTGTGTATAGAAGTATCTAATGTCAGTAGCTAGTAGTCCTGCAGAAGAGCAAAAATAAACCGGCTAGTGAGCAAGGTTTTCTCTCTGGTCCCAACCGACATTGTGCCGCCTAAGATATCGAGATCTGACTCAAGCTACTTACGTTATGAACAGCCTTGTCCACACGAATCATCACTAATTTATTACTAATTTATTACTGGACAACGTATGAGAAAAATGATCAATTGCAAAAACGAATATGTAGACCAAGGCCCCTCAATCAACAAATGATAGCGCTATGTGCTTATCTTGCGCTTGGTGCCCTCTTCTCATTTTTATTTGCTGAATGCCGATTACCAAACAATACTCAGGCAGTCTGCCCGGCTTTCTCCTAGAAGCTTTGGCCAGTGTGACTGTCTACGCTCCAACGCATTCCCCTTCACAGTGAACATGAGGATATTCGTCTGGGCAGGTACATTTGAGCCACAGGAACCTATCCTTGCATCGTCCCAAGACACAGGCACCATTATCATTCGTGCAGGAAGTCTCTTTGTACAAAAGGCTGAAAGGGTGGCACTTCTTTGAGTTCGCCGTGACGGTGCCGGCTACGTAAAGCCCGGAGAGAATAAGAGAAAGCTTCATCGTCTACCACCAAGTTAATTCACCAAGAAGTAGTTATAGTTATAGCTATAACCAGAGATGAGTTGCTTACTAAAGGGGAGGCTAAAAGAGTACTGGTGAAGTGACTTTAGAGTCCAGGGTAAAAGGCTTAAAGGCACCTGTAGACAGCAATGAAGCAAAGAACTTGGTTTAAAGGAGAACTAGATAGACACTGATAGGGGCAAGAAGTATGAGTTTTATTAATTGAGTTTCCAGGTGAAGAAAAAGAAAGTTGGGTTCGATGAGTTTTTATGACCAGATCCGTGAGACAGTCGGTTTCCATTTTTGTAACATTATTAAATAAATCTGCTAGGCTAGGGAGTTGATGATGGGAAGTGCGGGATCCCATAACGCCCTGACCTCGATATTACCGACTATATGAGCTGAAGTCAATGAAACGCCTTTCACTAACGGTAAAATCATTCTTTCTTCATTCAACCAGCTAAAACGCCGTGAATGGACGTTGGCAATTGCCGAAATGGTGTCACGTAACTGGTGGTGAGATAACGTATGGTTGATGCCATCACGACAGGAACCAAATGGATACCGTTTTGTGGGAAGTTCCGGCGGTAACAACTTGCAGACCATCTCTCCGTATTCCAGCTCCTACTCCCCATCCCACTTTACACACCATCTATCAGTGAAGCTGGTCTATGGAGATATCAGTGCTAAACATGGGCATCACTCTAGCGTCAAACTTTCTTGTCCGGGATTGCCGACAGAACGGCCGAGCAACTAGTGTAAGGCAAGGTAGCTTCAAAATGAGGTCAATTCTAATATTCGACCAAGTCATGCAGCTTGATCAAAGAAAAAACTTCGAGTGACTAGCAAAACTTTCTGCCGCTTGATTGCCCAAGACGATCATTGAGAGATGTTGGATGCAATCTGGGCGTTACCGTCCCTGAAAGCTTATTTTAATTAAGTCATAGAGTTGACAGTGCTTCCCAAAGATGTGAGGTTGATTGCGCTGCTGAAGTTGCTAGCTTCTGAAGCCGAGTTTGAATTGGCCAGATGCTAACCGACAATGGCTGATATCAACCAGGATTCGCATTATTCATGTCGCGAATGATTAACGCGGATGACAATCTGCTGCCAACTCTCGCTAGATATCGGGAGAAACAAACATGAGATCGCACAGGCTACCGAAATGAGGTGCAAGTCGAGACCTGATGATTGACAGTAGATAGTCGTTGAACATCTATAGCAACGCCAATATCTAGACGAGAACGTATCTGTAGCAGCAGATTGAGCTATCAGGGCGTCTTCCTTCCTCCACAGCACATGCTGGGATGTCACATCCACTCAGCAGGAAGTGCGGTGATGGCGCTGATCATTGATGTTTTGGTGGACATTCCCCAGCCCACTCAGAGTCGCAAAGGGCGACAGGACATCTCAACGGTACGACCAAGTTGCACCTCAAGCTTGCAAGCCACAACTTCCCTTGGAGCGTCTTAGTCTTCGAGGCGTATGCTGCCACTGGCATCAAGCTTCTACGAATGAGAATGGAGGCGCCTCACATATAGACATTAAGCACCCGAAGCGTGCGTTCAGACAATCGTCAACTTCATGTGGATGATTCTGCCACAGCCACGCTCACAACGCCATCGTTCGAGTTGTGAGCTCTCATTCGAGGACAGCTGGACAAATTCTTCACTGTTTTGCAAGACAACACGACAAAGGCGAAAGTATGTAGATGCCTATAAATGAAACGGCTTCTAGACGGTGCGAACCAGAACCCGAGATCAACGAAGGATCCAATCCCAGTATTACTCTCCAACCACCCATAACCCAAGGGTTTTACCAGCAGCGCCTTTCATGGGTGAAACCATTTCCCCCAAGGGAGAAAGAGCCACCATTAGTTATGCTGCGGCGGGCGGTCGTTGCTATCTGAGGAGAGAAAAAAAGGGAAGGGAAGCCAGGAAGAAGGCGCGAGACGTTGCGGCGGTTTTGTACACGTGAGAGAATTTTCGAGCATGGTCTGTGCGGTGGGTCATGCTTAGCTAATGTAGATATTGATCCTGACGCTATTGTCTGCACAGGTACCTCGTAGGTAAGCATTTTTCCACAGGCAAGGGTCCCTTTGCAGCATAGATCACGTGGTCACCAAAGCTTAGGAAGTGGTTCGCGTTGATTGGTTGACGGCAGCCGAAAAGCCGAGGGGATTCCCGTGCTTCGCTTCAATCGGAGAGTCTAGCGATGGAGGTGGACAGCCTCCAATTTGTTCCTTTGGCGCAGGAGCTTGAAATCAACATCCTCAACCTCGACGACTCACGCACGGCACCCGTCCCCCTCCGGCCGAAATCCCTACGCGCCCTCCCGAATTCGATATAATCTCGATTACTAAAACCAACGCATCTTATAATTCCAACATGATTGCGCAACGGGTGGGCGTGTCGGCCCTGCGCCGAGGTTCGTTTACATCATAGACGTTCCGGATAGAACAGAGGACAATGGAAGGCTGACGAGAATAATCAACAGCGGCAGCAAAGCCTTCCGTCTTCTTCAACCACCAGATTCCCAAGATCGTAGCTTCACAAAGCATGTCCACGACCCAGGCCCGGTACGCAATTGGTCCACCCCCGTCCTTCCCTTCGCCTTTGATGCCCATCCTCCCGACTATTCCCTCACGCCGAACAACTCGATAAACCAATCTCAAAGTTTCTAACATGGTCTCCCAATCCTAACAGCCCCGTCGCGACCACCAAGCTCACCCCCCAAGATGGCCTCGAGCTCCTCGCAAAGCAGCGCCTCAGCCGCCCCATCTCCCCGCACCTGGTCATCTACAAGATGGAGCAGACCTGGTTCGGCGCCTCCATCTGGACCCGTATCACTGGCGGCGGTCTCTCGGCCGCCTTCTACGTCTACTTTGGCACTTACCTCGTCGCGCCCCTTCTCGGCTGGCACGTCGAGAGCCAGTCCCTCATCGCCGCCTTTGGCGCCCTACCGCTCGCTGCAAAGGGCGGCCTCAAGTTCCTCGTCGCCTGGCCCTTTACTTTCCACTTCTTCAATGGCATTCGCCACTTGACCTACGACTTTGCTCTCGGCTTCGCCAAGCCTGAGATTGTCAAGTGGGGCTGGGTCATCTGGTCCAGCTCGCTCGTCGCGGCTGCCGGCCTCGCTTTCGCGTGGTAAGGGAGAGAAAATGAGGATGTTGAGGGAACATCAGAGGTGGTAGCACGTGGTGGCTCTGGTTCGGGGACGTTGGAGACAGACGAAATGGCGAGAGGAGGATGAGTGATGGGAGATTTGGGGGCAAACTGGAGTTCTGATTGGTTGGCGCCTGGGTTTTGCTGGGCGTACGGCCTCCCATCCGCTTAAGGCGAGGGATTGTATAGACTGAAAGCTGTAAAATGAATTCCCTTGAGTCACAAACACGTTAATCAATTGTTAAGTCTCAATCTGCCTTTCACATGATGGGCAAGGCGCAAGTGCCAGTCAAAGACCACAAGCAGAAGAATAATTAGGCTGAATACTGGACGCCGACGGTCTCAATTTATGTGGTATGCCTCCCAATAACCATGTTTTGCCATGCCTGATCCAAACGCCGTTACGCCTCCCAAAGACTACCAACACTAGCTGCGTTACTCAATGTTCCTAGCATCCAAGACGTGTTTGATCAATCTCCGGTTACCCAGACCATTCAGCCGCTCTCCAAGGATGGGCCCGATGAACTCGTTGAGCTCGGCGGCATAGCTGTGGGCGCTTCCGTTGATGCCGTTGACAGTCGTCCTATCGTCCTCAATCATGCTGGCAATAGCCTTGAGGATTCCACCAACGAGCATCTCAAACTCGACGCCCTCGCCTTTCTCCTTGAGAGGCTGCAGAATGTTGTCGTTGTAGGCCCTCAGACACTTGAGCACCAAGACGCGCACCGCTTCGGGACCACCTGCGGATGCAACGCCCGTGATGGCGCCAAAGTGCGTCGAGGGCGGCTTGTCGGGGTCCATGAAGAACTTCAAGCACGTCCGCACGAGCTTTGGGCGTAGCAGGTTATTCGAGGCGGCGTACTTGCGCGCAATTTGGCCGAGGAGCGAGGCGGAAAACTCCCTGAGCTGGTACTGTTCGCGCATAGCGTCGACGCCGTCCTCAGCGCCGATCTTGCGACTGAGGATGCACGTGAGCACGGGGGCGGCGATGGAGTTGGCGTAGGGGTCGAGGTAGAGCTTTGTATTTGCGATGAGGGCGGCCGTGAGCTCCATGGCCTGGCGGAGGGTGAAGACGTCATCGAGGCGGTGGGTAACCTGGTTCGCAACAAAGTTTATAAAGTAGGGGATCAGCTGGTGCAGGCCCGGGTCGTCACGAACGGATTCCAGGGCGGCCTGGCGGAGGCGCACCACCTCCTCGTCGGGGTTATCGTCGAGGATGGCGTTTTGGACCTTTTCGAAGTAGAGAATGAGCTCTTTGGAGACAACGTGCTTAACGGCGGGACGGAAAGAGAGGTTATCGTTGCCGGCCAGGGCGGCGAGGGCTGGGTTAGCACCCTGGCCCTTGGGCACAAGTTCTTGACTTCGCGATTCGGCCGTGGTGGGGTTTTGCGGGATGGATGGTTGGACGCCTTCGATGGCGAGCCAGTGTGCTGGATCGGCGACAGTTAGCAGACACAATGATGTGCAGGCAGGCAGGAGTGAAGAAAATTACGCACCCGTGAAGCTCATATCACGCGGCACTTTGGGCAGAGGGGCATTGATGAGCTTCTCGAAGTCGACCTCCTCATCTTCAAGATAGAAGAGCGGCTGCCCGGGACCCAAGCTAGCCTCGCCGTATCGCAGTGGACGCGTCGAGTCGTATCCGTAGAGAGGCTCAATATTGAGAGCCTTGAGCGCGGTGCTGATGTCGTTGACCGTCAGGGTGGTGCGGCGGGAGGCACGCATGAAGCGCAGGGCCTCGACGAGGACTTGGCCGATCCGGTACTCGACATCTTGCGTGAGGCAGCGCAAGGCGTCGTCGTTGAGGTTGGGGATACCGACGGACTCGGCAACGTCCTTGACGTTGTCGGGATTCCAAAGGAGCTTCGGCGCGTCCTGTTGCGCCATCGCGCCTGTGGTAATTGGTTATTCTTTTGTTGTGATGAAAGCGCCGGCGAGGATGCGCTGGTTTGGCGTGAGAGGAGGAAGACGAGGCTGAGGGAAGGAAAGTTGGGGTGGGACGGCAGGCACCGCTAGCCAGGGGACGAGCTCGGGACGGCGCAGGGCAGCCTCAGACAAGGTCAGCGGGCCGGGCGGTCGGTGTGGGGCCAGCAGGAATCGGCAGTGGGAAGGTCCAGTCAGCGTATCCAGTTCAGAGGGAGCAGAATTATGTAAGTAATCTTCCAGCACAAGTATCTCTTCAAATTTGGATGGTTTCGAAAGAGGAGAGGCGCCGTCATCTACTTCTGCTTGGTTGTGAACTTTTTTACGGACTGCCCGAGCTATTGAGACTCGTACACGTCTAAGGGTTGAGGGCAGAATTGGCGCTCGCGTCACTCGTCTCCGACTTCATCATTATCAGTCCGGCGACATTCATACTGACGTCAAATCGCCGAAGAGCGTACATACAGATTCTGCAACTCTCGAGTAAGCTTTTCGTTGTGAATACTAACGCCGTCCCTCAAGCCATATGCCGTTCTTGGCGCTTTCTGCCCTTCGTTATTCGGCGATGCCTATCATTGCCCTGGCTGAATGACAGTGTACCCCTCGATTAAGGATAGCTACCTGAGCTCTAACTCGGGGTCCCTCACCAGAGTTGGTACCTACCTCCCTTGGGTTCTTGACCAAGACTCGCCGAGAGTCAGCCAACTCCCCTAACTCCGTGTTCCCCAGCTGTTGCGTGTCATGGCACAGCGGAACGGCACTAATGCAATCGGATTATATTGTGGGCCTCGAGCCGGTGCGCGGAGGCGGAGGAGCGGGCAACACTGATGCTGTGACGCCGGGAGTGAACGTGTTAGTCGTCGAAAGGCATCGCTTCTCCTTTGGTCAATGATTCTTCTTCTGGCAGTCTGGGCTGGGCCGAAGAGTATGAAGAGCTCCCAGCAACATAACGAGAGTTGTGTTTCTAGTTCCAACACTAACGGTAATGATCCGCTTGAAGAGCTTCTTCTACTCATCTTCTTTCTTTCATCACATTACTTTGCAATCCAGTTTCCAATCTAATTCACCATGGAATCTTTGAAATACATACGGTGAGATGTGACCATCAAGGAGCACAACATCCCCCGCTCCAAGGTCGTCCTCATGTCCAAATGACTCCAGTCCGTGGACGAAAACAAGGGCCCCATCGACCCGGCCAAACTGACCAGCAACGACGGCCCCCGCATGAACCAGGTCGGCCTCTCTCCAGTAAGCATATCATCGAGGCGGTGGACCGCAGCGTCGAGCGTCTCGGCACCTACATCGACGTGCTCCAGATCCAGAAAATGGATCATGATGTGCCTCCAGAGGAGATCATACAGACAATCCACGGCTGGCACGAATTTATCTCAATGCAAGGCCTCCACAAACTCCTCTACCGCGCATCAGAGCTTGGAAAGAAAGCCTACTGCAACACCGGCGTCGGCCTCTTCCCCTGTTCGCCCCTAGCCGCCGGCGTGCTCATGCCCTCGCGGACCGACTATTCGGAGCCCGCGAGCAAGAGAGCCCCTTCCGCCAACTCCTGTTTCGCGGCACGGAGAACGGCGCCGACAAGGCCATTGTCGAGCGCGTCGGAGACCTGGCGGGCAGCAAGGGCATCTCGATGGCGCAGGTTGTGCAAGCATGGCTTATTTCCAATGGTTGCATGTCCATCTGCGCACTGGAGATGAAGGAGAGGATTGATCAGGCTATCAGTGCGTTGAAGGTTGAGCTTGCAGAGAGCCAAGTTGGATACCTTGAGGAGGCATATGTTCCAAAGTTGCCTATCCTATGCCTTTTTAAATGTTGCGGTAGCGTTGCTTCAGACCAGCCGCCTTGTAATTAGTCTTAGCTCAGTCAATAAGTATCAAATGATCTACCTCACACTGTTCCCTCGAAAAATGGCGTGTGTGGAATATTTGCAAGTCTTCTCCGCATGTGCGATTCGCTTTCTTCATGCAGAATTTCCCTGTATACACGTACGGCAAAGTCCAACGCGGGGTAACACAACACAGGAGCTCACAAAGTCTCTATGCAAGCCATGATCACGCTGTCCTTCAATGGCAAAATGCACGCCATTCGCCTGAACAAAAGCATTCAAACCACGGAGCAGAATCCCCGATCTGTGAGAGGGTTTATCGAGTCTAGCGCCGTCATCTAGCCAAAGTCTCAGATGTTGATTCGCCAGATTCGTCCGCCGCTAACATGAGTCTCGCGGGGCTGGCCTCTTAGCGGATTCGGTAGCAAGAGAATCCTCGCCTGGAATTGGGGGAAACCAGATAAGGGTTCTGACGCCATGGTGGTCGAATGTCCTCCGGAAAAGGTCATCTTTCAGGGCTTTGGGGGGGATTCCCTGTGTTCACTGCACTTTGTTCAGCTCTGCCGCGCATCCGAAACGTGTCGCAACATCACCTGCAATTAGCTGTTCAGTTAGGCGACGAGACAGAGCGATGGAAGCCTCACGCGGTACAGATCGGGGCGATGAGATGCCAGGGGAGGGAATCACCGAGAGGAAGCGCAGCATCTCGACGGCGCGATCAACAATTGACGATGACCGATCCAGCAGACTGACTTCGAGCGCGCTGGACGAGCTGAACGCCTCGCACATTGACAGCAGCACGTCCGTGTCGCTGAGCATCGACACGGACATCAGCGACGCCGACTCGGCCATGGGAATCGACGTCGGCCGCGCCTCCTCGTCCGCCTCGGTGGCATCGAGCGTGTACCGCTTCGTGGAGGAGTTTGGCAGGACATATCACGCCTACAAAGAAGGAAGTGAGTTGGCGCAACGCGCGAAAAGCTCACCTTCAGGATCAACCCGCCCGCTAACACGACGCCTCTTACTGCAGAATACTTTCTCCCCAATGATGAGGTTTGCAATCCCCCCCAACCCCTACAAGGTCGTATCCGCCAAGCCAGAGTGAACTAACACCCCCTCGAGCAAGAGCAAAGCCGCCTAGACCTACAACACGCCATCGCCCTCCGCATCTTCGATAACGAGCTCGGCCTGGCGCCCGTCTCCAAGCCCAACCGCGTCCTCGACATCGGCACGGGCACCGGCATCTGGGCCATTGAGTTCGCCGACAGGAACCCGGAATCGGAGGTCCTTGGCACAGACCTCAGCCCCATTCAGCCGGAATATGTCCCCGCCAACTGCCATTTCGAGATTGACGACGCCGAGGACGAGTGGGCGTTTAGCCAGAAATTCGACTACGTTCACGGCCGGTACATGTGCACCTCCATCTTTGACCTGCCGAAGCTCTTTGGCCAGATCCGCGACAACCTCAACCCGGGCGGGTGGGTCGAGTTCCAGGAAACCGTCATCGACTTCAAGGCTGTGGACGGGTCCCTTGAGGGCACGGCGCTGCGGCGCTGGAACGATCACCTGCTGGAAGGGATCCGCAAGGCCGGGCGGGATGCGCTCTCGGCGTTCGAGTACGCGCGGCACATGACCGACGCCGGTTTCCAGAACGTCCAGCAGAAGAAGTTTGCGGTGCCCGCGTCGCCTTGGGCGAAAGGGAGGAACCAAAAGATCCTGGGCGCCATGCAGATGACGAACAACCTCGAGGGGGTGCAGGGCATCACGATGAAGATATTCACCCAGGTGCTGGGGTGGACTCGAGAGGATGCGGAGTTGTTGCTCGTGGATGTGAGGAAGGATATGGCGGATAAGAATATCCACGCGTACATCACAGTGTGAGTCCCCCCGCCTTTCTGCCTCTGATGGTGTTGGCTACCCGTGCTGACGACGATGGTTGAAGCATGTCGATATGGGGACAGAAACCGCATGAAACGGAGGAAGCGGTGGCCTGAATCCGGCTGTTTTCAAGATATTTGCCAACTCTTCAAGCAGGAAGAAGAAGACTAAGACACATCCTCACGTGTGGTGTGAGAGGGAATATAGAGGATATGCATCCCGTTGTGTTGAAGCGCATCTCGTTCTCGCATCACGTTCCAACTCCGCCATATTGCGAAAGCTGATGGGAAAAAGAGAAGCAGCTATTCGAAAATCCTGCCGCGACAGCAGTTATCCCAAAATTCTGGCAAGTCGAGTCGCAATCATGTATGCAAACACGATTCATGGCTCAGTTCGTCTCATGTAAGAGCTAGCTGAAAGGGTGTTTGAAGGTGATGTATGAACCAGAGCCCTCAAGCAATCAAAACCTAGTACAACCACAATGTATTACGGATACTGCCCGCGCGACACACGCATACCGCGGCACCTCCGGTCCTAGCCGTCTGACTTGTGGATGCCAGCCGAGCCCGTCGAGCTGATGGTCCACTCCCGATGGTCCCATGCCGCCGTGGAAACAGTGGGAATCGACAATGCAAGGACGATGGCCATGCCAAGTTGGCCGATGGTGCGGCGAATCTGTGCCGGAAAGGGCATCAACGCCGGTGGGGGCAAGTTACCAGGTACGGATACGGAATACAACCGTCGGCGTTATGACGAGTCGACCCATCGGCATTAAGGCTCTCTCAGACTCTCTCAGACTCTCTTAGTAAGCCCCGTCTGCGGCGGTGCAACAAACTGGCATTTTCCCTATGCAAAACACTAAGAAGGACGATCTTTTTCTTCAACCCCCCCACTCGCTCTGGCCGATCCGTCCACTCGGCTTGCCGTATCTTGCAACAGCCACCCCCAGACCCTGGACCCTCCAGATGTTCCTTCTGGCAAGGCATGGAAGCAACCGGAGAGTTTAATCGCCCGCATGCTTTGTCAAACCAGCGTACTTTGAAAACAAGCTGTGGAGTCGTTCCGCGGTATGGATATTCTTGAAGAATTTTTGGCGGGGAAGTTTTCCACGTGTGACGCCAGCGCAGATGAGCGAGTCAAGGAATCGAGCTACGTACCTCGAATCGCACATGGTTATCGGGTTCGAATTTCGACCCCGATCCCATGCCAGGGACCAGGCAAAGAGGGCAAGGCGAAGTATCAGGTCCCAACGAGGGAGAGAAGTTCTGAAATCAGCACCGTCGTGACGTCAACCTGACCAATTGGCGGGGTGAAGCTCTTTCATGCACCTCCCCCCTTTTCGCGCCTACATTCCGCCTCTGCCAGGGGGTAAGCTCAGTGTCATCCTAGATACTGCTTTTTGCTTATGGTGGGGTTACTGGCTAGAATAACTGCTATGATGGCCAGACCGTCGATGGAGCTATGATGGGGTTGCGGTGAAAGTACAAATGAGCTCGACACCCCGCGGCAGGACCATACTTCTCGTCTCACCATAAGCTCAATACACTCGATTTGATACCCAAGATACCCTTACAACCTCACAACCTCATTACCTCTAAAAAAACAATTCCACCGACCACACACAATATTCACAATGGCCCCCAAGGTTCTCATCGTCCTCACCTCCGTCGACAAGACTGAGAAGTCTGGCAAGCCAATCGGCTGGTACTTGGTAAGTCGTGTAGTAGTCCCCGCCCCCTTCCCCCCAATTCTCAGATTCTCACGAGGACCGCCGCCTGAGTTTGAATCACTTTTGACTAACTTGCTTCCCCTCCTCCAGCCCGAACTCGCCCACCCCTTCGATGTCCTCAAGGAGGCCGGCGCCGAAATGACCTTTGCCTCCCCCAAGGGTGGCGTCGCCCCCCTCGACCAAGCCTCCGTCGAAATGTTCGCCAGCGACCCCTCCTCCAAGAACTTCCTCGAGAACCACAAGGCCATCTGGGAGAACACCGAGAAGCTCTCCACTTTTGTCGGCCGCGCCTCTGAGTTTGACGCTCTGGTATGATTTTCCCCCCTTCCCTTCCCTTCCCTTCCCTTCCCTTCCCTTCCCTCATGAACCGCCTCCAAATTACATCAAACTAATCATACCCAGTTCTACCCCGGTGGCCACGGCCCCATGTACGATCTCGCCTTCGACGCAGACTCCCACAAGCTCATCGCAGAGTTCGCCGCCCAGAACAAGCCCGTCGCCTCCGTCTGCCACGGCCCCGCCGCCATCGTCAACGCAAAGACCAATGACGGCGAGTACCTCATCAAGGGCAAGACCGTCACCGGCTTCTCCAACACCGAGGAGGACCAGGCCGGCTTCACGCCCGAGATGAACTTTTTGCTCGAGGACCGCCTCAAGGAGAATGGCGGCAAGTACGAGCTCGCCGCTGAGCCCTGGGGCGAGAAGGTTGTCGTCGACGGCGTCGTCATCACCGGACAGAACCCCGCCTCCGCCCATGGCGTCGGCAAGGCCATTGCCAAGGCTATTGGCTTGTGAATGGAGGAAATGATTGTATGATATCTCATGATTGGTGGCTTATGAAGGGTACATAATTACATCAAATTTGAAGCGTTTTTACCAACAAGCACATCATCTTGGTTTTCGAGCTCTGGGTATTTGCTACTCTTTTCTTGATGATAAGGTGGACTAATAATTTACGAAATATGAAAGATCTACACGAGGATGAGGGACCTCCATCCACCTGAATTAATCCACGTCCTTCCCGAGGAACCCTTCACAGAACATGATTAAATCCTCCAAGTTGCTTCAGCATTTTCTATTCCTTGATCAAGGGCCAACACCACAAGCTTGAGTAGGGCCCATGGTGCAGCTTCTTTCTCCACCGGCATCAAGACATCTCATTTCCCACATCCTGTTAGATTCACGCGGGTATCAGGCAGAATTCTTCACATATGGGGCCATTAGGCTCACACATTGACTGTATCATTAAGGTCCAAAGCAGACTACCAGTCCTTTTCTCACGCCCAACTACTTTTTTGTGATAATGCGACACACCATTACGAATGTTAACCGAAACTGAGTGGTGCATCTGGCACACTCTCAAACGCCCATCTCCATCTAATGCAAAGTGGTATGCCTTATCCCCCCGACACCTGATCATACAATCCGCCCATTCGGTAAGTTCACCCTTTGTCACAAGGGCTCAGAGAACTTGTCCACAAACGCCGAGACATACGAAAAAAACCCTCAAAGCCCTTAGTACCAAAAGCCGTTATTGTCATAAGAGGATTCAAATGGTGAAGCATTGCGGGTGCCAACAGGACGGAGGCTCTAATCACCGTCAAGCAAAGCATCCAGGCCGTTTCGTTCGCTTTCAAGGCTTTCCGCCGTGATGGGTCCATCAAACGTCTCTTGCTTCCTCTTGATTTCGTCGTCATCTTGGTTTGTAAGGTCGTCGAACATCTTGTTCACTGCTCGCTCATCTTCTTGGGAATGGGGAGCCACGTCCCTGCCATTGAGCATACCGACATCGCCCTTGAACACGTCGGGGCCAAACATTTCTACGGCTCTCTTACGGCCAACTTCTGTTCGACGCAGTATCTCAAGAGCCTTACTCTTCCCAGCTTCGGTGTGCAGGTTAAGCCCATCTTCCTGGCCCTGAAGGAGGCGTTCTTCGAGGGACATGGACGAATTGCCACCTACAAGCTGGGGGCCCGCTGCACCATTAGACATGAAAAGGCCTGGATGAAGTGTCGGCCCACTATCAATGTCCATGGGGTCGTGGTTGCTCCCAATGGATTGACGACCCACGTTGCCGTGAGATGTAGAAGGAGGTGTTGCTGACGACTGTTCCGACTTTCGACTGTGACCATGTTGAAGACCAGGCGGCAGGACAGTTGCGCCAGATGCCGAAGTCGCAGCCGCAGCCGCAGCCGCCGCTGCAGCGGCTTCTGCGTTCTGAGCCTTCCGCTTCAGGCTGGCAGCCTTCGCCTTCATGTTCTCCGGGAGGTCCTCCGGGTCGTCCACGCCAAACTGCGCCAAAAGCTTTTGGAGCTTCGTTGGTCGCGGCTTGCGAGTACTCTTGGAGACCTCCAGAACAGGTGGTGCATTGGGTGCAACAGGGCACCACTTGTGCAACTCCTGTCTGAAGAAATTTGTCTCGTAGGCAAGCAGGATCTCAGCACCTTCAATCTTACGTAAATAAAACCGCTGGGTGTCCGCCTCAGACTCAGTAGATACCACAGGGTTGCAGTATCCGGTGATGTGGTTTCGGAAGTCTTGTGCATTGTCGATAATCTTGGTCAGAACCTCCTCCTCCTCCGGTTGGAATGGGAGGCCAGGGATTTTATCGGACCAGGCAATGAGCTCCTCGATCTTGGGTCGCGCAGCATCTCGCGGAATCTTGACTCGCCAGTCGCAGATGGGGCATGTGTATTTGTCTTCGTCCTTGACCTTGCCGCGAGCAATCTTGAGGCATTTGCCGTGGTACCTGGAGATTTTGGTTAGCTTTGGGAATCTGCGAGGGCCAAATCTTAACATACCATTCGTGACAGAGCTCGCACTCAATCATCATGCCTGCCTCCACTTTTCGGCAAATGCAAAACACTTCGCGGAACCGAGGATCTTCCCAGCGATGCACCTTTTGGTCCGGACTGGCTTCCCTCGATGCAGGTTCGGCAGGCATGCGAGGCTTGTCGTTGACAATGTCGAAGCAGTCTTGGTTGCGTTCCAAGACGTAATCCATATGGCTCTTAAGAATGTGGAGTGGTGCGTTGGTTTTGCCAAACAACTTCTTACCCTCTCGCATCCAGTCTTCGTGGCGTTTCTGCTCCCGCTCGAGGTCCAACGTCCCGTTAGGTTTTGAATTCAGCTCATCGAGTCGGCGCATGATTTCAGCCACCTCAGCGTATTTGGGTCGATTGCGGATATCCGGGTCTCTTGATCTTCCGGTCAAGTCCACGATCTGACGGTGAGCCTCCCTCTGCTTGTAGAGAATTTGATCCACGGCATTCAGGGTCTCCGGAGTGACCGGCAGATAATTGGCCTGAACCTGCAACGATAACGCCTCCAGCTGTGGGTAGTGAATGACCTCTGCAATAATCAACTCCCTAGCCTTCTTCTCCCACTGTTGGCCAGCGTTCATCTGGTCAATATAGTAGGAAAGGTGGTCGTTATACGGAGGTATGTCCAAGCGCTTTCCCTCTTCGATGAGCTCACGCACTTCGTTCAGTGACATGAGGCTGCCTCTGTTATTACGAGCCTTCTCATTCCACTTGAGTTGTTCAAGCACTCGCGAGAGTCGGTCGACTTCTGGCATGTCGACGTTGAAAGTCCGGCCCTCCTCAAGTAGGTCTTCGATTTCGGAGAGCTCGGCGAGGTGGATCTGTTCCAGCGCTTTAGCTGCATTCTTCTGGAAGGCCTCGATGGCCTCGGCCCGCTCCCTCAGCTGGGTGATCTCAGGGCAGTCGAATCCTATTTGCTCCGCCTCACTGAGAAGACGGTACACGTTGGAAACATTGCGCGCATCGCGTTCTTTCTGGTCCAGCGAGTTCTTTCGGTTGAGTATGGACTTTTCGCTCTTGCGCCTGTTCTGCTGCTTCCGGATCGTGTAATTGGTGGCCTCCTCCACCCACTCGTTGCACCGATCGACAAATTCCCGAAGCAAAGGGAGCGAGGGTAGGTCATGGGGTATTTTCTCACCCTCGTGTAGGAGATTCCGAAGAGTCTTAAAAGAAGGCGTGGCCTCCTCCTCCAGAAGCTTCTCGTACTTCTCTTCCCAGGCCTCTGGCGTGCGCGCCTTTTCGAGGACCTTGCCGTACGTTGATTCAATGTCCTCCTCGGACTGTTTGTAGATGACAGCATGTCCTTCGCCATGGAAGCGCTGGTGCTCGGTTGCCTCGCAGCATGGTTGATAGCCCGCGTGTGCTAGGCAAAGAATTTTGCCCGACTTGAGGCACTTAAATCTAGACAGGTACGTAAAGGCTTTGCAATACGAGCATTGATACTCCTCTTCGGGTACGTCCGTGTCGTCAATTTCAAACTTCACAGGGCAGGAGGTGTCTTCTTTGCCAGCCAAACCGCATTCGTGCAGCTGTGGCTCGAGGTGCTTCGCCACAAACTCGGCTCGATGCGCCGACTCTCGTTTCTTGATCCGCTCGAGTGCGGGCGCAAGCCATTTGGCTGTCTGGATTGTGAGACCGTTGTTTGTCGTACCTTCGGCGGCAGTCCACAATAGCTCGTCGTGAGAGAAACATGGTTGTCTTCGGAATACCTGCAGCCTCTCCACACCTCCGAGACCGAAAGGTTCCCAGTCGCAAGGGGCAAAGTTGACAGCCTCGTTGAAATTGAAACCATGGTTGAAGCCGGCGTGGTAAGCTTGGGGGAAGGTGATGACGAACTGGCCCGCGCGCTGGTCGAGAGCGTAAACCCTAACGCCCGCCTTTTTCAACTGCTCCGGGGTCAAGAGGGTAACCAACTGGAACAGTAGGTCGGGCTGGGTCTCAAAGAGTTCAGGAACGGCCTCGCGCATCGCGGCTTCAAACTTTTCCGCGTCCTCGCCCGGAATACCATACCAGGTTTTGGTCGCACCAAAGTGCTGGTAGTTGGCAGAGTAGGCATAATGATCCTCGTTGTGCCAGCAGAAAGTCGAGAAGATCATGCCAACGTATACCCATGGTACAGTCATGCCAGATATGTCCGACTTGATGTGCCGGAATAGACTCTCAGGGTGGAGAGGCAGCAAGTTAAGGTTCCAAGGGTCAGTCGAGTAGGGGTTGTTGGGGTGTCTCTCGACAGTTGGGAAGCCAGAACCGTGAGTTGTACAATGAATGTCGGCACCATACTCGACCTCGACAGTCTCTTCAATATCGGCTACGAGACGCCAGAACTCGGTCTCTACGTCTTCCTCGGTGACTGGGCGATGGCAGTTGAGAACGGGATCAAATGGCATCTTCTTCTCGAAATAGCCTTGCTTGAAATCGGCCGCCTTTTGCTGAAACTGCTTCAAGGAATACAGGCCGCCTTCCTCAAATCCGTACTGACCATCGCCGACCAGGCATCTAGGGCAGTTCCATTCGGAGTCGGGCTTGTGCTTGAGGGGAGGATCGAGACAGGTACCATGGTATGCGTGGTCGCAGGACTCGCAGACAATGAGGGCGCCGCCTTCTTCCGCCTTGCCACACTGCTCGCATTTCTGCTTCAAGTCAGTGCAATGTAACGACAGCCGCAACGGTGCTTCGCAGCTTACCTCGCCAGGGGCCGATGCCTCATCTCGGGGAATTCTAGGCACGGAAGGGCGGAACAGGGACATGTGAGATCCTGCCACTGTAGGTACAGTATCTGCAAGTCAACGAATTAGTACACGTAGATCAGCCAATCATTGCACAGCTGGTTGCAGAATCAATCGGTTGCTTCGCTCGGTCGGGAAACAGGGTCTTGGAAGCCAATAAAATCCCTGTCAAACCCATGCATGTGGCCCATCGGTGCATGCGGAGCCCGCCGTGATGGTCCAGCACAGCTGGCGGCGCAGACACCGACATGGGACGATGGTGCTGACCGGTACTTGTGTGCAATGAGGGGAAGGAAATCACCTTTCTTGAGACGCTTGCTGCGTCTACTATTTCCAGCATCTCCGTCGTCCTTGTCTGTTCCAGAATCCTTCTTTGCCAAGTCGAGGCTTTCACAGCTGATTTGTCTCTTGAGTGCTGCCGGACCGAGATTTGAAGGCCGATAGTCGGGTGTATTCTTTGCCGAGTTGACGGGACTGAATGACTTTGGAGGCGGAGTGCCAATCACCTCATCCTGAGGCGTAGGCCGGTTGACACTCTTAAAGCCAGAATTGACCGCAGTGAAGCCACCTGTATTGATGGCCTTGAAACCCGAAGTGACGGGCGCAGGCACAGGTGCAGCCACAGGAGGCGCGTCGGCCATGGGGGTATCTCGGTCGGCCTCCTTTTTGAGGCCGTTTATGCTTGCTTGCAACGCATCTGAGGCGTGGCGAGCAGGCGAGTCGCCTCGAGCACTGGATGGAGTATTGACGTTGGATCGCTTCATTGGAGTGACTGCCGGGCTGGGTGTGTAGGGGCCGCCATTCTCGTACTCGAGTTGCTGGTGCACTCCGGGTTTAGCTAGTCTCAAATACTCCTCGTATGGGCAAAGCCATCTCTGATATGAGTTTTTTAATGAGGTGGACAGCGAGGACATGATCTTGCCGCTGTATCCTAAATCGCGACCAATCTCGGCCCATTTCTTAAGTTTGCAGACTTTGTCAAAGCCGCCGCGAGCCTCGACTGCCTTCTTCAGACGGTACAAGTCGAGAGGCTTCTTGTCGACATATGGGAGGCGGTGCAGGTTGCTTCCCTGCTGTCTGTGGAACTTAGCCAAAGCGTCGAGATATGAAATGTTTGCTCGGGTGCCTGGTAAAGTTAGCATTGCCTCCGTCCTCGAAACATGACAACGGCATAACTGACTTCCTTCGACCGAGTTCAATTCCTGTTTACGAGTTCTGAAATGGAATCTCTGCACAATTTTTGGTTAGCGTGAAATCGCTCGCAGAGACCAAGATCGCAGTCAAGCTGACAGCTTCGCGGCCAGGCATCAAAGGCAGCGTCCGAGGGTGCACTGGCGGACACGGGATGTAGGGACCCACCTCCGTATCAATCGCAAAGTCCGGGTTCCAAGAGTCGGGCGGAATGATCTTGCACAGTCCGTAGTTCATCGCCTCTGGAGAGATTTTCTTGATGTACTCCATCGGGTCCTTCCACTCCTCCTCCGTAGGACAGTATGTGGGCGCATCCTCAAGACCGTGCGGGCGCGACTTCTTCTTGACCGGCTCCTTGATCGCTGTCGCTTGGCCCCGTCGTTCGACCGAGGTGAGTTCTAGAGGTGTGCTTCGCATCGAGCTGAGGGGAACTTGAGGGTTCGTTGGGTGGTAACCATTGGAGTTGACCTGGGCGGCCTTAGATTTGGCCGAGGCAGTGTTCGACGAGCCGACGGCCGGGGAGCCTCGCGAGCTTGCATTCCCGCTTCCCGTGCCGTTGGCAGCGGCAGTGCTGCCCGCTGTAGGTGCAGGTACCATGCTGAAGGTAGGGTTTGCCGAAGGACCTGTTGAACAGGCACAATGGCGGGTTGAGGTAAAATATGATCGGCGGCTTTCGAATATGTCGCAGTCACAGGTATTCGGGTAGACGGCGGGTTCCGTGAGAGATCATGCGAGCAACGGCTGGAGATCGGTGGGCTAGGGGTATTGTCGCATTACAGATCCGACGAAAGGTTGCCTATTGCCAGTGACGATAAAGAACGGTTCGATAGGCCGACGGAGATTTTGCTTCGAGGGTCGTTATTGAATAAAGCGCATCTGACAGAGGTTGTGAGGGAGAAATGTGTCTGGGGAAGGGCGGGATATGTCAGATATAACAGTACGGCGGAAAAGCTTAAGGCGCGGGCGACCAACGGGTACCTAGCGGCGACAAGAGAACCTGGGCGATGGGGTGGGGATAGGCGTTTGGTACTCACCATGTGTGTCTTGCATCCAGGGTTGAATGAAGATGGCGCACAAGTTATCTGTGACGAACGAGAGTATTCAACACCTTTTGATGGCCGGATTAGGAGAGGATCCGAGTCATGAGGATGGATGTAGGAGGGAAACTGGGGTTCGGGGGATTGGAGGAGGAAACGATGTAGAAGTGGGAAGTGTGGATAAAGAGAGGGAAGGGGAAGGGAAGGTGCAGGTCGGGCGTGGTGTGGATGGGTGCCGGGCCGGGTGGACGGACATGGAAGTGGAAGCAGAAGGGATACTGAAGTCTGAACGGGGGGAACGAGGAGAGCAACTGGCCGCCAACCTGGAAGGAAAAGGGAAGGAAAGATGCACGGGCAGGTTTTGCTTCGAGGTACCTTAGTACATTACCTTGGTGTGGGCAAAAATGAGCGGAACTGGAAGTAAATGTGCTGTGCCGGTGCGTCCTAGAGGAAAATGGCAAGGCGAGGCACGGCAAAGCAGGTGCGATGCAAAGTGTGGGAGCGGACATGGGACGTGGACAGCATGCATGGGCATCCGGCAGCAGTTAGAATAAGGTAAGGTAAGGTAGTCAACGAGGCAGGAGGAGCGGGTGTCCTTCCTCGCCTCAATTGCCTCTTCAACTTTTTCTACCTTAGATAACACTCTCTTACTGCAAAAGGCAAAAGACCAACCACACGCGCAAAAAGCGAAAACAGCAGTTGTGGTGCGAGAAAAAAGGAGCGAGAGAGAGAGAGAGAGAGAGAGAGGAAGGTGTGAAAGTGCGAAAGCAAGTAGGCACCGACGGGGGCGGAAGTTCCACGGGTCCTGACAAGGTAAGGTACCTTACCACACTCACCTTGAGGAAGAACGATGACCGTCGGCGGCAGGTGCGAGGGCGTCCAAGGGCGGAACGGAAGGGGACAACTCACGTCTATCGGTGCAAAATCCCACTACAAGTGGGTCCAAAATGGACGTCGGCTACCCTCTGGAAGTACACGGTACTTTCTCGGGTACCTCGTCCATGACGTCCAGCGAGTCGCTTTCCCTCACTGCATCGGAAGCCTCTCGCAGCTGACGAGGGGCCCAACCAGAGAAATGCTCTGCCAATGTCATCGTGTGTTCCTGACGACCCCTCGAACCGCCCAGCAGGGCCATGCTTGCAACATTCCACTCGGGCACCCTGATCAAACCAGACTGGCTCTGTAGTTTTGGTCGATTTGAATATTCGGCTACATCATCCTGCACCATGGCTTTGCGTCAAAGGGAGCGACGGATTACGGATAGTATCATGACTAAGCCTCCGCTTCCCTTGGACAAGATTCAACCTGCCCTGGTGTCAGTGGTCACTTGAAGTCGGTCTTTAGTCCGAGGTACATCGTGGTCCGACCATGCCCAGGTACTCCAGTACATGGCCCCCCATCGCCGACATCCAAGTCGGTCGACATGCGACATCAGACACACACACTTGCGCGCGCGCGCGCGCTCGCGCTCGCACATAGTCAATTACAGCAGCACTCCGACGACGTCGCAAATGCCGGCCCATGAATCGTTTGGTTTTGGGTGCACGGCCGCAAAACTCCTCCTTTGCGGTTTGCCCATGGCTAGAATTGCACTCGATCATCAACCGAACACTTACACCAGGGTCATCCCTCAATCGCCATCCGACATGTCTCCAATGATTGGACAGCTTCATCCAGACCCGAGGGACGCAAGACTTTGATGCATCGCCACCGCTGTCATTTCGGCATCCGCGTCTTACATGCTTCAGATGACATTTTTCTACTGCACTGGCGACAGGTCGATTTTCATCGGAATCCTTCCGGAAGTTATCGAGACAAGGCTGCCTCCGTTTGTATTCGATTTGCCGGCTTGTGACAAGGCGACTGATGCATTTCAGTGTTGCGCCGAAACGCCTCAAATTGCCCTGCCAGGGTGGATGGGGGCTTCTACATACGGAGTAGTACAGTGCCCATTGCCACGGACCACGAGACTGAAGCTGCACGCCCACTCTTTTTCCATGCACAAGAAACCAACATCTGATATCGCTCGCTGACTCAACAGGGGGCCGCCGATATAATTCGCTTAGCGAGCCAATCATGGCAGTATGACGTTGGGGAAGCCCACCCTGACATCCCAGATCGGTTCAATGGCGAGGATAATCCCTACTTGCGGGGGCGGGCGCCGGAATGGGGACTCACTTTTAGGATTTTTTTTTCGGTGGCTTTTTTTCCCCTTTGTCCTTTCCTCAGATGACCTGCACGGTTTTGATCGGAGCTTAGTCATCGGCTGGCGGACTTTGATATCTCGACTGAAGGCCGCCGAGATTGAGTTCAACATGAACTACAGCTACACTTTTTTGAGACCTCATGATTACATGGAACTCACCAAGTCATGGCAGTTTAATCGTTCATGAGAAGTTCTATGTCGACGGTTTTGAATAAAAAAGGATTCGTCTACCTCAAACTATGATGTGTTGCGGCAGACTACGGCTTAGTGGACATCACTTTCTGGCCCTCGCAACAACAAGCTGGTCAGCTTCTTCACTGCATACTGAGCCGGGATTAGTAGCGGAAGTTTGCATTGTCACACGTTTCTGGGAGCTTGGAGTTGTATTTGAGACAGAAAGCTTGTTTCGAAGTAGTTCTCATAAGTTCATTTGGAATTTTGTACTCTTTCTTATTCTTGACGCAATTCTTAACTTCATAATTGTGTGATCTAAGTGAGGGAAAAGCCGATCATCTCTCATCTTCTAGTTTTTCAAGGTATTTACCCACATTCTTTCAAGAAATCTACGCTCGAAACTTTTATCCAGAATCCGAATACCTGACGCCGTGACGAAACGATGTGGAGTCAAATTCTAGCCAGAGCACATAATAGCTTGACGGCAGTTCATTCATTCATCATATTTCAGTTCGATAGCCATTCGTTGGTGTCCATCTGTTCTTCCCCAGACTTAGGGTAAATTGGCGCATCCATTGTCATGCCTAAGTACGACCCTCAAACCTGCTCCTTGAGGTTCGAGAGAAGCACTGAGGAATTCTCATTTCCAAAGGAGTTTTCCTCATCTGGATTTTTCTTTTCGCTGGTTGATAATCCTGGAAAAGTCTTGGTGTTGCAAAACTTCAAGCGGAGCTGATTGGATACGTTCAGGAGACACGCAACCAAGATAGCCCAGGAACCCAGGGGCCGAACTTGATGTGAAGAGCTACTTACTTTTCCTTGAAGCTTCATGGAGAGATTCTTTTGAGGTTGTGTAGTGAACGAACTACAATGAGCGCTAAAAAGCCAGACGTGAAAACATGTTTGAGTGTAAGTATACGTTGAGTATCGGGATCAACATGAGAATAGAGAATAGAGACTTGGGATGCAGAAGGTGTCAGCCACTGACGGAGTGATATTATTGACTTCTGTTGCGGTGAGAAAAAGTCAGTAGCATCCTGTAGATCTGTCGAGCATTGGTTGTACGATAAATGTCTTGCTCTGGCCCGCCATTCTACCTGAAAGTGTAAAAGTATATTGTGAAATCCTTGATTGTCTTTAAACAAAAAGGCTCCGGATTTATGGTGTTTTGCAGCACGAGGTATTAAGATCATCCTACAAGTCAATTCATATTTCATGGTTATTGAGATTGACTTGGAAAGATGCACGGTTTTGCAATTGTAATAGATCACTGACGTCTGCTAACCCTAAGCCATTCCGAGCCAGAGAATCAACCAAAAGGGTGCCCCCATATTGTATGCACAGCTGACGCTAGCTTGTAGTCCGAGAAGGCTACACAACTCAACTCCTTACGACCCTAGCTCCCTTCAGATATGCTTGGCAGAAACGAGTTTCAAGCGGAGATATGGGAAAAACGCATGGCGAGGTAGGCTGTGCTACTAAATCATATCTTTCCCTTTGGTACTGAATTACAGATTGTATTCGTGGACCTTCCTGTGAAGCTCGGTAAAGCTCAACAAAGTGGTGAGAAGAATGGCCACACTTAGACTCGAAGCCCTTGAGAGATTCACATCAAACTTGACTTCAAGGCCACTTGGAGGTAAAAAACTCTTTCCGAATAGCACTCTCCTGGCTTCTGAGACGATGGAGACCAAAGCGGAGACTTGTCACACGAAGCTACTTATACAACGCATTCATCATCTGCTAAGATGCCCATTTTTAACCTTCGTACAGTATCGAGCAGTGTGGCAAAAGCATTACCAAGCCCATGACCCATCTGAAGAACGTCCAAAATCATGTTTTGGACTTAAAGGGGCTCTTCTCTTAACATTCGTTAGGAACAAGCGGGTAATCTGAGGGCAATCCGTCGCCCCCGCCGGCTATTTTCTTTTTGCATATCTCTCTCTATTGACTGGAGGTAATCACGGTTCAGCTCGGTGGCATTATAGCCAGAGAGATGTGTGACGGGGAAAATATTCAGTATGAAGCCATCTGTGCATTAAAGAATGGTCGCATTTGAATTTCCAAACTCTCTCCCTGACCCAGAAAACCCCAAACCTTGCTGCTCATAACAGGCTATTCGAATGCAATCCGAGACGCAGGGCAACGTAAGAACACGATATGAAAAAGTATCTTTTTTATTTCACATGACGACCTTCCGCTCAGAGCTCGACGACATATTCAACTCATAAAGAGCGAATTAGGAAGCACCCAAGGCAGGTCGTGGCTCCTTCTGCTACGAGCACGACTTCTGCTACATGCCTTTATGGGTGGGCTTCCACCTCGGAGAGTGCGGCGCATGCATAGCCTCCGTCTTCAAAGTTGACAAAGATAAGCGGAGATACCAAGATGAAGTGATATTACTGATCTTAACAGTGAGAGATATGCAATTACGACTGAATCGTTCGGTCACGTTGTCTGGCGGCATGCTTTAATCAATAGACATGTGTTGAGAGACAACCTGGTTACGCGTCAAGTTAGCTACTCGTGGATCACACAGGGTCGGGCCATCTCTGGATGGGACAGTATGAAGGGAAAGCCTGCAGAGTATCGGTGAGACATAAGTCAAATACATTATACAGTATCTCTCAAGTCGTCAAAGCGAAGCCTAACCAAAAGACTAAGCTACTGGGGCCTCGGCGCGCCTGCTCATGAGCCCGATCGGCAGTCTAGGCTATGCCACGAAAAGAGCCCTGAGCTAGCCGGTCCCTTTGTTACCCACGTTTGCAGCCGCAGCTCTTAGAAGCTCGTCGCTGTCTTAGACGATGGCGCCAGAGTCTACCGGTGTCGCAGATCCCCAGACCGTTATCAGCTCAGTGTCCGACCTTTTCCCGAGGCGAACATGTCGAGCAGCAACACTAGTCCATCCGCGTTCATGCATAGTCCGAATCTATTCGCATCCGGCCATTGCACGGCGGCGGTGCGTGTAGTCTCGATGATCCCTTGACCAACCTCAACGGTGCGTTCCAGCACTGTCGGGATGAGTTGATCGACGCTTGGTTTCGGTTATCCGTAACGAAGCGAAATGGGTAGTCGAGACAGGCCGATGGGGGTGGTATACAAGCATCTTTCAGTGAGGCAAGTGCATGCGCAGCCAAATTCGATCCGGGGCAACTCAGAGGCCCCAAGAACATCTTTCGATATATTCAATCGATAGCAATCGAGCTGTTGAATCAAGGCGATACATCTGCGATTCCTCAACTGTGACGACAATGCGAAAACTCGTCACTGGTCGTCTGATTCATGGAGAAGCGATCTGACTCGTGGCGTTTGGGAGAAACAGGCTTTGCGGGCCGAAAAGATGTTATCTCGCAGATGGATCTTGCAGATCCGTGTTTGATAGAGCCCCACGTGGATCTTATCAAGTCTTCGTTCGCCTCTTTTTCTTTTTCAAAAGAGCGTCGATTTCTTTCGCACCCCTTGCCCGTAGCGTCAGTTCTTTCATCATTTCGACCCACTGAACGTGGCCTCCACATTGGGGGCAACGGCCCTGAATAGGGACAACTGCTTCTCGGTCCTCATCGTGGTGGAGCATATGACGACTCCAGCATGACAGATGCCCGACGCCTTCACAGGCCTCATTTGGACACACGGCGTGTAATCCTTGACCGTGAGGAAGAGGCTCTTTACAGACGATACAGTTGCCTTCTCTTTCAAAGGCAGTGATGGACTGTGCCTTTTCCACGTATTCCTTCACATGGGTGTAGTCCACAGATAAAGCATGGATGCCCCAAGCGACGTCGTCTGAAGATGCGGGGTCAGGGCCGAAGTCGGTGACAATGTTGAGAGTGTTTCGTAGAGGCTCGGTCGAGTTGGCAGACGATGTAAGCCATGCTTTGTGCACATCCTTTGCGAAAAAGTGAAGTGTAAGCGGCCATCGGCGGAAGCTCGGTACACCTAGTAGGAGTTGTAAGTTGGATAATATCGAAGATATACTCGCGCGAGGCCGGCGAGGGTGTCCATTCTTCTTAACTCCAGTCGAGACGGTAATCCGTGATCCGGAGGGAATATGCAGAGAAAGATGCGGGTTTGTCAACGCCCATCTGTTTTCCGCTTGGTCAGCGCATGCTCAAAAGCCAATGCAATATCCCAGATAATAGAAAGCAAATCAGTGCAATATGCTAGACATGCAGAAGCATGTGCAAGCTAGGGGTGTGGACACTGGACGGAGAAGGCTTCATCCGAAGCAGCTTGGAAGCATGATAAGAGGAAACAGCGTCGAGGTGAACGGGAGGGAGATCTTACTCAAACTTTAGAGCAGCAACCATGCCCGGGAAGCCGGAGACCAGCCCCACCATCTCCCAGGGCCGCAGGCTCAGGCGGGAAGTGCGAGCAGCGCCGCCGCGGGCCTCGCCATTGTGCTGCTTCAGACGGCGCGGGGGGTTGGGCGTCGAGCCGATGTAGAGAGACGCGTGGCGTACGGTGGAGCGGAGAATGTACACCGTGTAGAGGGCGGGGATGGGCTTGGACTGGACGGGCATGACTCGGCAGGGGAGGGCAGACGAAGTCAGGACATGTTGTTGTGCGACGTGTTTTGGGATGGAGGGACGAGAAGCTGTGGTGTGGTGTGCTTCAAGCTTGTGCTGGCCGAGCAGTCTAGACTCGTCTTGCTTGTGGGAGCATACGTGGACTCGGTTTTGGGCGTGTGTCGGGGCCGTCGGGGTTGGGTCTGCGACTGAGCTTGTCCAGAGAGTGTGAGACCGCACTGCGGACAATGTAGTGGGAGTGTGAGTGATAGGCCAAGCAAGGCTCGGGTAACTGGGTGTTGCTTGACGCCTGTGCTATTGTTGGCGGTGGGTCGGAGTGCTGCCAGCAATGCGCGCGGGGCGATGGCACCGGACGGCAGCCAGGTGAGAGAGCGGTGTGCGAGGCCAAGCCAGTTGAGTTCCAGGTTCTGGATTCGGGTTTGGAGGGATCCTAGGTCGGATTCCCGGAGGCAAAACCACCAACGATGTCGGCCGAGGGGTCGGAGACTCGGGTAACTGCACGGTGCCACGGTGCTTACAGAGTAATGTTGGCTTGAGACCGTGGGGGATGGGCGCAAGCAACGTGAATCCCAAGCAGGTGGAGAAGAAATTTTTTGCGTCAGGGTGACATCCGTCAGGGACCGACAAATTGAATCTGGTCAGGTGAGAGACCAGGTCGGGGTAAGAATGCAACGCAGGTCACAGTGAGACGGATTGACGTGTGTGGTTGTGGAAGTGCAGCAGCAGCAGCAGTGAAAGGTTGGAAGCACGAGGTGCAGGGGAGGAGGATGAGGAGCGTGGAAGGGGGAAGGGAAGGGGGGAATGAGTTCAAGGTGAGTCAATGATGGAACGGGAAATGTCAAAATTGGGGGGCCACCTGCGATATTAATTGCTAAGGTACGTACGGATATTCAATATTTGATTCAGTCTGGAAATCTGGATCAAATCTGTGTCCAAATGGGATGGGTGGATGGGTGGAGAGGTGGGTGGCTGACGGCTGCAATGAAAATGGAAATGTTCGGTCGGGAGTTGAGAAAACCGCTAGTCCTGCTTGGGACACGGGAAGGGCTGTGGCTGCTCACCTGTTCTCACCTTGTCACCTTTGTCACCCTTTTCAACTTGTTTTTGCCAGGGGATGGATGGTGGCTTGGGATTCGGGAAAGAATCAGGCGTGCAGCGTGCTACCTTACCTTAGGTACTTACTCTGGGAGGGCCAGCCAACGACGGGAGCAGGGGCCAGGCACCGGGGAAGCTGACCCCAAGTCTTCCGTCTCGTCCTTCCTTCCGGTTGGCGGTTGTACTAGCCCTTGCACCTGCACCTTCCACCTGCACTTTTTTGCTCCTGTTCCGTTGCCTGCTGCTCCTGACGATGATAGGTACCTCCCGCCTGCAAAGGCACTCCGTACCCGTTCGTGTCGGTCCAGCTGAGCATCGTCGCCCGGCTTCGTCCCTCGTCTTCCCCCGGCTACCGGACCCCCCACCCCAACATTCCCCCATGCTTTTTCAATTTTAGATTCCCATGTCGAGACATTTCGTCCCGTGATATGCAAAAAAAATGCCACCCTCCTAGCTCTGGGGGTGAAGCTTCCAAATTTCCCCAGCTTGGGTCACGACATACCGACACCAACCGCGGAAGCACGATGCACTCCAGTCTCCGCAACCGCAATCGTGGACCTCAAAGCTCCCGTCCCATTAAGCATGCACCCCAGGCGGATGCGTGTCTTGACGATGCCGGTTTCAAAACGAGCAAACCCCTCCATACCTACGGATACCATACCGCTATTCCCTTGTCATTGACAGAATAACCAAATATTTGTCCACGCCTGACTAACAGGTATCACTCGAGAGACCAAATGCTTCACTCAGATTGCCAAGGTGTTCGAATGAAATACGAATCGAGACGAATCGAGGGCACGGGACCTCACTGATGCTGAAGAGGGAACATATCACCAGCCATTACGACGAGTTGGGTACGCATATTACGTTGATTACTGAGCCAACTACGGCTGTATTCATCGGAACGTCGATGGCTATGCCGCTTACTACCAAGCACGGCACTCAGTCATACGAATTGTTGTGTCAGTGTGGGTAGTGCCGCAGCCTGTGCGACAAGAGAGAAATCGAGCAATTGCTTGACCGACCTCTGACTGTCGACTGCAGCACCAAAGCACCAACTTTGAACGCACCCCAGATGCCCGAGCCAAGGTAACCCAAAAACCAAAAGGCCCAGAAAATGAGGTGATCGGGCGCACCGATGGAGGCTTCGAGAGACACGGACTGGAGCTGGGGCTGGAGCTGTACCCGATTCCAGTCGTTCCCAGCGCACATCAGTTCGCCTCCTGCCCTACACTACGTCTGGATACGCAGTCGCCGCGCAATCCGCATCCGCCATCACAAACCCACAGAAACCCGTCAATTGGCGTCTTCGATTGGGACACAAGGACCGTGACCCTCTGGTCTCGCTGATCCGATGAGGTCTGCCACGTTCGCCTGTTTCCGATTCGGGAGGAGCGAGCAGCAGCTGCTATTCTGCTGGCTCACCAATCACATCTTCTCACCCCACGTTTTCGACTGTGCCCTCGAGATTCCTCACCGATTTTCCGAGACTCGACAAAGCTCCCCCTTGTGCTGCTGCGAGCAGGCCTCTGTGTGAGGAATGCATGCGCGAGTGTAAAAAGCATATCCGTAGATGCTGCCAAGCAATGAAGCATCCAAGCCAGAAGGCTCACTGCTACGAAGCTATGAGAGCCGAACAAACAGCCACCAAACACCACACTTATCAGCTTGTTCCCCCGGCAAAAGCCCCCCAGTTGCATAGTCAGAAGCCAGCGACTTCTCAACTGACTGGCTCAACGCTTGCGGCTTTATGGCTTTCGGCCTGCCGACCACGGCGTTGGAGGCGTTGTCGATGGCTTGGGTAGCGTAATACGAGTTGCGGCGTGCGGCGTGCGGCTTGCTACCACCCACACCTCATCTCTTAATTTTCAATCAGTTGTCCACACACCTCAGTCTTCAGACACCCTCCTTATCAGCCTGCGGTCGGTGAGCCCACCACTATGGCAGTTGGGAGCCGAACCCGCTTAAAGCAGAGACGACGCAGCAGCTGCAATACGGGAAACACCAAAGAAGCACACCACCCTCGCTTGAACCGGCAATTATCTAGAGTTGCGTGACAATAGAGACAAAGGTGCTCTCGAGGCTCCGTGTGCGCCGAAGACATCTGGCCATGCCGGATTACTACCAGGCCACCTGGGCAGGCAATGAATGCAGACACAAGTATCCGGTCCTTCGGTGACAGCGGCATGCCAGCCAACCAATTGACCACCTGGACACTCCGATGGTCACTGATGGTGTCCTCGTGGATTGCAGAGAAGGCCAGCGGAGCCAACCAGCCGTCGCGACCTTAGAGGGGTGTGGGCGCGTACCTGGGCCGGAGGAGGGGGGACCCCTAAGATGGGGGCATCTCCAATTACGGCCCATCCTTGCCGATCCCAAGGGTTCCAAGGTCAATCATGGAGCAGACTGGCACACTGGATCTCGCTGGAGAAGGACTGGAGCTGTGAGAGACGCCAAAATTTCCGGCCCCGACCTGCCAGCAGACGCACGCAGATGACCTTCCCTCCTGGGCTTACCCTCAATCTCTGTCGATTGCTGGGTACAATCCTGGTTTCTATTCACTCACGGTACTGTATCGAAGCTGTTGACGCCGTGACGACCTGGGCGTGCTGGGCATCTGGAGACTCCATTGATCTAGACCGCAGTCTACCGTCCACGGCCGCTGCAGGTTCTACGGCGATAGACCGACAGACCGATAGGCCACTCTCCCTCAGCACACAGTCCGACCCCCTTCAACCATGCACGTTTACCCTAGCAGACGACCCGTGGGGGTGGATGAAGCAGGGCGGATAAGGTGAGCGTGCCGTCGCGCTAAGAAAAATCTTTTTTTCCTCCCAGAAAGGTAGTGGAGGTGCCGTGATAATTCTGGACCCGGGTGACTGTTCCCCCCCGGCTCACTGAAAGTCGAAACTAGAAAGATTGGAGCGAACTCATTTGCCTCACCGCCGCCGCGCTCGACCCGTGGCACGCACAGCCAGCTTTGTATGGTGAGGTGAGGATGGTGGCAGCTGCTAAAGTCCTATTTCCAGCCCGCGATGCCCAGCCGGCACCTTCACCTGTTTGTCTGTCTGTGTGTGACCTGAGCCAGAGGAACGTATCTTTTCTATTTCCTGCGCGTCTGCTCCTCTTCTGAGTCTCTCGGTGTCAAACACCACCTATTCGTACCTACCTTACCTGGCCTTGCACAGTAGGTACTCCGTACACAGTAAAAAAGAACGTACCTCGCCACCCCTGCTGCTCGCTGCCAAGACCGGCTCGCCAATCCCGCTGCAATCAGAAGTCTGGACTCGTCCTTCCTTCCCTTCCAGTCATTGGGAGAGCCGCTGAGGGGACTTGGGTGATCCGAGTGCCACACACCGAGAAAGAGAGAGCGAAAAGTGCCAGACTCGCAATCCCAACACTAAATGCTGCTAAGCTTGCCTCCCCTCCACCCTGCATGCCACACTCCCTTCCACACCACCCCATCAATCACACACCCGTCCACCCACTTCTCCCACGCCACGCCACGCCACGCCCCTGCCCTGCGCTCTGCGGCCTGCCCTTGGTCGTCTTGGCTTTGTAAGGTACCGCCTGAAAGTACCTGACCGCCCGTTAAAGAAGCGTTGCTCCTCCGACTCAAATCTGCCTCAAATCTGTCACTCTGCTCTGACAACCAACTCGCTCACTTCTTCTCCTCTTCGACATCGACTCGAGACCATCGATTACGCGCTTAAGACATATCACTGGCTTTTGTCTAGACAGGATTCCACTCTGATGACGGGAATCTCGTGCTAGGCGCTTTCTCCACCACTTCAATCGGGCATATATCATCTAATGACCATTATCGCCCAGTTTCTTCTTCGACAGCCTCTGCAAGCTGTCACATAAAGAAGTTAACTTCGACGACGCGAACCGCCGAAGCCTCTCTACCCGCAGTCTATTTTGGACAGAGATCCGTTCTCTCGAACCACCCGCACATACAATCACAATGATCCCCAGAGGACTGACTTCCGCCTTCGGGACCCCATCCCTCGAGATCGGTCAGATCTTGCTCGGAAATGCAAGCCGTTACACTATTCAGAAGAAAATCCGCGAGGGCGTCTGGATCGCGACGTAAGCTAGTCAGAGGCAATATTTGTTGGTTCAAAACACTGACAAATTACTCAGTAACCCAATGGGCAACAAGTCCATCGTCAAGGGCGTGCAGGGCATCTCCGGAGCCCAGAACGAGCACAATGTCCTCCGCAAGTTCCAGGGCAACCCATTCCTCCGCCCTGTCATCGACGAAATCCAGCAGGATGCCCCAATGATTGTGCTCCAGCACATGGACGACCATCTCTTGAACGCAACCATCAAGAAGCCTTTGACCAACCGCGAGATTCGCTTCGTTGCTCGCGCTGTTCTTCGCGGCCTCTCGACCCTTCACAAGGATGGGTACGTCCACACAGACATTAAACCCGACAACATTCTCGTCAATTACGCCTCGGCCTCTGAGGCCGACCCCGACCTTCGCTTTTCCGATGTTCAGATTGGTGATCTAGGGGCTTCCTATTCGGTCGACTCTGACGTCGCTACCAAGGGATTCCTTATCGGCGCCCCTATCTGGACCAGCCCTGAGGTGCTCATGGAAGTTCCTTGGGGAACTGCTAGCGACATCTGGGCCTTTGGTTCCATGATGATCGCCCTTCTCCACGGCGGCGACTACAACCCTTTCCGCCCTACCAACGCCCGCTATCACGACCGCAGCTACATCTTCGAGGTTCTCCGCCAGCAGTCACGACGCTTCGGTGCCATTCCCGAGACCTACCTTGAGCGTGCGCGTCCTGGCAAGGCCATGGCCGCCAAGGCATTGACCGTTGGCCGTAAGGTTGAGCCTCTCGACTTCCGCACCGCCTCTCACTTCATTAATCGCATCATGCGCATGGACGCCGCCGAGCGTCCCACCGCCGACCAGCTCCTCGAGGAGATGTCTGGACTTTTCGAGGACTAGAACAAGAATCCTCGAGGGCCATCTACAAGTTTGGGGACGAATGGCAGATGACCAACAGCGGATATAACGACTTTGTTTTTTTGTGTACCGACAAACGGACACTGCATTATACATCAGGGGCTGAATTATAGGGCAGAACTTAATGGGGATGAACAGTGATGGCAGCTATTGAGCTCGTTTTTATGTGTCTCTCGGACACTAGGGTACTACTGGCGGGGTTTTCAATTTTAGCAGCGACGTTTGGGTTTCGCCTGCACGGAATAAGTCAGGTATTTGGGTTATACGATCAAAAAAGATCGCAACGGGAAGATAAAAAAGTACAGGGGGGCAACTAGGGGAAAGCGAATGTTTTGAGCGAAAGAGGACACCCAAGCGGTATTGTACAAAGACATAGATCCCATAGAAGTGGGAACACCACATAGACAACCACCCAAATATTACAGCCTCAAGAAGATGGCTTATGCAGACACCAACACCCCTATCTCTCTTCAGCTTTCATCTGCGGTTTTCCTGTACTGGTACTGTTATGACTGTGCTTGCTTTGTTTGTGTCTCAGGGTATACTGTGGTTAGCTCAGGTTATAAAATGGTGGCAATGTAGTACTAACTGATAATTACTGGTAATTTCTGGCGTAAGATCTAAGTGATGAGGCCTCGTACAAAAGGCAACTTTTCCTTGTTTCGAGTTGGTGAACAAACTGGTCCTCTTGAAAGCCAGCGTCATCTATGTTTGTACCCTAAGAATTATTTCCACGGATCTTGATTTATCTTCATGATAATGGTTGTCTTGGGACTTCCGGGACGAGTCAGACATCGCCTCTGAAAACTTCTGGCTCGTAGTGCCTCGAAGTAGTCAATCTGTAGCTGCAATCGCTATAATATGATGCACCGGATCTAACGCAACCTCGGTGTAAGTGCTTTTGATATCTACATTTACAATTTCCACAGCGCGTCTTCGATCAACGCGTTTCCTTGCCGTCTTGGAATACTTGTACACACTATCCCAAACCCACATTCTCTTTTCCCCCTCAAAACTTCATTCTCTTTGTGAAAAAAGTAACTTCGCTTTTACAAAAGACCCTGCTTCTGAAGATCGTAGTACACCTTCTCAGGCATGACGTTGCCCTCGGCGTCCTCCATCTGCACCACGCTCCCCTCATCGACTTTGGTCTTCTTGGCCTCCCGCTGGATCTTGTCCCACAGGTTGACCGCCTCCTCAATGCTCGTGATGTCGCGGAACAGGCTTGTGTTGGTGATGCCAAGGCACCGCAGACCGTGGACGTGCCGCGCCTCGTTGAAGTGCTTGTCAAACGCCCGCCGGCCCATGTAGACAAAGTTGCCGCAAATTTCGCAGGGGAACTCGACGCCCAGGCCGTGTAGGCGGTATAGCCAAAAGGGGATCGGCTTGCCGTCCCACGCGAGGGGTAGCTTGAGCGGGTTATAAATCTTTTCTTCGCCGTCTTCGCCGTCCTCATCGTCGTCGTCGCCGTCCGCACCGCCGCCGCCGCCGTGTGTGACTCCGCCTCCGCCGGGCGCCGAGTATGATAGGCTCATTATGTTCTCCAGCTCCTGCTGGCGCTCGCGCTCCGTCATGCCCTGCCTGCGCTCGACGTTGACGCGCGTGTCGCCGCGCTCCGTGCTCATCGCCGCCGCGAGGCGTTTGACGCGGTACTCGCGCTCCGCGACCGCCCGTTCCTTCAGCCTCGTCGCCGATACCTTGCTGCCGCCGCCGTTCGTGCTGCTGCTATTTTCTTCCCCCTCTTCCTCGCGACGCGCTTTCCGCGCCTCGGCGGCTTTGATGTGCTTGCGGCCCGTCATGTGCGACCTGTAGACGTTTTCATTCTTGAACTCCTTTTCGCAGTCGTCGCACCAGATGGCGTCCACTGTGCTGGCCTCCCGCGCTGCGCCGTTCGCACCGTTGGCGCCGACGCCGCCCGTCGTCTCCTTCTGCCACCCAGAGACCTCGTCCTTTTCCCACGCCGCCTCAAAGTCGCCGTCAAAGCCCAAAAATACCTTGTCGAGGTTCTCGAGCGGCCGCGTGCGGCGCATAAAGGATTCGAGGTACGACGCCAGCTCGCCGACGTACTTGAAGTACTGGTCCGTCAGCTTCTCGCCGCGCTTCAGCCCACCGTACCCGGGGGCAAAGTTGTCGAAGACCTCGAGGTACTGCAGGTACGACAGGCGCTTCACGTTGGGGAGGTTGAGGTACCCCTCGTGGGAAGTGTGCAGGTCAAAGAAGCGGCCGAAGCCTTCCTCGCCGGTGAAGAGGCGATCGACGATGTAGGGCATGACCTCGCCATCGTCGGGCTTCTTGACGCGGTACCGCACCTCCGAGTTCTCGGCCTGCTCATTGGGGTATTTGGCGTGGTGCTCGCGCGCGTCTTTCAGCTGGCTGTAAAACTCCTCAAAGGGGTCACCCGTGCCAATGGTCTGGATCTCGCGGCCGCGCTGGCCGCCGGCGTCGCGATAGATGTCGAGGAGCTTGACGGACTGCGTCTGGATCTGGTCGAGGAGCTGGCCGACCTCATGGTCGCGGTTTAAGCGGTCGCGGATGTGCTTCGGTTCCTCGCTGATGCGGTCTGCGATGCCCTGCTCGAGGCGCTCGAGGTCCTCGTGGAGATAGCGTTGCTCTTCGATTATACCCATTGTGTCGTCGCGCGTGCTTGGCCTTGGTGAACGGGACTGTGGCCGATTTCGGGGGGGGCAAAACGGCGATGGTTTTGAGGGTGAACGAGGCTCGAGAAAATTCGAGGTTGACGGCCCAGCCTTTCTGGACGGGCGTTTGCTGGCTGAGTGGTCCACCGAATAAGGTCGCGTTAGCTCTGGGTTTTTTGCGATCGCAAGCTGCTTGAAGCACTGTGGAAATTAGGTACCCTGTGACTGCTTTGATGCAGATTCGCACCATTCGGAATCTTAGATCTTCCGCCCCGGGCTCTGCTGCAAGACCAAGGCAGACTTTCAGCGGACTACGGCCGCTGTCGTGCAGTCGCGCCCGTAGAAGCTTCAGCGCGCCCCTCTAAAATTTCCATCGCCTTGCTGGCACCGTCCGCCTGCAACACCATCCTCCATTCGCACCATCGCGACACATCGTCTTAGCAGCACCATCACTTGCCACACCACCCGACAAATCCATCATCATGGCGGAAGGCAGCGGAATCGACCGTAAGGCGGAGGAGAGGATGGAGTTCTCTACCTCCAAGGAAGTGACGGTTCACCCGACTTTCGAGTCCATGTCCCTCAAGGGTAAGGCTGCCCAACACCACTCAACCGACTGCCATTGAACCGGCGCATGCTGATATCCAATCTTTAGAGAACCTCCTCCGCGGTATCTACGCTTATGGTTACGAGTCACCCTCGGCCGTGCAATCTCGCGCTATCGTGCAGGTCTGCAAGGGTCGCGACACAATCGCCCAGGCCCAGTCCGGTACGGGTAAGACGGCGACCTTCTCGATCAGTATGCTCCAGGTTATCGACACGGCGGTGCGCGAGACACAGGCCCTCGTTCTCTCCCCGACCCGCGAACTCGCGACTCAGATCCAGTCCGTCGTCATGGCCCTCGGCGACTACATGAACGTCCAGTGCCACGCCTGCATCGGCGGCACCAACGTGGGCGAGGATATCCGCAAGCTCGACTACGGCCAGCACATCGTCTCCGGCACCCCTGGCCGCGTCGCCGATATGATCCGTCGCCGTCATCTGCGTACGCGCCATATCAAGATGCTCGTTCTCGATGAGGCCGACGAGCTCCTCAACCGCGGTTTCCGCGAGCAGATCTACGATGTCTACCGATACCTGCCCCCCGCAACGCAGGTCGTCGTCGTCAGCGCTACCCTGCCGTATGATGTACTCGACATGACGACCAAGTTCATGACCGATCCCGTGCGTATCCTCGTCAAGCGTGACGAGTTGACCCTCGAAGGATTGAAGCAATACTTCATCGCCGTCGAAAAGGAGGATTGGAAGTTTGATACCCTGTGCGATCTCTACGACACCCTGACCATCACGCAGGCCGTTATTTTCTGCAACACCCGCAGGAAGGTCGATTGGTTGACGGACAAGATGCGCGAGGCCAACTTCACCGTCAGCAGCATGCACGGCGACATGCCACAGAAGGAGCGCGACAGCATTATGCAGGACTTCCGTCAGGGCAATAGCCGTGTGCTCATCTCGACCGACGTCTGGGCGCGTGGTATCGACGTGCAGCAGGTCAGTTTGGTTATCAACTATGACCTGCCGAGCAACCGTGAGAATTACATCCATCGTATCGGTCGCAGTGGTCGGTTTGGGCGTAAGGGCGTTGCCATCAACTTCGTGACTAGCGAAGATGTGCGCATCCTGCGGGATATTGAGTGTGAGTATTGATCCTCCAGCTGTTGACAGACCGTGGTGCTAATTGATATTGTAGTGTACTACTCTACCCAGATCGATGAGATGCCCATGAATGTGGCCGATCTCATCTCTTAAGCAGATGGGTACTGGAAACCCAAAAAAAAAGTACTTGAATCCTGTGTCAGCAAACGACAAGGGGAATCAGATGAGGCGGATGAAAAGGTCGTCATGCCAATAAGACAGTGGAGGAAGGGGGCTTGATTCAGAAGCAGGTGAGCCAGACACAGCCCATCTCTCGCCCTTAATTGTACGCGATTCGCTAACCCATGCCCAGAAGTGGAAAATCTAGATTGTTGATGAGAGAGGCTCCCGGGCGAATGGCAGGCGTCACAAAATAAGGAAGTGAACGGATGGCTTTTTTTTTCATATTTGGGAAAATGTCATTATTCGTAGTAATATGAATAGCCGCGCTCTGCGCTGGATGGGTATACAACAACATGATATCCTCCCACGCTTGTTTTGCCGTTCCAACGCCCTCGAAAGAATGAGATACTGGCGGTGCCAAGAAGCCCAAGAACCCCCCATGTTGCGTATTCGGCAGTGGCAGGCGGTTCCACAATGTACGCACCTGTTGGACTTGAAATTGTGTGATTGTCGGATTTGAAGATTCGCTGCTGAGAAGCCCTCCCTCACACATAAACGCCGTACCTTTGCTGTTATACATTTGACTCATTAAATCCGATTCTCAGGCATCGGCGCGGAGCTGAAGTGTGTGGACCGCGCACTCTGCGCGTACCGCAGCATCGATCTGCGCGTCTTTGCGTCCTGCGGCGGCTGAAGCCTCGATTTTCTTACGAGCTTAGACGGCCACCGCAACGGCGCCCCGGCATCGACCTCGGCCAGCCGAAATTCGCCTGGGCCGCCGTTCCGAACACTGCTCCTCGTCGCCGCCGGCGGCTTCATCGCCATTAACATGTCGACGTGCTCCGCCTCTTCGGGAGATAATTTCATTTCGTCCAGGCTCGCAAAGGTGTCCCTCTGCATCCGGGGACGGTTCGACTTTGTGCCGATGGTCAGGGGACGCTGATAGTACATCTCCGGGTCGCCGAGGGAGAAGTTCTTTTCCCATTCGTCGCGGCGGGAGGCGTCGGCGGAGGAGTTGTAGGTGTCGGAGCCACCGTAGGTGCCCGTTGCGGAGGCCATGAAGCGGGGGAAGAGGCGGCAGAGCAGGGGTTTCAGGGTGGTGAGGCAGGCTGTTACGATGGCGGCGTGGACCTCGATGCAGGTCAGGTTTGCGATGCGGACGGCGGACCAGGTTACGTCCAGTACTTGGAGGGGGGTCTCGTCTGTGTGAAAGAGGCGGACGAGGCGGACTATGGAGATTGCGCAGACGCTGTGGGCTTGGTGTTAGTATTTTCTTGTCTTTCGCTTGGGATGGTGGTCCTTTGTTTCCCGAGGATACCAGGGTAGGGTGAACTTACAGGAACGCGAGGCAGAAGACGACGTAGAGGCCCGTCTTCTGCCGGCGGGGGAGGCGCATGGTGTAGATGACGGGAAGGGGCAGGAGGAAGATGAGCAAATCGGTAGCGAAATGGACGCACGCGTTACCCCAGAAGACGGAGATGGGATGGCAGTAGATGGGGGGGTTCAGGGGGTCGTAGTTCCAGGCGGAGGTGAGGGGCACGCAGGTGGTGAGGATGCTGGCGATCATCCAGGCGTGGGAGAGGATAACGATGCCGAGGAGGGTCTTGCCGAGGAGGCGGACGAGGTCGTAGGTCAGGACGCGAATGTAGAGGAGGAGGATGGAGACTTTTGTCAGGGTGATGCTGATAGAATAGAAGAGGTTTGTAAAGATGCCTGCTTCGATGTAGGCGGCGAAGGAGGGGTAGGAGTAATAGAGGTGTTCCCCGAGGCCAAAATCAAGTTCTAGGATTCGGCATGAGTTGATTTTGAATCTAAATCCTGGTGAAAACGTGACTTACGAGTGATCATGCCTGCACTGGTGGTGATTGCAAAGGCGAGGGACGCAAGGATGGTCCAGTCCTCCCACTTGACGGAGCGGAGGATCCTGGCGCGGGTGTAGAAGCGCATGCCGACGAAGGCAGTGGCCACGACGGCCGAGAGGACGGCGACGGGTGCGACGGAGGCGCCATTCCACTCGTTTGGGTCTGGTCTCGGGAGGATGAGCCAGGGGGGGATTGTGGCGTTTGCTGCGGCGGAGGCGGCGGTGTCGGGGACGGAGGAGCGGAGGGCTAAGAGGGGAACGGTGCCGGTGGCCCGGGGTGGCATGTTTGCGTTCCGGTTGGTTTGCCGCAGGGGCTGAATATGTTGTCAAATTTATTTGCTTATGAGTACATGGTCGGTTGAGTTGGCGAAAGCTGGTTCTGAGATGGCGTTTGATGAAGATGTCTTGCTTCGAGTCGAGCTGTTGGGTTACCGCTTTCAGATCAATTCGTACGCCACCGGTGGCTCGCACTTATTGATAACCGTCGACCAATGCAAGATCTAGCTCGTCATTGCTGTTGTCGATATCAAGAAAGAAAACCCCCTGGGTCCAAAAGACGACAAAGGTAACGGTCGAGATGTCTCGAGGAGGGGAGACGAAATGGCGGGTCACTCGACCTTATACCAGCAGAGCCTTGCAACCAACAGCCCCCCCGGCTGATCTCGACCAGATCCATTGGGAAGAGGCAGACAGAAGGGGAAGGGGAGAGGGTGGGAGACAAGTGGCCGCGATGTGGCCGCCCACCGGGCCAGGGGTGAAGCAGGGGTGGGATGAGTGGATTGGGATCTGTGACGGGCGACAGACGTAGGAACCCATGTCCTCCCCTCCCGGTTGGTGGCCGCATTCTGGTCTCTGCGGCCTTGGAAGCGCCGGCAGCCCCAGATTTTCGGGAGATGTTCTCGCTGGACGGTGGAGAGGCTTGGTCGGTTTGGATGGCTGCCGGGCCTGATAATTGATCCAATATGGCCGCAGTTGAAGTGGTCACAGGCGGTGTAGACTAGAGCGCCAGGGTGTCCGTACGGATCATTTTCTACTATGATATGTGGTTACTAGAGGCCCAAGGATGGGTTGGCAGGGGGTTTGTGATGATAGTTGCCGCTGCGGTTACATGTTTGTGGCCGTGGTGCCATTTCCGGGCCGGGATGAGGCAGAAGATTTAGTCTGGACGGGTCTGGATATGCGATTGGTGCGTGGAGTGAAGTGGTGACTGGCGAGGGCCTGGAAGAGGTTCTCGCCCTTCAATATCGGAGGTCTTGCTATGAGCCGCGAGGCGGGTTGGGACGCGTCAGACGGGCAATAGCGACAACAACTCTGTTATCCTCGATGGCGAGGGCCATCCCAGGGGGGTTGGACACGATAGTCCCATCGGCAGAGAGAGTTTCCCAGGCAGTTGGGTCGAAGCCATGGCCAGATCAGCAGACACAAAGTACGAATACGGAGGAGTCACTCGGCCGGTCAGGAGCGGCCTCTCTGGCTCTCTCGGACCATATTGGGGCGGGCAGATGAAATGGACCTAGGGGTAACAACGGCCTCGCTTGGTGAGAGCGTTTCAGCTCCGGCTCACGATCCACAGGGTCCGAAGAGGGAGGAATGGAGGAGTAGGGAATATAGTTATAGAGCCGTCGGTTCAGTTGATTCTCTCGGCTTGTTTACTCTACTCGTGCGCTTCCGCTGGCAGGCCTGAAATACATTAGACTCTCAGCCGCAGTGAGACGGGCGTACATCCAGCAAGGAAGGGTGATGATTCGGATCATGATTCATGAGAGTGTTCGTGAAGAGAGTTATCGGGTGAAAGAAACGAACGGTGGAAGTGAGTGAGTGGAGCACTGGATGGAGCTGAGATTAGTGACCGGGTGAGTGGGTTGACGTTTAGGTAGGTGAGCCCCGTAAACCCCCCCTTTAGGAGAAGGAGACCATGCCAGCCGGAGCTGAGACGCTGCCGAAGTTACCTGAGGAGGACACAAGCGTCAAGGGAAACACTGTGCGTCCAGGGGTCTCACCCCCTCTTTGGGCTGTCTTGGGACGCATCTGGCTGCGCCGTGCCTCTGAAGCTAAGCGACTGCCGCGAACGATGCTTCGGGCGGAGTGGGCTGCACGGGAGGATTGCAGTGACCTGCCGCCCAACGCCCAAAATAGCACTGACCTCAGTGTGTGATGTAGGTATCAAGCACTGTACTGTATGTACTCAATCGCAATGGAAGGAGCAGATGGCCACTCGAGGATGCCAATCTTCAATCTTTTCAAACTTCCATTGCAATTCCCCTTGGTTTGCCATCTTTTCCCTTTCTCAGCACTCAATTCCACGTTCTATCCAGCCCCCTGATGAATAAACTTACGGCACAAGCGACTTGACAATGGCCCAGAGAAACTCGCCACCTCGTATTCTGCCTCGTAGCTCACGATTACAGTTACCGCTAAGCTTGGCTCACTCTTGCCAGTGCGACATTAGCACGGCCAACGCCGTCTCATCAACACGTCTCTGCGAGCTTATTTCGACCTGCCGATTGCGACTAGTCTGGAAGGGGACCTCCCGGGGATCGGGAATCGTCTGTCCAAAACTAGTTCTCATACACCAGTCGCAGGAAATTGATGAACCGCTTACTTTGGTACGTGCTGCTGTCACAGGGATACTGCCCCCAGCAACCGTGGCTGTGGATAGAGGGATGAGCCCAGAGCCACTCTACGACGACGTCTTCGGAATCTTGTGTGGGGGAGACCAGCCAATGGACCGTTCTGCCCTTTGCTGAGCCGCCGACGTCTATTCACATCACGGCGATTAGTGCAGAGACAAAATGCCATCTTTGAAAGCCAGCGCCCGGCTTCAAATTGACATGTACTTTGACCTCTTGCTATCCGACAATGGTGCAGGAATGACCTGGGCAGAGCAAACCCTCACGTCAAGGCGCCAATACGACCTCACCTTGTGCGACTCAAGGCGCTAATTTAGTCGTCTGATCACTGTCAAAACGGCATCTTTATTGGCGCGGCAAGGAGGAAAAGCCTATAGCGATGACTCGAGTAGCGTACTAAAGAGGTTCAGGTCTATCAAAACGCGCGCGTCTAGCGTCAAGCTCACGTCGCAAGAGATCTGGATCGCCGCCTGACCCAGTCCACTCGAGGCCTGCCAATGTCCCATGCGTTGCCGAATGGCAAATGATCCAATGCAAAGGTGCCGGCCGATTCAAGCTCTTAGGGCAGAAAACGTGGACGGCTGCAAGCTTGCGACGGCCGGCTGGGTATGCATGAGGGCCTTGCGGCCCTTGCCGATATAACTCACAGGAGGCTGGAACTTCCTAGCCGTGCCACGCCTGACCTGGTAAATGCGACGGTCTCGAGATTGGCTCCAAACTCTAAAGAGAAGTTAGGTTCCGGTATCCGTAGTCAGCTGCTGGCAACCTCGTCTATTCTTTGCTTCAACCCCCCAACGGGGAATCGATCAAGTCTACTTGATACAGGCACATCTGGAAGATCGTCAGGGTTCCTTTCCCAGCGACGATAAGGCAGACTGATACTGTCTCTTCCTTGGGGTGAAAGTATTGCTTTGACTGTTATGGTAATTGCCCCTGGGTAGGAAACTACGTCCAACGCCCTCTACTCCTCATGCCAAGGCCATGAGCACGAACAACCAGAGAAACCAGTCTAATGGCTCCGGCCTCATGAGCTGTAGTCTGCCTTCAAAGCGGCAATGGCTGCGGCACGCAAGGCCTCCCGTCTGCTTTGACTCTGAGGGTCAAAATACGGCCTCTCCCCGAGACTGACGGCACGAGACCCCTGTCTCTCCCCGAGCCCTTCCACTATGTAATCCGGCGTCGCAGCGTGGTAGGCCGACCGGTTGTCCCAAATGGCCACGTCGTTGGGGTTCTGCCAGCGGTGCCGCACCTGCAGGTCGTGGTTCTCGATAATCAGCTGCACGAACCAATCGAGGAAGTGCTTCGACTCCTCGTCCGACAGGCCGTTGATCTTTTGCACGTGGAGGCCGACGGCGAAGACGCTCTTCCAGCCCGTCACCGGGTTGGTGCGGATCACCGGGTGGATGGCTTCCAGGAGCTCGCCGACGTTCTCGGGCGCGCCGCGCGCTTCAGCGTAGAGCTTGAAGCCGTTCTTCTCCGCGGCCGCGTTGAAGCCTGGCTGGGCGTAGGTAGCCGTCATGCCGTCAAAGAACTTTTGAAGCGGCTTCGATATCCGGTCGTACACCTCGTATCCCGAGGCCCATAGTGTGTCTACGTTTCGTCAGTACAAGTGTACAGAAGAGTGTCGAGGGCCCCCTTTCGATGACTCACCTCCTCCCGTCTTTGGCAGCTGCGTCAGACGCAGCAGGGCATAGTCGCTCGGCACGGGCTCAAAGGTGATGTCGGAATGCCACTGTGACCTCTGGGTCTGCTTCTTGGTGTAGTTGAGGAAGCGGTGTATGCCCAGCCTCTTGGCCTGCGCCGACGAAATGACGCTGATCTCGTCGTCCTTTGTGTCCCCGCGGCCGGAGTTGTTGACGGGGTGGATATGGAGCTTCGAAGTCGAGGGCTTCCCGGACAGCTCGCCGAGGCGCTGCACAAGCTCCTTTTGGAGGTCGTTGTCGATGTTATCCTGCTTGCGGAAGAAAACGACACCGCGCTGCGAAACTGGGGTACGGGGTTGTTTCAGTATACTTTACATCTCTTGGTGGAGGCGGCGTTGCTCACTGGTGATTGCCAGGTCGCGAATGAGTTCGTCAGAATTGGGCGCACGCAGCCACTCCTTCAGATCGACTGTCGGGTACTCGCGGCCGATGACGGGCGTCACGTCAAAGTGCTCAAACTGGTCCAGAGCACCAGTCGTTTTGAGAGGTTCCTTGTGGCCTGTCCGCACTTCGGGGAGCTCCTCATCCAGGGGCGGAAAGTCGTCTGCGTATACTGTTTCCTTGGCTTGTTCTTTCGAGGGCAGACTCTTTGCCTGGGGGTCCTCGACCTTGGCGGCAGCTGTCTCTGTTGCAGATGGGGCCATTTTTGGAAAAGAAATTAAAATATCCAACAGTTCAAAGGACGAAGTTTATTTACTATTTCTGCAACTTGGAGATGGCGGGGTTGAGGAGGGGTCTTGGTCCTGTCTTATACGCCCTTCGACTTGAACCACCACCTTACATTGACCACACCACACCACCAGCGCGCGGGCTGTGGAAAAGGCCAACGTGTGCGCGACATCACACCATATGCCACTCGGATTCTGCAATTAGGTAAAACGGTTGATCCCATGGGGACCAATCGCTGCGGCAGCCTCCCGCATCGAGAGCGAAGACGGGACGACCACCGGTAGAACGGACAAATGGCGGGTCGCCGGGGGGGCTCGGCGACACATGTCGAGGCCGAATCGGAGCCGTGCATCCTCCCTCCCCCTTCGTCCGGTAAAGCAGACAGACCTCCACACTGTTGGGGTAGGTAGTTTTTCGTGTCGGCTCCAGTGTCGACAGGCGGGGTAGGCCAATGAGATCTGGGTGGGTTACGCATTTGGAACGAGATGGTTTGTGCAGGTGGGATGAGATGGAGGTTGCATAGACTGTGGCTAAACAAGTCGAAGCCATTGTGGTATTTATCGCGAGCGGTGGGTTTAAGGTGACTTTCAGATGAATCCTGTGCAAATGACGGTGTGTTCAAGGTGCGCTTGTTTTATTTAGTACGGGGTCTGGACGGACTCTGCATTTGGAATTTGCAAGTCGGGATGGGTTGAGCTTGACTTTGGAGAGGAGCTCTAGAAAGTGGACGATGATGGGCCATCTCCCAACGATATAGTATACACTCGAGTCGAGTATCATTCAGATACCGTGTCTACATATAATGCGAGTTGCACAGCTGCATCGCGGTCGAGCTCAGACAGTAACGTGGGGTTGCGCTGGGAAAGCACGCTGCGAGGAAGGCCTTTATGGACGGCTGTTGTTATTGCTGTCGTTTATCGGCTCCGAACCTGAACATTGGTCTCGTTGTTAGGCATGCCGGAGATTGCCAGTCGGTCCTTGGACAGGCCGGAGGGCGTAGGTGGGGCCATCGGCTGCCGGCTGGCTGCTGGGTTGTCCGATTTACCGGCAGCCGCCAGAACGAGCTTTTCAAAACTTGAGCTCCATTGCGCGAGCGCGCGGGCAAGATAGTTGAAGTCGTGCAACGAGACGGGCGTGTGTTTGGGCTTTGTTGAAGATGGAATCCATCCGGTCCCGAAGCAGGTCAGCTACATATATCTATGATTGGTATCAAACAAAATCGGAACACTTTTCATGACATTGGCAGATGATAAACCCGAGTGTCGATGGCGGGAAGACGATGACGAAGATAGGAGAGACTAAGCGTCGATCCTCGACTGCCCGGCCACCGACGTCATCGACCTGACACCGATGTCATTGGATGGAGCTCTTTACACAACACTCTTTTGCGACTTGGAGTTTCGCTGTAGATTATTCACTCGTGGTTCTCAAGTTTTGTTGAGACACTTACCACCTGTTGCAGCATTAAACATTCTACCCAAAGAATCCATCAACCCCCTTGAGGTATCAAACGCAACCTTAGATCCAGCAAAAAATGTCATCCTCAGCGCCATCTCAACCCCCTACATCAGAAGCCTATACGGCGGCCTCAAACCCGGCAACCCGCAACCCAGCTGAGAACGCAGTAGCTCATGAGAGCGAAGCTGATCGCGAGACCGCCGCGCGCGACGCAGCGCTAGGCCGCACGCCCTTCCCACAGTCCCAGTCGCGGTCCGCCGACGACGCGACGCCGAGCTCCCTGGGCGCCGGCGTGCGTTCCTCGGGCCCCGTGGACGAGACGGAGCGGCGGAACACGGCGTACGTGTCCGAGGGCAGCAGAGAAGCGGCAGGGCCTGAGAACCCCAACGTCGAGGCCGAGCAGATGGCGACGCTTGCGGAGGGTAAAGTCGCTGATGCGGTGGAGAGGAAGAGTGGTACGCAAAAGGTGCCTGGACAGGAGATTACTGTTGATGATTTTGGGAGCGGACTTGAGGAGTGAGTAACCCTCGTGATGCGTAGACTTTGGGTTCTATGATGGGCAGTGAAGGAGAGTACTGACGTCCCAAACAGGAAGAAGCGAGAGCAGCAAGAGGCGAGAGATGCGATCAAGAAGGCGAGGAGCGAGGGCGTTGATGCGGATGGGGGATTGGGGAGAGGTCGTGGAGAGAGGATAACCGGGATGTGTAAGAGGAGCGGCGAGCTTGGAGAATCGTCAATTCGTGTAAGCGTGCACAATGTAATCGACGTCGACAGTATAGTGTTGGAATTACATTGAGCAAATGACACAATTATGGAAAAGACAGGACGATTCATACAGACAAATAAATGCCTATCGATCTCACGCAGTCGATGGCCAGATACCAAAAAAGCAACGGCCAGAGACATTCAGTCCAAAAAATACAAAAAATAATGTTCTCCCCTTCCAGAATCGAACTAGAGACCTTTCGATGACGATGTAACCATTACAGTCGAACGTGATGAACCAACTACACCAAGGGGAGGGTCGGGGCTGTGCCCCGCTCGGTGATGACAATTGGAGGCGGATGCATGCCTAAGTTGCTTTGCAGCTCCGCCCAGCCCAACGTCCATGCACTCCCAGTTTACCGAAGCTTCATTGTTGATCAACCTTACTGTCTGGAGTCAATTCTGCCTCTACCAAACTTTAATCGATATTCAATTCTTTTTAATCCTTATTTAGTATTCTGAAAAACAGATTTTAAAAGAGGGAAAGATTCTTTAGGGCTTGGGCGAATTCACATTCTTCCCCGTCTCGGGGGAGCATTTCGTACCCCATTACTTCTCCGCTCGTATGCATGCGGCTGGTTCGGCGGGGTTCTCAAACGCACTTGCGAGCATCGTGAGCATCGCACAGCGGCATTAGTTATCGCATTCAGTACAGGGCGTTTAGCTCAGTGGTAGAGCGCCCGCTTTGCATTCACCTAGTGTCTGCGGGAGGCCCAGGGTTCAATCCCCTGATCGTCCAGCAACAACTTCTACACGATACCTCTTCGTGTATCTTTTGCTTTTTGTTGTGGTTTGCTATTCATCAATTGCATAGTGAGTTATCAACTGCTGTGTCTCTGCGCTATTGGCGGGGCTATCCCTGTCTTCTTCGTCCTATCGCAAAAGACTCCGATCGAATGTGTCTTGCAACCATCCCAACACATCTTCTCTAAACTCGACCGGCTTCTCAAGAGGAGCCCAATGCCAGCTTCAAGGCAAGCTAACGCATTTCTACCGCATTTCTACCGCACGTCCATCAAATTTTGACCGTAAGCATAATGTTTTGCTCTTGATCCGCAGAATACTGGTGGAGTATGCGTATGAGAAGTCTGCGTGCTGTAAACGGGATGCTGAAGTTGATGGAAGCTCCCCTGGCCCATGGGCTGACGGCTGATAGACAAGGTATGTTGGTCCATCTCTGCGGCCAGTAACTCAGCCGGTGAGACTGAATTGGAAATTCACTGATATTTTGATGGATTGAGGCAAATGGCTCTACCAACTGAGTAGATGTTGTTCATGATATTTTTCAAAAGCTCTGCCATGCAATTGCACTCTTCATGAATCGCGATGATGCTCTTTTTCACTCCGTGTCAACATCGAACAAGAATGTGCTGGTCTATTTGGAAAGAATATAATGACTTATTCAAATCATGCTACTTGAAGGAACATCTCAAGAGTTCTTTTAGGATCATCGCTGACTTGTGAGATGAGATGGGACGATCCTCAGTGAAGGCAGCTTCATACTGCTGATAAGGTAAGCCCAAGGAATTATGGGCCCGGGCATGATGCACACAGTGACACACACACACAGATGACCCCGCACCAATCATGCCGGGTTCCACAACTTTAGTCACAACAACACTCGGCCGCCTCCAACTGCGGGACGGACATCATTGGTTTCCCCATCACACAGCGGCGACATGGCGAATTGGAAGTTCGGAGCTTGCTTTGTCCTGGCCGCGGCCCGGGCCGTTGTCGGACTTGGTCCGCAACATCTCGCCGGCCACCAGGCGTGGAACGCGCTTCAATCGGCTGCCCGGTCTCAGGTGGAAATTGCCTCAGTCTTTGCGGAGCATTATCCCGAGTACAACCTCTCCGTCCCTGTTGACCACTTTCACAATGATTCGCGCTACGAACCGCACTCGGATGAGTATTTCAACCTCCGTTACTGGTTCGACGCAAAGCACTATCGCAAGGGAGGGCCCGTAATCATTCTCGCGGCTGGGGAGACGGATGCCAAGGAGCGTCTGCCTTTCCTCGACCACGGCATCCTTTCCATCCTTGCCAAGGCTACCGGCGGTGTTGGCGTCGTTCTCGAACATCGCTACTATGGCAAGAGCTTCCCCGCGCCCGATCTTAGTACCGAGAACCTGCGCTTCTTGAGCACCGACCAAGCCCTCGCCGATACAGTCTACTTTGCGAAGCACATCAGCTTTCCCGGTCACGAAGACCTGAACCTCACCGCGCCTGGCACACCCTATCTTGCTTACGGAGGCTCTTACGCCGGAGCTTTCGCCGCCTTCCTCAGGAAGCTCTACCCTGACGTATTCTGGGGCGGAATCTCGTCGTCGGGTGTCACGGCGGCTATCATCGATTACTGGGAGTACTACGAAGGTGCCCGGCTCTTTTCGCCAGGTGACTGCGCCGAGACAACCCAGAAGCTCACCCAGGTTGTCGACAATATCTTGCTTGGCAAGACTGAGTCTCACAAGAAACAGCTTAAAGATCTGTTTGGTCTGGGCCCTCTTGAAGATGACGACTTCGCCAGTACCCTGTCTTACGGCATCTCCGGACTGCAATCGACCAACTGGGATCCGGCCCAGGACACCACGGCATTCGGGACGTACTGTGCCACCATCAGCTCAGACAGCGTCCTCTTTGGCAGCGCCCGCCATCTCAAATCGTCCGTGGAGGAGCTACTTTCCGCCAGTGGCTCTGACAAAAAGCTGACGAATCGGATGCTCAACTATGCCGGTTACGTCAAGGATTACGTCAAAAAGGGTTGCAGAAGCGGAGATTTGGTGAAATGTTTCTCAAGCCGCAACAATGAAGAGCACCAAAACATTTCTCTTCGCCAAGGTCCCGGCCGCGCCTGGATCTATCAGGTCTGCACAGAGTGAGTGTGTCAAGCTAGCGAGTTCGATCTAGAGCTAACAAGTCTCCTAGATGGGGCTACTTCCAGACTGGATCGGGTGTGCCCGAGGACCAGCTTCCCCTCGTTTCGCGCCTCATTGACGTCGAGTATAGTTCAATTTACTGCCGCGAAGCTTTCAACATCACTGAGCCTCCCAACGTGGAGGCCATCAACAAGCATGGTGGCTTCGACTTTAGCTACCCGCGCGTCGCGATCGTCGATGGTGAGGCTGATCCTTGGAGAGCCGCCACCCCTCACAAGATCGGCCTGGACCGCAAGTCGACGACCAGTGAGCCCTACCTCCTCATCGACTTGGGTGTCCATCACTGGGACGAGAACGGATTGAAGCCGGAGGATGTCACACCAGACTTCCCGCCTGCCTCTATCAAGAATGTCCAGGCACAGGAAGTCGAGTTTGTCAAAGCATGGATGAAGGAGTGGGAGGAGGCGCAGAGCCATGACAGCGCCAAAGGAGGTATGTTTTTCGCTAGTCATCAGTCATTCAATGTGCTAATGAGGACAAAAGAACCAATCGAGGAACTTTAGAAGAGGACACCTATTTGCGTCGTTGAGATGAAAACGCTCGTGGATTGTCCATTCCATTTATATATCACTCTTTGCCTCTGGCTTGGTTTCAACTACTTTTTAGAATAGCTTCACGTTGAGTGAAATCAGAAGTATTCTCAGTGATGCAAGGTCGCGAATGAAGAGGCTACTACGCTCCTCTGACGGCCGGCTTGGAAGAATAGTCAAAGTGATGTGCATTAGATGGGTAGTGGGTAAAAAGCCTGTAACGAATGTACAAGGATGACCGCACCTCGAGCCTCAAATCCAATCATATCTCTCCCCCAAGCCTCTCGAAAGATCGACACAGAGCCAGCACTAATTACTGTGTCTGCGCTTTGATCAAGTCGGCAGCCTTCCATACAGTTAGCAAGATTACTTTTTACTAGGAAACATTGAGACCTCACCTTCTCAGCAACAGCATAGACTGTCATGGACGTGGTGGCACCGACAGTTGTGGGCATCATCGAAGCATCAATGACCCTCAACTTCTTCACACCATACACCAGCAAGTTCTCATCAAGCACGCCGCCCCACTCGCGTGGCATCTTCGCAGCGGTACCGACAGGATGGTACACGGACGGGATGATCTGCCCCTTGGCCCAGTTAACAAGCTGAGCATCAGACGACACGCCCGCGCCAGGCGACACCTCGCGCGCCTGGTACTGCGCGAGCTCGCCGGTGGTCATGTAGCGGCGCATGAACTTGATGATCTCGGCCATGACGTCGAGGTCGATGGTGTTGGACGCGGCGCGGTAGTCAACCACCATCTCGCTCTCGGGCTGCGCCGTATTCAGGAGAATGTTGCCGCGGGACATGCAGTGCAGGTTCTGGACGGAGCCACCGGGGCCGTAGATCATCATCTCGGAGAAGACGACATTCTTGGAGCGCATGAGGCGGGCCCAGACTTTCTGCTGCTGCTTGTATCCCTCGATCTGCTCGGGGGTGTAGGCCGACGGGAGGTGGGACTTTGGGTCCTGAGCCTCAAAGGCCTTGGCTAGGGTTTCGAACCTGTCCGGACTGACGACGGGCAGGCCGATCATGGAGGCGAGGGACGGCGGACCGCCGCCGCCCCAGCCGCCGCCGCCAGAGTTTGGGGGCTGGATCCCCCATTGGTAAGAGATGCTGGGGATGTAGCTGTGGTCTTGGAAGTTGGATCCGACGCCCGGGAGGTCCACCTTGACCGCGATGCGCGCCTGCTCGAGTTGCGCGCGCGGGCCGATGCCGCTGAGCATGAGAACCTGCGGCGTGTGCACCGAGCCGGCGGCGAGAATGACCTCGCGACGGGCTTTGATCTGGACGGGGGCGGCTCCCGTGTTATTGCGAGAGACGAATTGCACGCCTGTGGCGGTGTCGCCGTCAAAGAGGATGCGGTTGGCCTTGGCGCCGACTATCATTTCATAGTTTGCGCGGTTCAGGCCGTCCCAGTGGCCGGTGCGGGCATACGAGCGCTGGAATTGGACCGGGTCCTGGGACATTGGGTACCAGTAGAGACCGGCCTCGCCGGCGCCGCTGTCGACGGGGACGGTCATGCCTGGCATCTTGGCCATGGCGTTGTAGAGGATCTCTTGGAGTTGTGGTCAGTGAGTCGTGAATGAAGAGAATGGTTCAGGTAGACTTGACCCACTCATGATGGACTGAAGAGGACCCTTGCCAAAGGCCGCGTATATCTTGGAGGTTGTGCCCCAATACTGCGTGTCGTAGGTGATGTTGTACTCTCGCGCTTGTGCTGCATCAGGGGCCGCGAGAGTGATGCCCTGGGGCCCGTTAGTCTTGCAGTCCCCTTTGCGGACTCGGCTGATGGCTCACCTTCTTGAAGTACGGCAGGAGATTGTCCCAGTCCCAGGTAGACCCGGGTCCGCCAAGGTCTTTCCAAGCGTTGTACTCATCCCTAGTCCCTCTCAAGAATACTTGGCCATTGACAGAAGAGCTTCCACCGACGACGCATCCTATGCCCACATCGAAGCTTCGGCCGTTGAGATTCGGGCACGGCTTGGACGTGATGTTGAACATGCGGCGTGGATTCATGCCGGTCTGGCTGTCGTAGTAGCCATACTCGACCACAAGAACGGTATCTTTTCTTCGTTAGAATGAAATGCTTGACTGTCGGAGGTGAGATGGAAGCTTACATTTGCCATCCTCTGTAAGTCGATCGCCAACGGTGAGCCCGGAGGTGCCCCCGCCGACAATTACATAGTCATATTCAGTGGCGAGTTGCTCTACTCTGGTGAGTATCTGGACGTGTTCGGGGTGCTGGGTTGGCCAAGCAGACGTGAGTTCCGCGGCCAAAGTCAAGCAACATAGAGTGACAGTTCTGAGAGAAGGCATCACTGCGGAGGAAACTTGGTGTTCAAGAGAAGACGGATGGGGTGCGATGCGGAAACAGAAAACACAAGGTTAACCAGGCCAGAGCGTTTTATAGGTTCAAGTTCAGAATCATGCTGCAAAGCTTCTGTCCTTTGAGAAGAACTTAGGACTTCCTCTGCAACGCACCCTGGATCCAGTCCTACTGGAGATGCCAAGCTAAAAGGCCCTATTTTGGTGTCGGATGATATTGTTGGTAACAGCTGTCTTTCGTTAATAAAGGGTCCCTAGGCCGAATGTATCTTGAATATCCCATTGGCTCCTTCAGAATGCTTCATTAAGCTTATAATAGGCTCAACTGGGAAATATGCGGGGGGCGAATCGGCAGCGCGAACCAGTGTCGTATGAGCCGCAACTCATAATATCTAAGGTGCGGGGGACACATACTGAATTGGGATCTGACAGAAGCCGCTCAACCTCGATTGGGCATATACGCTAGGAGCGTTGCAGCCAAGAGACGGGTCCTGTTGTTAACTTCGTAATGTTTCTGATTAAAACCGGCAGCCAAGGCTGGATCAAAGCAACGCTCACTGTCATGTGGTCTTGGATCTTTTCGATTTTGCCCGGAGCCAAGCCTTGCCGGCTAAGTGATGAAAGTCTTGGAATAACGACAATTAACTTGTTGGGATATGTGATCGGAACTTGAGGACAAATCCTGTGATGGTGCGGTAGAACCGGGAGATTTACTCTCGAGACCTCTGGAGTCTAGGAAGAGTCATTTGAATTGCAATCTATCTCAACCACCTCTTGACGTGCCTAAGGAGGCCAGTGCTGGACCATTCAGCTGAAAAGAAAGGTAACTGACTCGTTTGATAGTATGGTTTAGCTCCGTGACCTAGAGGGCGGAACTATACGTCATGTTCAGGTGATCTACCTAAGTACCTGGGAGGATCTCACAGCCGAGTTCTTCCATCAAATCTATGATTGCACCCCGTTCTAGGCCCAGTGCTTCCCGTCAACAAGTGAAACTCGGCCGATGAAAAACAATCTCGTGACCATAATCCATGAGTGACAGACTGTCTATAGCTGTGTGACAGTATAGTCATGACCACACTTTCCAATTGGATGAAAAATTGCGTTGTGGAAATAATGCGGGTGCCTCTTGATTATGTCAAAAAGCCTACGCGCACCAGCTACCTCATCCGCATCGGAGCGATTAGGAACCTTTCTGTAGTTCTTCCAGGCACGACTCTTAACCAAGTGTCTGAGCTTACCAAAAAAGTCCTTAACGAATTGTTTCCATTGGGGTTGTCGAGGTAAATTGTCGGGAGGCAGCCAGAACTCATGAGATACCAGTTCGGATTGGATACCGCGCCACTGGGAAGGGGTTCCCGCCGCAGAACGGAGAAGATGTCTCATCTGGTAGTGGCACCACTCGGTATGGAAGAAAGGAACTTGGTATTCGGGTGCGGCGATTTGCTTGATGCTTTTGAGGTTTGCAAGTGTTTCTTTGTTGGTCCACATCCAGAAGCATGTGTTCGTTGCATGGCGCGGCCGTCGCGATCGGAAAGGCTTCGTGTCGATAACAAGGTTCTGGATGTTCTGCATCCAGTCGATGCTCTCTCGGACGCATGTGCGAAAGCGCACCTTCACATGGACAAAATCAGTGTCCCAGTTGATGCCCCTGCTAGCTCCCATTTTCGATGCTGAGTGTTTTGGTGGCGGTATCATTGTCCAGGGACCCTCCTCGCCCTCATCTTTGATCCATACTGGAAACCAGAATTGCGGCCTGACACTTTGGGCCACAGATCTCGACAGGAGATCAATTCCTTTGTCGATGGAGTCGTGATATCCATCTGAGTACTGCGCATCGTGTCTGGTCAAAGTCCAGAACGCAGTGCGGTGCGTCGCCTTTTCCTCTTCCTCGCCATCTTTGTCGATGGGCTCTGAGACATTGGGTAGAGAGTAGCTGCGTGATGGTTTGATAAGCAAATCAGTTGACCTGGAGGCCTCCCTGTTGTCTGCCTCATCATCTTCCTCGGCGGATGCCTCCTCGCCAGCAATGTCCTCTTCTGACGTATACTCCTCAGATGTACGCTCCCCGGATACATGACCCTCAGACCTGTTCTCTTCGGGCGTAGTCTCTTCAGACAAATTCTCTTTGGAAGTTTCATCGTCAGACGTTTCTCCGTCACATGTTTCCCAGTCGGAGTCTTCCTCGTCGTGTTCCTCGTCTTCTTTCTTGTCGTCCTTGAGATAGAGTTCTGCAGTGTAGTATCGAGGTTCCAAGTAGAATTCTCGCCAGACTTTCGCCTTGATGTTATCAGGCAGATCCGCGAATTTGTGGAAAGTTGGATCCGAAATTGGTACGAGTTCGTATTCTTGTTCTTTTTTTGCACGTTTTCGGGACGACAGTACGCGTAGCGCCCGCTTCTTGATGTCTTTGATGCGCATTCTTTGTACTAGAGAGGCGGAGACGGAGCAGAATTGGTTGAAGAACAGATATGAGTGGAGTATTACCGGTGGAATGGAAACGCGTGGAAATGGTCGTTTTTTTTTTTCTTCGACCGTTTTAAAAGGGCTTGGGCACCCGCTCTCGCTACCTGTTTGATTCGAAAAGTTTAATCACAGGTTTCTATGGCTATGAAATATCTGTTGGGTTGCGCTGGGCTGGGATGAGATCTCAGGGTCAAGGGTCACCAGCAGTGTAGTAAGTCTAGAACCCAACCCGTGGGGCTTGAACTTACCAACGCTGCAGGTAAGCGTCATTCCATAGCGAAAAATTCTCGCATTTTATACTGAAATCAGCATGATGGCTTTTGGAGGAAACGAAAGGTTTCAAGGACGGCTGAAGAGAGAGGGCAAATATCACAGGCTCGGCTCGTAGCCATCACTTTCTTGAATGACAGCTATTGATAAGACGTTTTGGAAGCCGGGAATTGGGCTCTTTCAACGTTCGCAGATAGGATTCCTGGAGCAGAGAAAGCTATCAGGATTCATGGGCTGAGTATCATATCTTGACATCGATCGCAAGTCTTTCCTCACACCAAGAGTTAAGAGACTGTTCTCGACTGATGAGACTTGTAGAAAGGTTGGGCGTGAAACCCCTATTATGATCTTGGTTCTAGTGTCGAGACAGCTGACCTTGCTGTTCGTACAGTAGGGGGATGCGCATATTATTCTCCAGAAATTTGTCCGTGGCTTTTGTGCATTGCGATCCTCATGTCACCAGTTTTTGTTCTGCATACTGTGGGCACCCAGATGGTCACGTTCAACGGGTGGCGTCAAACAGTCGAAGGGTGCCGGTGAAATAACTCTAACAATCCGAACATATGCAGGCTGCCAGCCTCCACAGAAAGCTTCACATGGAGGGCCCGTCAAACGGCAGTCTTGAATCGCATCATGCGTATGATGTTTCCTCAGGGTCCCAATCTGACTAACCAAAGCAGTACTAAATCAGCAGGGCCATGTTCGCGAGAGTTTCACTTTCTGTAGGGTTCGTTCGACAATGGAGACATGATTTCTGAGGTATAGATAAGGCGACGAAATACCCGGAAGGACTGGTAAGAACGCGTGAGTCCATGCAAGTATGAAGTTTATTAACGCTCTTGCATTTTAGCCTGTCAATTCCTACCTGAGTCCTGACCTTGATGGTGAATCCGTGGGCTATATAAACTCAAGAGCCGTCGTTCCTCTAACTATTCTGAGGGTCTGAATGTTGCTTCATTTTCGTTATCCAATATTCGACAAGTCGTCACAGTCCAAAAAGATTTCCGACAATGCGTCCTCAACTGCCCCTCGTGGCCATCCTTGGCCTGTTTGTTGCAGCCAGTGCAGCTTCACCCGTTCAAAATGATCAAGTCTCTAGCCCTACGGGCACGTCCGATGATGTCGTCCAGGAGATGTCGTTTACTACTCTCGTAAGTCAATGCCTATAATCGCTCGCTGTAACGAAGTAGCTAGCTGAGGTATCTTTGAGCGTAAGACTTGACTGACAAATCTACTCAGGACGTACGGAAGTTATAAACGCGTTTATTCTTGAGGATCTTTTTTTTGCTAACAAAGCAAAGTTTAAATGCTTTTTCGCCTGCCTCCCTACGTGGATTGCGGGAAGGGTCTTCAAATGTTACGAGGAATGCAAGCGAAAGTAAATGCCACGAAACCCGATCGAGTTCCCAAGTAGCCAGAAGAAAAAACTGGATTTGAAAGGGTCTGAAGACATGAGGGCAAGCCTTAGGCGGTGGGGTACAATCACAATAGTCGCATTCTAGCTGGCAGCCGGACAACTACAAGCTGCCAAACACACATCAATTCTGCTCAATCAAACTCTCGCAGAGGCATCATGCTGTGACTTCAGGGCCAAGTCTCCGGCCAGGACGAGACCATAAAATTAGTTTTCTAGCACCAATGAACCAAATTTGCAGAAAAAGGCGATTCATGCTCCTCAACTTCCCATATTTGTAAACTGCGAAGTTCCTTGGGTACTGTTGACGTGTGTAGAGACACCTTCGTCTACCTCGGTGTCCATCCGCCCGTCGTCGCTGGCAGCTGGATTATTGACCTTCCACTCCGGCAGCGACTAGTCTCGCACATTTAAACCCTCAAGTGGCACACTATGCAAAGACGCTCCAGAAAATTCCGATCTGATGAGGCCTCTAAGCCTGGTGCAAGACTCGTTGAAATCGAGGAATCCTTTGAGTGCCTTGGCAACCCTAGACCCCTCCGCGTACCCTTTTGAGCAGAAATAAAGCCGCCGAGAGGGGTTCGGCTTGCGTCTGGTGAGCAGTCGCCAACTCTGCTTCTCTCGTGATACTCCCGCGAAGATAGTAGGCCTTTCCATGACGCCGAGAGCATCCCTGGTGACTCTTTTCGTGTTGTATTTTTCCATCCACATATCCCAAAGCCAGGACATATCATGATCTCCCGTCCCGCCGTCTTCCTCGTCTTCTTCAGGCGTGACACGGGTAACTTGTGGCTGAACCATCTTCAGTGGGGCTTGTGAGAAAGAGAGGATCATTGTCCCGTTGAACATGCCGAAAGCCATGGCCGCAAACAATAGGTCATCATCCTCGACTGGAAGGGAAACCGGTCTGATGTTGGGGTGAAAAGTGGGCGGGGCTTCGAACTCGTAGGTTGAGTCCATCGTGGCGCACTTGACGAAAAACTTGCCAATGCATCCCCAAGCCGTATTTCAATCGCTTCCGCTTCTGCAAGGATCATCGTTCCGTCAACGCAATGGTCTATTTCTGGTGTCATAAGGTTGTGGAGAACATAGAACATAGCTATGATGCCGCCTCATCGAGACTGTCCATCCGTCTTGAGCATCAGTCATGTCCTACTCGGTCCTCACGGTTTCCCAGGCATGATTTATTGCCATCTCGGTATCTTGCGCGTCCCAGCCAGGTACGCCAACACTTACGGGGTCGCTCGACAAGTAACGAAAGTGAAGACCGCTGACCCGTGTAATCATGCTCCTTAGTGACAGCGCGTCACCTTAATGAATGCCGCGAAGTACCATCGGCCGGGGAGTGATTGTTCGGTCGGGGCTCGCGTCTGTTTCGAAGCATCGCTGGCTGAAGAGATCAAGATCAAATTCGGCTCGTTTCTCTGGCCGCTCGATCCCATTGAAGATATAAGATCAATTTCCCTCTATTTCTTCCTTCTTCAAGAAAACCCTCTCAACGGGTGCTGTTGATTTTCCGAGATAGTCGCACTTTGAATAAGGTAGGTCAGATGTTCATTCTCGGCCGCTGACAAACGATCTGGACAACGCACCGCATCCATATCGATTAGGTCGACCAAATCATTGCGCAAATTGCGAAGAGTCTTCGTCTCCACATGGCCAAGTCGAAGTTCGTAAAATTCTGACTGCGCGGCAAACCACGACTTGCGCCGAATGTCATCTTGCATCTCAACTTGTTCACTTCCAGACCGGCCGTCCCGAACATGATTGGGGACATGGAAATCGCGGAGGCGCTCGACGTAGATGAGTTTATACCCCATACAAGTCAGGTCACCATCCACGTAGTCGAAGCCTAGTTGGCATGCAGAGTCGATGGTTCGTTCTAGCCTTCTCATGTCTACGAAGGAGGTAGCAACCATCTTGACTCCAAAAGGAACTCAAATAGAGTCCATTTGAATGTTGCATAATAGTCGATGAGCGCCAGACGCGATCCTCGAGAGCTTTAAGGCATGAAGCTTTTACATTTACGCGTAATGTGAGATTAGCAACGAGACCGCCATGTGATTGAACAGTGGCGGTCGAAAGTCTCCCTCAATTGTCCGGCCTGATGTAATAGTCTCTAGACTGACTTGACACGCCATTGTTTCCATGGTGGCCCCTATCTATCAAGCCGCTTATATTCCACATATTCCGGCTTGTCGTGGATCGCACAGTGGAAGGCTCCACCAATAACCAATGAGGTGAAGCAGGCTTGTCAGTACGGTGTGGCTCTCGTGTGTGCTTCACCCCCCTGTTCCGACTCAACAAATTCATTCCAGCTCAGCGCAGCACAATCACAAACAGCTCTTATCCCCCATTTGCTAATTCAAATATTGTCGACGTTTTCCCCGACTTCTCATAGCCCCATAGCGCAAGAGTTGACGATCAACAGTCCATGTTCAATCCCATTCGTCCGCTGTCACGTTGAAAGTATAATTACCCCAAGCACCTATGCGTACACGAGGTCAAGTTGAGTTAAACTTTAGACGTCCTTCTTCAACTAACTCGGAAGAAAAAGAAAGACCAGTAGCACCTTTCATAAGTCTTTCTCATCGGTCAAATTGACGATAAAATCTCCCCCGAAGATTCTCAAGTGGTAGATTGCTGCTATCGAAACATCTCGTCAAGGACCCATTCTCGGTTCCCACCAAGGTACAAGAGCGCTCATCTTGCCCTTCTGATCAACCAACCCGCTTCAAAGCGGACCTGGGATCATGGCTTGGTGGCAGAGTGGTCTAATGCGCAAGACTAGAAATCTTGTTCCTTCGGGAGCGTCTGTTCGAATCAGGCCCAAGTCGTTTTTTGATTCTGCAGTTCCCAGACCATCAATCCATTTTGCTCTACGCTCCTTTGCAGATAGATGTAAGAGATGGAAAAGCCTTTTCTGAAAAATTTCAAGATTCACGTTCCGATTGTCTGCGGGGTAAGTTGAAAAGCAAAATCATTCAACTGGCTTATTAATCATAACAAATATCTCGCTGTCTACAGATTCAAAGTTTCCATGATGGCCCGACTGAAGTGATCTCGTCATAGAGTAGCCTACGAGTTTGAATGATCAGCATTGCATAGCATTACTAAAGAAGCAGTAGGACTCACGTTGTAAGGAAGTCGGCGTAGTCTTCGCCCGTGACTTGTGGCCGCAGGTACTTGGCCGCCAACTCGAACTTGTTATTCGCCGGTGCAGACTTGAGCAGTTCTTTAGTGACGTCGTCGAGGACGCCGAGCACCGTTGTCTTGTCGAGTTTTGTGCCTTCGGCGGTGCTGACGCCGTGGTGCACCCAGTACCACAATTGTGAGCGAGACACCTCGGCCGTGGCGGCATCCTCCTGCAGATCTGTCAGTTGTATTCCAACGGTGCTTCTGTGAGCAACGATTGAAACATACCATGAGGTAGTTGATGGCACTGCAGCCCACACCGCGAAGCCAGCCTTCCATATAAGCCAAAGTAATGTGCAAGTTCTTCCTCACACCCTCATCGGTAATCTTTCCGGGTACAACAGAGTTGATCAAATCGTCGCGGGTGACGTTCGCCTCGGGCCGCTTGAAGATCTGGTTTGCGGTCGGCATGTGCTCGTTGAAGATCTCGGACGCAATCGACGCCAGCGCCGGGTGGGCGACCCAGGTACCGTCGTGTCCCGCCTTTACCTCGCGGAGCTTGTCGGCGCGCACGCTGTCCATGGCCTTTGCGTTCGCGGCCGGGTCGTCCTTGCGCGGGATGAGGGCAGCCATGCCGCCCATTGCGTGGACGCCGCGGGCGTGACACGTGCTGATGAGAAGCTTAACGTAGGCGTCCATGAAGGGAACGGTCATGGAGACGTCTGAGCGGTCGGGGAGGATGAAGCCGGGGCGGTTGCGGAAGCGCTTGACAAAGGTGAAGATGTAGTCCCATCTGCCGCAGTTGAGGCCTGAGCTATGGTCTCTCAGCTCGTAGATGATCTTTGACAAACGTTAGCGAGGGAGGATGCACTTGTGACGGCTGGCGATACGAACCTCGTCCATTTCAAATACGGCGCTGATCGTCTCAATCAATACCGTGGCGCGGATCGTGCCCCGCGGAATACCGATGTAATCCTGTGACATGTTGAAGACGTCGTTCCATAACCTTGCCTCGAGATGCGACTCCATCTTGGGCAAGTAGAAATAGGGACCGGCGCCGCGGGAAATCAGCTCCTTGGCGTTGTGGAAAAAGTACAGCCCAAAATCAAAGAGGGCTCCGGATATGGGCTCTCCGTCCACAGTGAAATGCTTCTCATCCAAGTGCCATCCGCGCGTGCGGGCGATCAAAGTCGGAAGGGTGCGATCAGTTCTGAGCTTGTACTCCTTCTCGCCAAGCTTAAAGTCGACTTGTCGGCGAATGGCATCGTACAGGTTGGCCTGGCCTTGGATCATATTGTCCCATGTGGGACCATTGGAGTCTGATTGGTGTAAGTCAAGGAAAACACCAGACCGTTCAAAAGCACCTGAGCTCACCTTCAAAATCAGCCATGTAGGCCCAAACGTCAGAGTTGAGGGCGTTGACGACCATTTTCCGGTCCGTGGGTCCGGTGATTTCAACCCTGCGATCAACCAATCCAGGCGCCGGCTGAGCGCCCCTCCAGTTCTTGTCATCGCGAATATGCTTGGTTTCGGGGAGGAAGTCTGGCAGGCGTCCATTATCTGTGTCTATTTGACGTTGTTGGCGGAGTTTGAGGAGGTGCTTGCGCGTAGGCTCGAAACTGCGATGCAAAATTGCGAGAAAGTTGACGGCTTCCTTGGTGAGGATCCGGCGAGAGGCTTCGTTGCCGGCGCCAAGGATGGAGACGCTGTCGAGTGTTGATTGAACCATTGTGAATTTCTATGTAGACGTTGAATACAGGTAGATCTTCTAAGCACTTCTGTCTTCAAAAAAACAGTCCTTACTTCGCTCATGACGCTGAAGGGGTGCTTTCAAGGCATTAAGTATTCTTCTCACGGTTAACGGCGCATCATTCGAAGCTCGGCTCTATTCCGATGGTGTTCTCTTATCACTGCGGAGTTTGGTCATGGTGCTCGGCTCAGCACCCGAATCGGAGGCGGCCGACATCCGATTGGCCCCACTCGCCCAGACCGTCCACCACGGTCGAACGGAGAAGATACACTTCGGACACTCTGCCAATGCAGATGCAATATTTACGTCACTGGCAATGGAGAATCCCGAGTTATTTGCGTTGGATAAGAGTGCTTCGATTCCATTGAACATTATTTGGACGAATTACGACCCATACCCGCCAGGTGCCATCATCTTCTCCAACTCGGCCCAATCTAGTTGATCAACTCCCGTCAGCGGGAGAGTTGGATCGTTGAAACTGTTGTAAATGCCCTCCGCTGCTTCTAAGCCAAAGGCTTGTTCCAAGTTCTCATCTAGATTCAGACCGAACAACGTGTCTGAACCATAGGTATCTGCAGGACCCCCAAACATCTCCCCTTCCCAAGACGGCACCGAGGAGCTAGGCGTCGGCGTGGTCAAAGGCAGTTGGGCCGGTGAAGGTCCTGACTGCTCCGGTAGTCCGGCCCCAGGTGTGTTCCCCACCTGGGGTACCCCATGGGACGCCCCGGATTCTCCCATCTGCACGTCATGGTCCTTATCGAACGCTACCACATTGGCCCACACGTGTGCAGAGAACTGCCGGACATCCTTGAGACGCTGCGCTGCCGCCTGGTTTCCGGCAGACGACAGATACTCCAAGAAATCAATAGCTTGGAAGAGTTCTTGTGGTGGCGGCTTCTGGCTGTCTTGCTTATGTGCGAAGCCGCGCATGATCAAGACAAAGGCGGCGGAGAATGCGGCATCCAGGTCGAAGAACGCGAATGGCGCTTGGCGTTGTTAGTGATCTGTCTCTCAGGGTTTTGCAACTGGGAAAAGTTGAACGCCTACCAATTTCTTCCTGTCTTTGCATGGCCATGAGAATTCGGATGATTCTCAAAGCCGATTCGTTGCAGAGTAGGCATAGTTGAGAGATCGCCGAGGTCACGGCTTGCTTCTGCGTTTTCTGAACCTTGTCTTTGACCTTTTGGAGCAGAATCGGTCTAATGCAGAGGATGATTGACTGATTTTGGGTTGTATAGGTAAGTGTATGCCCCAACGGAGTGAACGAGTCTGCCAAGTAGGAGCGGACAACTAATTCTTACCTGGAACAACCTGAGATAGAGTGATGCGCCTGCTCTGGTGACCTCAAACTGCTTATTGCTGAAGTCTATAGCAAGTTCTGCCGGAATAGACCCGCCGATGTCGTGTAGTGATTGAAGTAGGTTTCTCATCTTCCTGACAAGATCAGCTTGCGATAGTGCGCCTCGACTGTACAATGCTGCGTATCACGATGATTAGCTGCCGCCGATACGAGCAACGAGTACATGATGCAATCTTGACTCACATGACATGATTTCTCCGGTTGTGCGGGCAATCTTGACATTGACATTGAGCGGCTCTGGGGAATCGAATCCTGGCGAAGGCCCAGGGAGATCGAAAGAAAGGTGCCTGTCATCAACTGAGGCTGGACGCCCGAGACCTGCAGATATACGTCTGGTTGAGGGTAAAGCCATTAGTTCAATAGTTGTTGACGGTTCCTTATGGTCAACCTACTGGTCCAACATGTAGACAGTCCACCACACCCTCATTCTGTGTGCTCTTTCCGAAGGCAGGCATTTCTGCTCCGAAAATGGCAAATTACATCCCAGAGTCAGGGCAAGCCGTACTGTGGTTCCCACCTGTGGCTTGTCAGTGATCTATGTCATTTAGTAAAAAGAGGTTCTCGCTCACAAAGAAGTATGCATCATTCTTCCGGTCGTTCCACTGCAAGTAAGTGGTCGCCAGGCACAGGATCTCCAGTCCAACGATGCCGTACTCGCTTATACTGTGAAGAGGCGGCAGCCGCCTCATCGCCTCGGCAAACCAGAACGCTCCAGGAGGCCCTCGGACCTCCCGCGGATCTTCCTCCATCAACTTACCCATGGCCATGACCAACAGGTACAGTGTGAACCACGGGGTGTCCATTTGCCGAGCCCGAGATGCTTGGCTGTTGAACAGTAATGTCATGTTGTCTGTGAATGTCCGCTGGTCTAAAAAGTGTTGCGTGACTCCCATATAGGAATTAAAGAGATTTAGCAGACGATTAGACTCGGCCTCTTTGGGAAAGGCCTGGTGAGGGATGCCCTTGATCAATTCATTTGTTGAGGTCCATTCAGGGGTAAATGGCAGATCGCGGGGATCTTCATTCTCCAGATGTTCCGGAGCATCCTTCTCCGGGGAGTCTGGATCTTTGCCATTGTTCTCATGGAAGAGACTCCGCAAGCGTTGCTCAAAGAGCGGGCCTGGGGCGCGTTCTATAGATGCTATGCTTCCGCTTTAGCTTTCCTTCACAGCCCGATTGGAGGCTGTCAGGCCGAGATACACGTACCATAACTCGGAGGCGGTACTTCACCGGTCGGCTCAAATGGCGCAATCCCTGGTGGACTTGGATTTGATGTCCCAGTCGAGACGCCCCTGACCTGTGACGAAGGTTGTGATCGTGGTTGCTTGGCGAGCTCTGCACAATATTAGTCTTCATTCTTTCCGATTCAGAGATTCATAAGCTGAAGGAGATCAGCTGAGGTAAGGTACTCTTTATTTGGTCCTCATATCGGGTCAATGTGGCTCTTAGTTCCGAGACGTATCTGGCCAGTGAGTTAGCAAGTTGAAGAAGTCCGACCTCGGAGTAGACTCACGCCTCTGAATATCTCTTTCGCCCATCACCAAACTCGCAGTCGAGATTGTTTCGTGCACAATTTCTGCAAGGCTGCTCCCCTGAGCACTTCACCTTGCGTCGTCGGCACGTGTTGCATCTAATCCGGCAGTCAGCGTGGCAAACTCCCCCATGGCAAACACGTCACAGCGGTGGAGTTTGGTGGGGTGAAGGGCAAGTTCAGGTGTGACTGACGCGTTCGCGGACCGTGCTTTGGCGGCAGCTTGTTGAGGCATCGCGCCTTCTTCCTCAACCTCGTCTTTGATGCGTCTTCTCCTCTTCCGGCTTGATGAAGAGGCTTCAGTCACCTTGTGAGACTGCCCGTTTCGTCCCGGAAAGTTTGCAGAGTCTTCATGTGATGGATGTCGCTGCGGCAATTGAGAGTGTGGGGCTGATAAGAGCCGACTCGCCTTGGATGAGGGGTCTAGGGTCGGCGATAAGGAGCCCCTGTAGCTGCTACTCGACATCTTGCTAGGCGGTGTGACGACCCGATTACTGCAGGTTTTGTACTTATACCGCTTAATGCATCAATGGAGGAGGTTATCTGTGAGCAGGATGATGTTGCGACGGGCTCGCTTAGAGCATTGAACTGTAGTACTGGCTGTATTACTGGGCAATTCGACAATGTATTGAAAAACACCCATAACACTTGGTTTTTTCGAAGACAAGAGTCCGCGGCGTAAAATGACACGGAGGCGGCAAGACTGTCTTAATCACAACATTCACCCCTCGGCACCCATCCGAACCGTCTAAGGCCAGGACCCACCCATCGGCTCCCAGCTCCGAACATCGCTGATAAGATGGACCAGCCAATTGACGGGGGGAAGCCTGAGCAACGGACTTGTGCTCAGCAAGACACTCAACCGGGAATTGTCCAGCTTCTTGAGACGCGGGGTGCCCTTTTTATAGATATGGCCAGTAAGGGGGAGAGAAGCCGAAATGAGTGAAGGTCGGTTCCTATCCGAGAGGCACGCCGGCCTTGGCCGATGTCCGACGCTATCTTGTGGGGATAACCGGAGATCTCCTCTGCCAAAGCCATCAAGTCGGGTATCATTCTACCATATCCGTAATAAGATCCAACACTGTTGGCCGTGCATCCTCGCTGGTGACGTGAGAATAGTAGGTTTCTTATGCAGCAAAGCCATCGCAGACAACTCACTGACCACGCAAAAATGTTCAGTGAGGACGTCCTAACATCCAAGGTTATTTATTCACCACCAGAGCTATGGCACTTGACCACGATGCAAGCGTTATCACCTTTGCCACGGCATACCCTTGGCTGTATACAAGCTTATACATATAGTCATGAGCCTTCAGTCAGTGTTTTCTTACGACTTAAGCACCTAGCTGTCAAACATGAAAGTATGCGACTTAAATCCGCATATTAATCCGCATATTAGTGATGAGGCCCGATTGATATTGTATCTGGAGTAATAATGTCAAGAATATGTCCGACACTCTTGTCTGTATTGTAACAATACTTAGCCACACACTTAAGCCACAACAACTCACGATCCAAGACGGATGCCGCAAATCAATGCAACACCATGGTATAAAGTGTTCTCGTCGATCCTGGGTCGGGATCCAATGTCGCCCTTGTCCTGAACGTCACCCGACGCGTCACCGAGATCACGAACAAGAAGCGAGACTGTCATCCTCACCATGTTCTCATTTAGAACACGAACGCCGAATGCTTCATCATTGTTTCTTCGCCACTTCCTCCCCGTCTCCCACAAGGACTTGAATAAATCATAATACCTATTTGGAACATATGGGCTTGAGAAAAAAGGTCGAGGCGACGATCAAGTCCTTCTTCGATGCGTACATGGAGGATGCAAGCCAAAATGAGACCTCCATCATCAACCGCGAGGTCCCCCAGACTGCACGCGCCACTTTCTCCCGCGTTACATGACCAAAGCTTTTGGCATGCCGTCCGAATTCTCCATCGATACCACAGCCTACGAGGAGAACTTTGCCAAGGACATGGCCGTCTCCAAATTCGAGTCCACCACCATTTTGCACCTCGTGGTCGAATCTGAAGCTCTAGAGGCTGCCTTTACGTCTACTTCCGACATTTCGTTCAAAGACGGCTAGGGGAGCCTGCAACTAAAGCTTAATTGGTTCTTTGAATTCAACGAGGATGGTTCAAAGATAAAGGTGGTTACCGAGTCCTGCGACAAACATGCAGTTATGGTTATCCATAGCCAGGTCAATGCGAACGAATCGCACATCTTGGACACCAAGTCGGAAGCTCCAGCCGGGAATTAACGAATCACTGGCATTTATACTGCCACGCTGGCTACTTTATGATGTTTTCATATAGTACTTAGCTTCATATGGGTTTCCGCCCAAAGCTTCGGCTAGCTACAACTCCTTGTTAACATTGCACAGCGTGCCAACCAAACATGCCTCAATCGTGTTATCCCCCAAGGCAGAAGAGCAGACCTGCTGAGGACATTCAACCCAGAATTCCTTCAAGCGGAATTTGTTCCATCAGTTTTCACCTCTTTTGCGAATCTGACAACACCGGTCCTGTCAGCCTTTAGCTGAACCGGAACATCCCCAACCAGCCTCTTCAGACCGCCCGGCTCTGATATACCTCCCGCTGCTTTCAGCCTAATCTCATCATCCATGTCCATACAGACTGGCAAAAGAACATCAGACTTCCAAGGCTGCAATCCACTCCGGTTCGTTCGCACGACTTCAACCACGAGATAAATCGCCGACAAAGAGACTAGGGCGACAGCGTATCCGATCCAAGCCCAGCGCACTACGATGACCACCTGGGTGGCGAACACTGTGCCTCTGAAGGCGTCACTATCTGTCCTATCGTTACTATTTAGGCGCACATCGTTGGTCATGCTCCTTGTAAGCCTCTCCATCCAGCTATTAACGTCATCGAAACTGGCGTGCATTCCGTCCGCGTAGGGAGACGCCGACGCGAAGACAATCCCCAATGTCCCATCGGCGCTGACGTTTCCTATGATGTTTTCCTTCGCGTACCCTTGCATGGCGTACATCTGCCACGGGCCCATTCCGTAGCTCTTGCCAGCTTCGGTGTTGAAGTGAGCCGGGATGTTCGCAAATGTAACATTTCTCCCATCAGGAGTCGAGCTCCCCGCTGCCTCACTCCAAGTATCGATGATGTTGTCACTCAGTTCTCCTGACTTGACAGTGACCTCTCGTGCTTGAAGGCAATACCAAAGGGCGCATTCAGCCGCGCGGGAGTCATCGAGAGGTGTAGTCGCTGGCATGCCGCCTGGAATGCCGAGAGCGCTGAACTGAGCAATCAGGTTGGGCGCATCTGCCTTGACCATTCGAGTATCCGTGGATTCGAAGGTTCGGTTTGAGCCAGTGCTGATATTGAAAACCGGCATAAAGTCGCTCCCTGAGCCACAGTACCCAGAAAGCTGGGTGCCATCTGGCGCAGACACAATACAAAACGAAGAGGGGCTTCGATTGATTTTGATTTCTGCTGTCAGGTCCACGCAAGCGCCGCATACTCCGACGGTTGGTGTGATGGGCCAAGTGCAATTTCCTGTCGGGCAAAGGACTTGTGGTAGGCTAACGCCTGGGGACATAAATCCTTCATACATGGCAAGTTTTGTGGGTGTTTGAGGGCTCCCTAAACAAAATCGTCAGGAGATGCGATGAGTAAGGGAGTTAGACCTCATGTTCAGGTAGAGAGCGGCTTACAAGAGTTTGCGTATCCCGTTACTGTATTCACCCATTGGCTTCTAGCCACAGTGCCTGCTTGGCCTGGCGAACTGCTTCTGACTTGGTCCACCCGTAAGGTGATTAGTTGCTGAGAAAAAAAGCCGAGAGCTAGAGACAACATCGTCAACAAGGCTCCAACGCAGGCGATGTGGCTAAGGTTTCTGTTAGCACTGGCCTTGAGGTTTTCAGGTCATGCAGAACACTCACGCCCCCTTGAACCTCCACATCAACTGCAAACTTCCCCATGAACCTCTGGAGGCGTCGTCGAATAAGCCAAAGTCATCCAGCCGCCGATACCCGGCACTCTTCCCTCTTCCAGAGAAATGATTCCACTTAGACTGGCTGAGAATAGCGCCTACGGTAATCATGAAGGTCGCGCGACAGACCGTGGCCAATATCGCTATCAAACCGTTGAGAGTCAAGGTCGTGCTAGGCCAAGAATCTTGCGGCTTGCCGTCATATTGCCACAGAACTACTGCCTGGGAAACAAGACTTGCCATGGCCAAGAAGCAACATCCTATTTCCAAATACCACCATCTTAGAATTGAATATATTGGAGTTGCCTCCTCGCTGTCCAGGGTGTTCTCTCTGGGCGGTATGTCGTATCCGCCCGCCTCGGACCAAGGTGCCTCCATGACGGTGATGTTATCTAGCATCCGACCAGGTCAGCTCGCAAGATCAAATAAGCTCCGATTATTACTCTGGCTGCTCACAATATGACGATGGAAATGGGAGAGTACAAACCTGGCAGAAGTGCCTGTGCCTGCTGAGCTTGATCGGCAGACAGTTGAGATCCCAAGAGCTTGTGCACGTCTTTGCGAGGAACTCGATGCACAATCTCGTCTTGATGGATTCCCTCATACATTTGCGGGCTACCTGTGAACTGGGGAGCCTGAGAAATCATTTTTGACGTCCACTTCGTGATCGTCCGAGTCAGGGCTACTCGTTGTTTTTTTTTTGGAGGGGGGTGGCAGGGTCTTAAAGGGTCATGAGAATGCAAAACCCCCGACGAGAAGGAACTCCTCACCTAGCGCATTTTGTGACGGGATGTCTGTCTTTTGAGTTCCTACAAATCCTGCTGCCTGCCACCTTGACTGATGGGTATCGTGTCTCCAAAAATCCTGGCCTGCTTCTCAGCTTCACTGCGGCAGCCGCCTGCCGCCTGCCAAGATGGAAGGATTTCATGATGCCATGTGTTATGGAGCTTTACCCCTTGCTCATGCAGGTAAGCTGACAACAAGCTCCCTGTACATAAGGTGTCCGTACATTTCTACCAATTATGCAAGACAAAAAAAGTTTTATATTCTGGGTCCCCTTGATGACTGCATACATTGGTTCAACGGCTGGCTTACCACCCGCCTACTTTTCTTATTTGGGTAACTGAAGTTGAGATTTCGTTTTCTTCACAACCCAATAGTAACTATGACAATGATGTCGCAAAGGGACTCTTCGAAGGCGCACTTACCAGTTTGACTAAACCATAGTCACCATTGCAAAATAGCCGAAAAGCTAGAAAATGAGTTTGAGTCACAGCACTGTTATCCTCAGATTATCTCAAAATGCTGTGATTCAATGCCCATAAAATCTCACCGATATTTACAAAGTAAAAAATGACTAGGCAAGTGACCCCCGTTATCATCGTCAACTATCCCATATATGAAATATCATGCCAACATTCGCCTATCCTTTTTCTCTTTGTATCTTTGTGCTCTCAGTAATGGACAGTCATGGTTCAGCGTTTCCTGGTAAGACAAGCCCAGGCTCAATTTGCTACCAAATTCGCTGCTGCTGTGTGGGCTGGGCTGATGGATTCAATCTTGTCATTAATCTTCGTCGTTGTTGCTCTCGGCAGAGAGTATTCTAGCGCTCTGGGTGGGAACAGAGGGAGCGCCGGGGGGAGGGGGTCGGTAGGGTTGTCGGTGGGCCTACGGGGAGGAGTACCAGAAGGAGGAGCACCCTCGACATGAGCATCAGAAGGCCTAGAGGAGGGGTTCCGGAAGGAGCGCCAGAGGGGGAAGCGCCAGTGGGCTTAGTGCCGGCCTCCTGGAAGCCGCCGTGGCCGCCACCGCTGGGCTGGGCGACGCCGCTGGGGTGAGGAGGGGGAGAGCCACTGGGTGGAGTACCGGACCGCGGGGCACCGGATGGGTGGGCGGTTTTCTGGCGCCGGTTCATCACGCCGCAGACGGCGCATAAGAGCCCTACGTGATCCCAGCCGTACAAGCGGAAGCTTCCCAGGTCTCTTCATAACATACCAATTAATCAAGCCTCGAGGGGGACCCTTGCCTTACCTTACCATTGTATTCGTAGCCAAGGTATTAGAGGGTAAGTTAGTAGGCTTGAGTGTAAAGAAGACAAGGGAAGCCCATTGAGCTATTGCCGACAGCCAATTGGCTCATCCCCCTATTCGATTCCCCGTTCCGGACGGAGGGGCCGGTCCGAATGGCTTGTGCGCGCCGCAGCGCCCCCCGACTGAATTTTTTCTTGTGTGCGGTTGCAACGGCGGGCGCTGCTGCAAATCCTCAACCGCCACATCACGCGCTCCCTCCCTGCCTCACTCCCACATTGCCTCACCCAATTGCCCTACCATCGCCCGCTTCCACTCGAGGCGCCGGGCGCGGCGATGCCTTCTCCGGCGCTCGGGATACACAGCTCGTTGCTCGGAGTCTACAGCGCAGTATTGTTCCTCCGTGACGCAGTGTTACTCACGTCATCGTCGCTCATTCTCATCGCTTTCATCGTCATCGGATACCGTCTGCTGCTTCATCCCTTGGCCCGCATACCTGGGCCCAGGCTGGCTGCTATTTCGAATGTATGGCACGCTTACCATGTGCGCAACGGACGCATGCTTGCGTTGGGCAAGACGCTTCATAAACGGTATGGGCCGGTTGTGAGAGTTGGTCCGAACGAGGTGTGGTTTGACTCTGTAGATGCATTCAAGCATATTTATCGTATGTTCATCGGTATTCACGTCAAAGGCCTGATCTCGTGCTTATTTTCTTCATAGGAGCCGGCAGTGGTTATGAAAAGTCCGAATTTTATTGTACGTTGGTCTCATCGTCATGTCACTTCACGGCAAGCTTATACCAAGTCAACAGTGTCGACTGCCCTCCAAAGACCGGACATTACTTTTACCCCCTTTCCGAAATTTGCATCCCCAGATACACTAGACTTGCTCTCCGAACGTAACACGCAGCGATACCGCTTGCAACGCCGTCTGATCGGCCCCCTCTACCAGACGGCATGTCTCAAACGGCACGAGCCAGCCCTCGACGCCGTATTGGCTCGGGTCATCGAAACCCTACGCTCTCTCGACGGCGCCGAAGTTGACCTCAAGGAATGGATGCACATCATTGCCGTCGAGTCGCTGTCAGCCGTCGTCCTGACCTGGTCACCAAACTACCTACGTGATCACACAGACCATGCCTCCAGCACCCACGGCTACCTCGGCTGGCGCCGCAAGTCCGTTTTCGGGCTATTCCCCCTAGTCGTCAAAGCGGAGCTGTTTTCCAAAACTGTTGGCAGGAAATTTGCGAATCTGTGGCGTGTGACGTATAAGACGCCCGAGAACTTTAAGCCCTTCTTCACGGGCGTCTACAGACAGGTCTCGCGGAGGGTTAATGCTTCCCTCGCAAACAAACCGGTCTCGAAGAACGATCGCAAGGACGATTTCCTCGTGGATCTGATTCAGTTGCACAAGGACAGGCCAGATTTCACGGAGCAATACCTCCGTCGAATGGCAATCACCAATTTCGGGGCCGGGCATGAGACAATGTGTTCCGCGCTGACGTCCATCATGTCCATGATCGGATCCCACCCCGAAGTGCAACAGCGGATTTCTGACGAAGTTTGCTCCGCGACGGACGATCCCAAAGTTTATGACAACGCCGTCCGTTTGGACTATACTCAAGCAGCCATCAAGGAGGCACAACGACTGTATCCTGTCCTCGGGATGTCCCTACCCCGCATGGTACCCCCGGAAGGGCTCACAGTCCACGGAGAGACCTTTCCACCTGGGACAACAGTCGGCTGCAGCCCTGTCTCATTACATAGGAACACTCTAATATTCGGTCTAGACGCGGAAAATTACAATCCGGACCGCTGGCTGGACACGGAAAGAGACCTCAGGGCTATGGAGCGGTTTAATCTTACCTGGGGAGGGGGCGGAAGGATGTGTCCCGGGAGGCACCTTGCGGAGCTGATTGTGTACAAGACAATACCCGCGCTGTTCGAACATTTTGATTTGGAGGTTCAGATGCCACCCGAGGCTGAGATAAAGTATTACTTCATGGCGATGCTCACTGGCGTGAAAGCCAGATTTTTGCCCAAGAAGACGCGTCATCAATAAAAGGGTATAAGCGGTCAGGGTCGAAAAGGCGTCTGCACTGCTAGGAGTCAGGAGTGCCATGAATGAGTAATCAACACGGCTTGCATGGGACAGCCAAAGCATGAGAGATGACATGAATGACTTGAGGAACTACATAGAAGTACTAGGCTAGATAAAATCGGAGGGCAATGGAACCAGGCAAGCATCATGATGATTATTTGACATTTCTCAAAGTGTGGGGAAAAGTTCGCTGGCCTACTGCTCTCAGTCCCTTGGCGGCCTGCTCTTGATTCTTTCATACTTGGCGACATTCAAGAGAAAAGTCATGTACCCCACAGAACTCTCCTGAAGAGACCTGAGGTATATCTTGTGTGAGGGGTAGTACTGGCATCCGCCTTTCTGTCCGATCTCGTTTGCCTCCTCCTCCGACGCTCCAAAATGGAGCTTGAAGCTGTAAATCTTGCTAGCTGTCTGGTTCACGGTGTGTCTGCTGTACGCCCAGTCAACAGCAGATCCAGAAACGCCTTGGAACGTTCGTCCCTGCTCGCGGAGCTTATCGATGCTGTAAACAGGCACGCCAGAGGCGCTCGACATCTGCGAGGCAATGTTGTTCGAGATGTCCTGGAAGATGTCCAAGTCTCGGGGGACCATGTACTCGCCGTAGCCCGTCGCAGGATCGCCGCGCTTCCCGTCGTAGCTCTGGTTGCGGAAGTTCATCTCGGGGCGGGTGGTCTGGATCGGGGTGTCCGTCCACGCGTGGCTCACGAAGCGGTTCTTGGTGTGAGCGTCGAGGTACCATCTGATAGACGGGTGCGTGTCGATCACCGAGCCAATGTTCCGCGATTCCGCCTCGGAGAAGGGTGCGCGTCCGTGGAAGAGTTCGTGCTCGGGCTTATCGGACGCCACGTCGAGGGCCTTCTCGCTGAAAATTGTGCGGTAGTCCCAGGTGAAGTTGAAGTTGCGGTCAACGTTGACGCCGATGCCGTCGAGGCTCTTTTCCGAAAGGCGAGAGGCAGGGTTGAGGGTTTTGCCCCAGCAGTTGTTCCAGCGCTGGTCCCAGGCGTGGCCGTCCGGGTTCACGAGGGGGAAGAAGACTATGCCCAGGGATAGCACCGTGCGGACTTGCTCGATAGTGTAGGCGGTATTATTGTTGTAGACGAGGCCCGCGTTGTGCTTGTTGGCCCAGAGGAGGTCGGAAACGAAGTAGAGGAGGCTGTCTGGACCACCGCGCTCGCGGGCCTGGATGCCGGCGGTCAGGTAGACGCGGTAGTTTCTAGACTCCACGCGACTAACGCCGTTAACGGCGGGCAGGAAGCCGATGGTGGACTTTTGGCTCCAGAAAGATTTGTGGGGTGCCTGAGATAGCTGGACGCCGTATTCCTTTTCGAGGCCCTTCATGGCAGTCTCGATCTCTGGGCCGTTGAGGATGGTTTGGAAACCATGGGTGGATTGGCTCTGATTTGCGCCGACGCCTATGGGAAACGTTGCGCCATCGCGGAAGCGGTCGATGGTACTGACTGGGGCGGTGTCACGGAGACGGTAGTCTCGAACATTTTTCCCGTTTGACAAATAAGCCGTGAGGATGAGGCCGAAGATTTTCTTGAACGAGTTGACAGAATGCTTGTTATACCCCATTTTGCTAACAGTCTCGCGCAGAGATGCTTTCGTGCTGAGAAAAAGGAATGCAAGGAATGACCATCGCATGGGTAAAGCTTTTCTTTATTTCGGACGGATGCTTCCAGATACCATACCTCTAGTGGTTCTCAAAAGGACTTACACAGAACTCACAGAAAAGGTAGTGTCGATTTGTAAAGCCAAGGTGTGGCTGCATCCCAAGCTTTCAATTCTTAGGCAAAGTGCAGGCGAGTAGACTTTGAGGCAGCCTCAGACCTGTAGACAGATTGTGTGCCGTTGAGTTTGGTTGGCGTATACACAACGGTCGAAGGTTGAGCGCCACACGAAAGCCTTTACGGCTTCGCCAAAAGACCTCATTTATGGACGAACCTAGACGGGGTAGTTGAGAGTGCTGATACCTTGACAGCCGAGGAACTCAAAATAATTTTCGCTTCCTCTCAGTAGACTGGGTCGGCTCTGCAATCATCCAATCCGGGTTCATGAACAGTCGGAAGTCCAAACGTCTTGTGATAGTTGGGGATAGCCTCACAGTGCTTAAATAGCAGTGCATATGTCCATTAGAACAGTGTACAAGGGCACCTGGGGTCTGGAGAAACGGTGCACCCGATGGCCCACGGTCGAGGTCCCCAACCCCACACTGCATGCTCACCAGTCACATCCATGGATTCCAGCGTGGTGGCACTGGACGGCTAGCGCTGCAATCCACATCCCACCCTGAAGCCAAATTCCCATTTGCAACACGTCGCCAGCCCGCTATCCGAGAGTATCACCAGAAGAACCTCCCTCAGATACCCCAAGTCGGCTCGGTAGCCGCAACCGCACACCATGGTTCTTCAAGATCTCGGCCGTCGCATCAACACGGCCGTTACAAACCTCACCAGAGAGCCCAACCTAGACGAAAAGGTGCGCCGCATCCCTACCCCGCAGAACCCTCCGTCGCAGTCGCCAGACGACGTCGGAGACACCAGCAGCTGCTAACAAGGTCCGTTCCGCATTGCAGGCTTTCGATGGCATGCTCAAGGAGATTTGTTCTGCCCTTCTCGAAGCCGACGTCAACGTGCGCCTCGTCGGCCAATTACGAAAGTCGATCAAGAGTACCGTCAACTTCAAGGAGCTCCCGCCCGCCGTCAACAAGAAGCGCCTCATCCAAAAGTCCGTCTTTGATGAGCTTGTCAAACTCGTCGATCCCCATGCCGAACCCTTTAAGCCCAAGAAGGGCAAATCCAACATCATCATGTTTGTCGGTCTGCAGGGTGCCGGTAAAACGACGACATGTACGAAGCTCGCACGCCACTACCAGGCCAGAGGCTTCAAGGCCTGCTTGGTGTGCGCCGATACCTTCCGTGCCGGTGCCTTTGACCAGCTGAAGCAGAACGCGACCAAGGCGAAGATCCCCTACTACGGCTCACTGACAGAGACGGACCCCGCGGTGGTGGCGAGAGACGGTGTCGAGAAGTTTAAGAAGGAGAAGTTTGAGATCATCATTGTGGATACATCAGGTCGACACAGGCAAGAGGAGGCTTTGTTCCAGGAGATGGTGGATATTCAGACGGCCATCCGGCCCGACGAGACGATCATGGTGCTCGACGCATCCATCGGTCAGCAGGCCGAGTCGCAGGCCAAGGCGTTCAAGGAGGCGGCAGACTTTGGAGCCATCATCATCACCAAGACGGATGGTCACGCGGCGGGTGGTGGTGCCATTTCCGCCGTCGCGGCAACACATACCCCCATCGTCTTTATCGGTACGGGTGAGCACATGCTCGACTTTGAGCGTTTCGCACCACAACAATTCGTACAAAAGCTGCTTGGGATGGGCGACATGGCCGGACTGGTAGAGCACGTGCAAAGCTTGAAGCTGGACCAGAAGGAGACGATAAAACACATCACAGAAGGTATCTTCACGGTACGCGACTTGCGGGACCAGCTCTCCAACATTATGAAGATGGGTCCGTTATCCAAGATGGCGGGCATGATCCCCGGCATGAGCGGTATGATGCAGGGTATGGACGACGAAGAGGGCAGCGCCAAGCTCAAGCGCATGATTTACATTTGCGACTCGATGACGGACAAGGAGCTCGACTCGGACGGCAAGATGTTTATCGAGCAACCGACGCGGATGACGAGGATCGCCCACGGGTCGGGAACGTCGGTGCGCGAGGTGGAGGACCTGCTGACGCAGCAGCGGATGATGGCGGGCATGGCCAAGAAGATGGGCGGCAACATGAAGAATATGCAGCGCGCGCAGCAGGCGATGGGCGGCGGCAACAAGGCGCAGCAGATGGCGGCCATGCAGAAGCGGTTACAGAGCATGGGCGGCGCCGGAGGCATGGGCGGGGGCGGGATGCCGGATATGGGCAGCCTCATGAAGATGCTGGGCGGCGGAGGCATGGGCGGCGGCGGGATGCCCGACATGCAGGCCATGATGCAGCAGATGGGCATGGGCGGTATGGGAGGAATGCCGGGTATGGGCGGCGGAATGCCTGGTGCGGGCCGTGGCCGAGGACGACGTGGCTGAAGTTTTCAAACTTGGGTCTAGCGTATGGGGAAGGGAGGGATGATGTCCAAACAAAAAAGTAATCCGTACAAATGAGATGCTTCGTCGATGACGGACGACTGAAAGTGGAGAGAGAGAGAGAAAGAGGTATGGATGAAGACATGATGGGTTTACTGGAGTCGCCTGGGCGGGACCACATTCGGAGCCCTCTTATTCATAGGCTTGGCGTTTGGGAAGAGAAGCAGGAGAAGGGCGGAAATACAACAAGATTCTCAAATCTCCTAGATGTTGGCTGGCTTCTTTACGTTGACGTGATGGTTGCGGCTGCAGTCCACCTCTGCTGGAAAGCCTAGTCTAGGTGTCTGGGTTTTCGACGGCCACGACAGCGTGAAGAACCAATTTCACCAATGGGTGCAAGGATGGAAGATGTCGTGGGAGCCGCGCAATGCTTTGTTTCGCTGTGGGGCCTGCAAGCGTCCAAAATCCTAGAGAGAACCAACAATCATCAATGTCTCGTGTGTCGGAGAATCTGAACCGGTGGTGGTTTTGTGTAGTCGATCAACGGGCGCCAGCGTGTGTAGTGTACAACGTCACAGTGAGCCCAGCCGCGTTTTTGATATGTGGCGGTGTGGCGGTGTGGCGGTGCCATGATGGCCAGGCGAGCCATGATGGGTGGTCAATCAAGATTTGTGGCGTGGCGGTACCATGTAATTGCAAACCAAGCGTGCCAAGCAAATAAGGTAGAATGGGTGTAGAATGGATCATCTGATTGGCGAAGTCGGATCTGGTGTGCCGTGACATGGCGGAGGGAGCTTTTCCCCCAGTGTGGGATGACGTCGGTCAGCTCCGCCGTCACGATTCTTGACGTGCGAGTGTGTACCAAGTCATGGAGCCTAGACAGTCTTTTTTCCACAACTGGTGGGCATTACTTTCTCGGCTGCTGAGTCTCGGTCTTCATATCTGGAAGGCGTAAAAGGATTTTCGTGAATCGTGGTATATGGCGACAGCGAGAATCCGTCTCGGTATAAGCAGGTAGGTAGGCATCATGGAGAATTGCTTTTCTTCTCGTTTAGGCCCCAACGCCATCGATAGCCAAGATGTCTATAATGCATGAAGCTGGTTTAAGCTATGAGAGCTAGAGCTAAGCTATGGCCGGTTCCCCCTACCATCGACATACGTACGAAGGTACGTCCCGGACCTTTTGGTCCCCCTCGAGAGCACCCCCTGGAATGCCCTGTATCATCTTACGGAAGACCCTCCCCTAGTCCGGCCGCCAGGGTTTAGGTAGCTGTAGCCTGTGAGCTCTCCGTCCGATAATCGATTAAACCTCGACGGGGATCGTCGCAGCGGGACTGAGGATGACATCTCAGCAGTACAAAGTAGGTCTAGATAGGCCTGCCGGGCCAACAAACCAAAGGATGCATGCGAGGCCTGATACGGATGTAGCAGGGCAGATTGCAGCGGTCGTCGACGCGTCGCAAATGGTCTCTTTCTGAAGATCGCTTGACGCCCAGCGAGGCAGCCGACCAGAGTTTGGACTCCTTGAAGAACTTTTCGCGAGAGACCGCTGGATTCTCGTCTCGTGCAAAAGCCAAGAGCGATTTCGAGGGTGCCTTTGGGATGGCACTATCGTCCCTTCAGTGAATTAGGCACTCAAAAACGAGAGGGAGGAAAACAAAAGTGATTCAACGCCTCATCTCGTATAGAGTGGCTTGACACCTTTTGCCCTCTTCGCAGCGCGTAGCGCATTATACGCAGCCTATGGAAAGTCCAGACCTTTTCCAATCTCTGGTAGTCCGGGATTTTGATTGGGGCACTCGGATCTGGAGTGCCGGTGGCAGGGGCTATGGAGTACGGGAACGGACCCGGTCGTTGCCAAGGATGTGCCCGCTGCCCACGCGTTCGAGGCGGGATGACGTCGGTGTCGTTGGGGGGGGTATTGACTATCCTTCTGTGACTATCCCTCTCTCTCTTTTTGATAGTCTGTGCTTCTCTGCTAGTAGCCGTACAGAGACTGCACCACCTCGGTTCCAGACGACAATCTCATTTCACTAGCCACAATCCGGGGGTTTGGTGCGTAACAGGAACTGTCTGCCCCCCTCCAAAAGGTCCCGAAGCTGAAAGTGAACCAATGTCCGTCGTGCTACGCAGCAAACACCCCTGTCTTGGCTCTCTGCGAAGAAAGTTGCAACCCCCCCCCTAGCAAAAGCCTGAATTGAGGTCGTGGCTGGAATGACATATGGCATGTCCACTTTGCTGCAATGTGAAAAGTGCCTCCCTCACAACCGGGCATCATCATCGTCGTGGGTTGTGCGCGCCCTGGATCCCCCAACCGTGGCCCGGGATGGCGTGTTTGCGTATTTGCCTGTGTCCCCCTTCCCAAGTTTTCGTCTCTTTTCGACACTATTCGTCCCAAGTCTGACCGCGGTCCCATTTTAGGATTAAACAAACATGACGTCAAGCTAAGGTAGACGCCGTCGTTCCTGCCTGCCACAGACCCCGGACCTTACCTTATTCCTTAAGCTTAAAGTCGACTTCTCCTCCCCTTTCCTCTCTCGCTTCTCAAACTTCCCTCAGCCAAGCCACCTCTTCCATCCATCACAGCTTGCCAAGACACTTCTTGCAGCTCCCGGTGAGGCATAAGCACAGCCATCCCGTCTTGGCATTTTCTTCAGCAAAGCTTGGCTAGACATCTCTACGACAACACAACACAACACAACACAACACAAGCCTCCAAGCACATCATCAAATAACAACATCACCACCATGGGCATCTTTGGAAAACGTCGCGAGGCGGCACCCACAGGCCCTGCTGCCACCGGCCATGCCAACGGCCACCATCACGGCGTCTCCAGCAAACGTCGCGGCGCTGAGCCCTACTCCATGTCCACCCGCCCCAGCTTCGGACAATGGCTCAAGGGCACCCTCATCGACATAATCACCATGATCTGCATGGGCGCTATTGGTCTCGGAGTGAGTATCGTCCAGTCAAAAAGACCTCATCGCGACAACGTTGCTGATAACTCTCTTAGATCTACATGGCCCCTCCCGCCCCGAACCGCTCCTTCGCCGTCACCTTCTCCGATGGTGAAGTCGTCTACCCCCAATTCGCCTACCCTCTGCGCAAGGAAGTTGTCCCCATCTGGCTCGCTGCCTTCCTCGCTTCCGTCATCCCCATCTGCATTATCCTCCTCATGCAGATCCGCATCCGTTCCTTCTGGGACGTCAACAACGCCGTCATCGGCCTCCTCTACTCCCTCATCTGTGCCGCCGTCTTCCAGGTCTTCCTCAAGTTCCTCATCGGCGGCCTGCGCCCCCACTTCCTTGAGGCCTGCCAGCCCGACCTGTCACGTGTCACCAGCAGCCAGGGCGGCATCGCCCGTACCGGCTACAGCGCCGCCGGTTTCCAGAACTTATATGTCACCAAGGAGGTATGCACCGGCGACATAAAGGAGATCAACGACTCTCTCGAGAGTTTCCCCAGTGGACACACCACCGCTGCCTTTGCTGGCTTCGGTTACCTCTACCTATACCTCAACGCAAAGTTCAAGGTCTTTTCCGACTACCACCCCGCCATGTGGAAGCTCATCATCACCTACATCCCCATTCTCGGTGCCGTCCTCATCGGTGGTGCGCTTACCATTGACGAATTTCACAACTGGTACGATATCTTCGCCGGTGCCGCCATTGGAACCACGTTTGCCTTCTCCTCCTACCGCATGACCTACGCCGCCATTTGGGACTTCCGCTTCAACCACATTCCCCTGAACCGCGGCCAGGCTTTCAACTACGGCACTGAGGCTGAGCTCTACGATGCCGTCTTCACCCGCAAGGCCGGCTGGGGCAAGCGCGGTAGTGGTGGTATCTTGCACCACGATAAGCACCACGGTCATGGTTATGGTGCTTCCACTGGCATGCACGGTACTGGCGCTGGTGTTAACGACTACGGCGAGGCTGTTGGATCTCGCAAGCCTGTTGGGTCCGGATCCCGCCACCCCGATGCGATGGTTTGATTTTGCTTCGTTAGCAATGTGTGTCTACATGCCACACGGTTCCACAACCGTGAATCACAGAACCGGAGGTCATTATCTCCACAGCACCGGAGTCATGGAGTCTGAGAATTATGAGTAACGGCCTCGCTGAAGAAACCACAATACCCTACAGCACAAGCTTGTATATTAGTCTTTACTTTTAACCCTAATGGAAGTTCTAATACTGTTCATATTGTTCAAACTGTTCGTAGTGTTCAAAAGTCCTGCTGTGACCAACATGACAGTTCTAATCTCATGTCATGTAGCTTGAATGCATTTAAAGTCAACCTCCTTTCTGAGGAGGCTGTTGATTCGCCAAGATTGAGATCCCATCACCTATCCGATCTGACCAGAGTTATCATTGCCAGCCCTCTGGTAACGTTACGTCCTTTCTACTTGTATTACGTGACACGATACTATCCCAGAAGACTCCTCCAATAACTCATCTTGGTGCAAACACAATGTCTTGCACCGTCCGGCCAATGATACTGAGCCACATCTTGGTCAGAGTTGTGTAACACCCCGCGCGGTTATTCACGCCTCCATGAATCCTACAGCCTTGTGCAAACCTCCTCTACCCCTCAGTAGCTCCCTACTACTGACCGGATCGGTGATACTATCGAGGTCGTTTGAGCTGGTCACCTTGCATCAATGTGCCGTGTATCCAGGTCCCAGGAGGCTTAGTGTGCCCAGCCTGCATGGCGGTGTAGGACCAGGTGACGAATGCATCTTGACGAGACGAGCTGGGGACGAGCTTATGGGAAGCAGGCTTAGCAATGGCACATGGTTGGGCGCGAAGACGCACTCATAATCCCTGTAGTCGTGTGGACTCGAGTTTATGTTGAAGAGCTGGAAGCATATAAACCCCAAGGCCACGACCGCCCAGGACTCACTGTTCCTCGAAGGCTACTGATCATTCTTCAACTCAATCAAACAAAATACCTAAACGCATCTCATACAGAACGTCTTTTGCCTCGTCCATCTCCCAAACAAACATCACTCTTCAACCTCCCGAAACCAATCTACTCTCGCCAATATGACGAAAGGCTGCCCAGGATGCAACAGGGAGATTCGAGACCGTCAGGATTACTGTAACTACGGCTGCCGCGAGAGGGCCTACTACGAGGGGAAACTGAGGAGGGAGCGCGAGCGTGCGCGCGAGAGGGAGAGGGACCTCGAGAGGGAACGCAACAGACAGCAGCCGGTAGTTGTCTTTATGGAATCTGGCGGCGGAGGGGGTAGCCATAGAGGCGGGCATGGGTACGGGCATGGACATGGACATGGCCACCATGGGCATCGACACCATTACTGAGACTTGGAAGTTGACTTGACAACATGACAGAGATTCGGGAGTTGCACGATTCTGATACGTTGGAATGATGGGTAGTTTAGGGGCATGCTCTTACCAACACTAGCTCTTGTTAGTTAAATCCGATGCAACTGATTGCATCATCAGGAGAACGACTTTGACTTCGCCTTCCCTACCGCATCAAAGGAGCTGCAGAACCTACAGTTAATTCTACCCATGATTGCCATCTACCTTCACTATAATTGGTGATGCTTTTTACAATGGTAGAAGTACCCTGGCCGGCAACTGACGCAGGCCCTCTCTGTCACAAGATATCGCTGTGGTTAATGCTGCCCACATCAACCGGTCCGTTTTTGCCGTATTAGCACTTTTTCTATCCTCACCACATGTGCTTGCAGGCTGTGACATGTCGAAAGGTAAAGTGGCTTGAGAGATTAATCGCAACACCTTCCTGTCTCACAATCATACCTCTCTACAAAAGGACACTGCATACCGTCCTACCAGGCTCCCCTGAACGGCTTTTTCCCGTCCAATGGCTTCGCGGCAATCGCCCGCAATGGTCTAGGCCCACATCCTCACAGCCTTGTCTCAACATGTGAGAGCTGTCAATGCATAGTTAGTACCAAGGAATTTATCATTGGCAGAATATGAGCTTGATAAAAGAATTTGGACGCCTGATCGTCAATGATTTCCAGCGGATGACCGTCGATCCTGCAAAGGGCCCGTCATCTGGTGAGTCGAATTGATCATCAATGGACAGCGCAGAGGCCGATCTTGCAATCAGGCTGTGAGGCCACCGACACGTTCGGACTTGGTTCCGGGTATGTGAGATGGAGGAAATGTATTAATTTGAAAACTGAAAAGCATTGGCCAGGCGAATGATGACTTCATGTCACATACGATCAAAGCTACAATCATGAATAGTACAAAAACCCTCGTCTGCCTGCTCAGAATCTTGGACTTAGTTTTGCTTCTCAAACACACCAGTGCTCATCTCTAAACCCAACAACTCCCGACGCACCAAGACATCTAAACTTTCATTCAATATCACCGCCAGCCAAACGCCGGCAGTCCACTAGAAAAAAAACCTACCATCTCCTCCTCAACACCCGACCGCAATCATGACGACAGGCTGCGCTGGCTGCAACCGCCAGATCAGAGATGGCGAGACGTACTGCGTCTACGGATGTAGCCAGACGGCCTACTACGAGGATCTTGAGGCTGAGCGCGAAGCTGAACGTGAGCGCGAGCGCGAGCAGGAGCGGGAGAAGTCGAAGCCTGCTGTCGTCATCAATGTAAGCGGTGGCGGTGGTCAGCAGAGCAGCGGTCAGGGTACCCAAGCTGGTTCTCGCTCTTACTGAGCCCAACTACACAGTGATGGGAAATGGCCAGTTTCCTTTTGGATGAACGGGAGTGGACAGAGACGGAATGAGATGTAAGCTCGGGTGCTTCAATAGTTGGATGACGTGAATGCTGGAATCGACACAGGCTGTAGGACCGGAGTCATCACGTTGTCTTGAGCACGGTCCTTATGTCTACATGTATCCTCAACCCTCCAAGCTTTATACATCTGATGTAACCATCTTTTTGAGACGCCAACAAGATGCCCTATGCTTTCCCAGCGACCTGAAGAGAACATTTATGCATTGAGGTGTCGGCGTGTCTGTCCCTCCGGCGGCCAAACACTGCTGGTGTTAATGGAGAGGAAGGCGGGATTTAATCCCGCTTCACACCAATAACACCCACTCGGCGCATCCCAAGCACACACACGAGACAGACAAACATCATCCAGCCAAACATGGCCCAGAAAGCGACCCTGTAACCCACCATGAGAGCGCCGGGCGAAGACTTATCGGCGTAGCCAGAGGAATTGGTCGCAGACGAGGCAATGACCTGGGCCACGCTGAGTCCAAGGGCAGTGCCGAGCTGGGCACACGTGTTGAAGACTGCGCCGCTGAGGGCCTGCATGCGTTTGGGGAAGACGTCAGAGACGATGAGGAGGCCGACAGTGAAGAGGATGTCGCAGCTGACGGGGGTCAGGATCTGGAAAGGAGACCGCATCTTAGTGACTGGGAGCCTGAACCAGACAGATTGCCACAATCGCATTGTGGAGGTAGGATACATAAGGGAGAAAGGAGTCTAGAAAGGTGCTGGAATTTCTGCCTACCTGTGCAAAGAAGGCGTTCTCCCAATACACCTGGTTCGTCCGAATGAGGGCCATGAGAAGCGGCGCAGCCGTGCTCATCGCAGATGAGATCAACAGCATCCACAGGACAGGCATGCGGTGTACAAAGATGCCCGTCGCGATACTTGTGAGAGCCCCGGCGACGAGGGAAGGAATGACTTGAAGTGACGCCACCGTGGCGGAAGAGCCTTGGACCTGCTGGAAACTGGTTCACGTTATTGGCCAAAGTCTTTTACAGAGGACAAAACAACCTACAACAGACTGCTGTACAGCTCCATGCAGTTGGTAAGAGCGTTGGTTAGAAGCACCATGACACAACAGCTAGTGAAAACATGGCTGCTCCAGAGTGAGTTGGGGATCAGTGCTGTCTTGTTGTTCTTCGCCCGATGGTGCATCCAGCCAATGAACGAGGGAATAGAGCAGCCGGCTATAGCCAGCAGGGCGATACTAGATGGTTTATGGATGTTACCAGTGTCGGCTGACAATGACCTGCAGCAAATTAAATCTCGATGCACTTATGATGTCGGGCTGTAGGTAGACAAAGAAAGTACTCACGCCAAGACGTACGAAAACGTTGCCAATCCAGTGCTGACCAGGAACACCCCCACGGAATCAATCTCCTTGGCAAGGCGCTTCAAGACAGGCTGTGTATCCCGCGGCATGATATCACGCGGCAATGCCCAGATCGCAACCAGGAACAAGGCCGCACTTGCAGCCGCCGCCAGGTAAAAGGCCGGTCGCCAACCGACATTGTCAGTAAACACACCTCCCAATACCAGACCAAACAGGAATCCGAGAGGCTGTGAAAAGCCCATACAAGCGAATCCCATGTTGCGCGGCCGTCCCTCCTCCATATTGTTTGAGATGATGGAAATGGACGACGGGGTGATGACGGCGTACGCCGCACCCTGGAGAGCCCGAAAAGCAATGATTTGGCCCCCGGTCTGCGCCAGACCGCAGGCCATGGCGAATATGGCGCTGAAGAATGAACCCGTCAGGTTGACGCGCTTGTTCCCGATTACGTCGGCGACGGAGCCGGCTAGCAGGAGACACGATCCAGCCGTAAGGAAGTAACTGGAGCTAGGCCAGACGAGGAGGCCCTCGTCCAGGCCCAGGTTGTGCTGCATAGCGGGCAAGGCGACGACGATGATGCCGTTGCAGAAGCTGCTGAAGAAGAGCTGGCCGCAGACCTGGGCGGTGACGATGCCGGCACGGGTTTTGGACAGTAGGACGGGGGCAGGCCTCGTCGCCTCCTCTTCCGAGCCAGTGGTTAATCGCCTCCCAGGAGTTGACTGGACGTCTAAAGGCGCTTCCTGGCTTTTTCGTAGCAAGGTGCCAAATGTCGACGGAGCAGGTTCCATCGCTTGCAACTCGGTGGCGGTTTGCGTTGCCATATTTGCTCGAGGGTCGAATGTTGATTGGTAGTTGAAGTTGTACAGGTCAGAGTAGCTCTTCCGGAACGTGGATGAGTGCAATCAGAGCAGACTGAACACTAATGGAATGAGAACAAAGTATAGTCCCAACGACGCCGAGTGAGTCAAGCATCCCGGTACCAAACCCCCTTTGCTGACAAGTCTAGTAAGACGGCCCAGATGGGTTAGTACTGAAGGAAGCAACGAGACTGGGGAATGACTTCTCATTGGTCCATGAGGCTCGACATATCTTACATAATCAAGCGATATCAATCGCAAATGGTTCTCTTTGGTAATTAAAGCGTTGCTTGAATACACAACTTTCTTTCTCACCATCTTTCCTATGACATTGGTAAATTACTGTCGTAGAATTTATATGACTTCAGTTACTGCCGATATTAACCATGTCGCTTTTGAGACAATTACATTCATTGACTGTACAAACTTTGTACGTACCTAGTCAAAGACTTTTGCGACCAAGACTCTGTGTAGGCTTCGCATCACATTCGAGAAGGACTGCGAGCGTAAATGGAGAGCGTAGTAGAGCCTCGATGTCAGGTGCACCGCCACCGCCGGGGTGCCGGGGTGGGGGCCCCGGGGGCACTGGCTCTGGAGAGCCGGCATTAGGTAAACCACAGACCGGGACCAAGGATTGAAAGAGGATTCTGGAGGTAGTAGGCTTTGGAAAAGGCAGATTCGAATGACAGTCACCACTTGACCCTTCGTACATTGCTGACCCCTTCAATCGATACAACACGGCCTGACGCTTAATCTCTTAACTTCTATCATGATACTTCTATCAGTCACACTCTCATCTGAACCCCCCCAACCATTTCCCATTTTCGTCTTCTCGACATGGAGAATTCTACATCGCAACAAAATCTTTGCTTAGGTCAATTCCAGGCTACAAGAAACGTCCATGCAGGCCCTGAGTAGGGCGAAGTGGATCTCCATTTCTCATTGATTGTGACGTGGCCCCATAAGTTCTTCTTCAACTCCTGGTTGAGCCTCCATCGAATGGTTAGGGTAATGGTATTCCCGGCCCGGTTGCCTTGTCTCTATGAGATGATGGACGCTGCGAAATTATTTGAGAGGGATCCATCACCTTCCAGCTGGAAAATGTTTCAGTTGAGGTTGATAGTAGTGTTCCGGAAGAGGGCTTGGATTTGCATCTCGCTACTCCCGGGCAGCGTGTAGTCATCACCAAAGTGAATCCCGAATCCCGAGGAAGGCTGATCCGTCGGCTCGGTTCCAGACGGAAGCTTCCACCTCTCCCCTTGACGATGGGGCGAGGGATAGTCAAGTCTGAACTGTTCCAGGTTGGAGCGTTGAAGAAGGGGACGTAGCTGACAATGGGCCGGCACCCGGATTGCAAAGTCTAAAGGGCCGCTGAGTCATCCGGAGACGAGGGCAGAGGACCAGTAATAAGCCAGTCGTGAGGTATCCTAGCGCGATGATTAAGATATTCCTTTAACATGCCAAGTTGGGAGCTGGAAATATTACGTGTCGCTGAGAAAATGACTCGTATTGATTGCAATGTAAAAAGAGTGGGAGAGCGGGACCCTGGGGCCCAGGGTCTTGGATCTATCAGAGTTACATTGTTGGGGAGAGCGTCAAGTGCGGAGGTCTTCCAAGTCTTGCAAACAGCCGTGTTACTCTCTGACGCATTGCAGCTGGTCGGATCCATCGGGCAACCGGGTAACCGGCCATGAGTTGGTGATATCGTATTATTTCATAGAAACTTAGAATAAGTGTGTTGGCGACGATCAATTCCTTGAGAGAACTGAAAGGAAGTAAGTAGTCAGTAATAACTTCTGTGGTGTGGTTTGAGACGTGACTTCAGTCTCGCTTGAGCCCACTTGCAATGGCAAACTTTCGAAAAGTTGCACTGCTCTTAGTTGATGAGAGTCACAAAAGTAAGCCGATCGGCTAAGACACTAGGTGACGCCGATAGGAATCGAGCCTAACTCAACTTACTGAGCGTACTTGCGCTCCACAGTCACAGCATGCTGAGCAGTGAATATGTTTAAATGATTGTCAATTTAGCAAAACCTGATATTGGTAGAAACGGTTATTTCGGAAAGTTTAATCCAACGGATGTGATCGACGAGCTCTATGACGACGGGTTTACACTCCTTAACTCCAGAATTTCGACACTCCACTTGCCCAACATAATCACTGCGTTGTAAATAGTACTTAAGTACCAACTAGAAAGATGACATTCAGCTCGTAAGACTTCATGGCAACTCTTTTTTTCAACAGCATATCAGTTATCGAAATTCAGACAACAGTGAGTTTTCCTGAAGCGGCGAAAGCCCATATAGCAACTACTTATACTTTTCCTCGTCCAGTGAAGCCCTCGACTCTTACTCTTCTACCGGTCCTAGCTTCCGTGGCCCTAGCCAACAGGTACTGCCACATCGAGTACCACGACTGCCCGGACGTCGACCAAATCACCTTTGAACAGTTCTTTGACGACCGCATAGAGGCGTGCGCCAGCCTATCTGGCACTATTGATGGCGTGTATAGTACAGAAATACAGTGTCAAGACGTCCCTAACTGGATTCCGGCACCGGGCTCAGTCATCGTGGCAGGTGCTAAATGCACATTCACTTGTTGAAGTATCAAGTTACAGGGTGGATGGGTTATAATGCACGAAGTATTTAACAATGTCGGTGTGGTAGGGGTTATTTGATATAAGGTGGTATGTGTGCAGGCAATCCAAATAAAATCTTTCAAAATGTCAAAAAAGTATGAATGCATCGAGGTATGAGCGTATCTATTATTAGTCCAATTATTTTTGCAAATATGAGCAAGCCGCAAGACAGAATGAAAGCTTTATCGGAGTCATTTTTGTAGCAGCTGCAACAAACACTGTGTAATTTGAGCTGATGCTTAAATCCAAAAATCAAATTGCAACGCGACACGAATAACGTTGAAAGTTAAATCTTTACCAAAGAGGAGATTTTTGTTGAAGACTAGTTAGGACCTTCTGAGATAAATAAGTTACAACTTCCGATCATCGCTCTCAACACCTTTACTCAGAGGCACCAGCGAGTTCAATCGGCTTCTCAAAGTCCTTCAAAAACAACCACTTCCCATTCTCCTTCCACCCCTTCGCCTTCCACCCGCTCGCATCTTCCGGATAAACCTCCACAACCCCGACTAAACTATCATCATGCGACGCCACAACAAACACGTCCGGACTCGCATCGAACCTCTGAATAGCAAGCACAGTCTCCCTGGCCTCCTTCAAATCCAGAAACAGCCCCGCCTGGCCCTCGGGCACCTCGGGCAGCGCGTGAAACGGGATCCCATTCGCGTCGCTACCCGCCTCGCCCAGGATCTTGCTATATGGTCCCAGCGCCGCAGAGTTACCGGCCACGGGGTGGACCGCGTGGAATGCTCTTCCGGCGCAGCAGAGCCCCGGAAGCTGGACCTCCTCCGGCAACCTTGCGCCGCCGTGCGGTCGCAGGACGGAGCTGTGGTGGAAGGAGTCACCTGCAAAGTACATGAAGCTGTCCTTTGTGGTGCGCGCCAGGGCGTTGATGTGTCCGATTGCGTGGCCCGGCGCGGAGAGGAGGTAGAAGCTCCCATCGTTGAAGTAGTCCAGCGCCTTGAGACCCCCGATTTCAATTTCGGTGCTGCCAAAGTCTAGCTCGCGCACCTCGCGGCCCTCAAACTCGCGGGCCAGGACGGGCGCGTCTGGGACGGCTGGGTACCCCGGGAAATAGGCCTGCTTGACCCCCGGGCCTACGATCAGGGATGCCGTGGAAGGGAACAGTGACGGGCGACCGATGTGGTCCGGATGCGCATGACTATCTCCAGTATTAGCATCGAATCCTCCAGTAAATTTCTCATGAAAACGGGGAAAGCCAGCATAGCTTACGTACCTCCAAAACAGGGCCTCAATCTCCCCCAAGTCAAGACCGCCTTCGGTCAGAATCTCGGAAACATATTTCTGAGCAATCATGGTGCCGTCCAGGTGCTTCCCCATCTCCAAAATGGATGGGGAAAAGTCATTGTCCCAGTCTTTTGGCAGACCGAGATCGAAGACCACGCGCCTCTGCTTTCCTTCAGGGTCCTGGTGCGTCACCAAGAAGGCGTAGCCTACGCCGTGCCACCTCTCAAAGCCTTTGATGGGAGGGCCCATGAACGGTGCCGTGGGAAGGTCGCCATTGAGAGTTGTGTCGATGATGGAGACGGAGACCGTCGCTGTTGACGGGGGGATATTCAACGAAGAAGTTGCTGACATGTTTGCGGCAAGGGCTGTGGACTCAAAGACTCAAGACTGTCTGATTGACATGATGGGTCCTGCTCAGAGAGGGCTTTGGGCAGCTAGCTTTTATACATTGTTAGCCCGATCCAGCCTCATTTAGAAATGTCTGTATTGCCGGGCCGAATAGCATGCAGTCACGAGTAACTCCTGCCAATGACTAATTTGCGGAGCGGACGCTGTCGGACTCGTAGAAAAGGAAGCAGAAATGCGGGCTGACAAAGATGGCACATCCTCGGATGATCCGCGGTTCACACAAAGTGGCCGTAAACCACACCCCAAAAGCGTGATCCGTAATCCATGGCTTTCAATTCCGTCAATCAAAAGAGAGCAAGAAACAAATCAAAAAGGGCCGTGGAGATCGGGTAGGACTTTCCCCAAGATTACCCGGAGCAATTCAGCGTGCCGGCCGTCAGCCACCGTTTCTACTTACGGACGAGTCGGGCCAACCCGCGTCCGCTGACCGGTGACTGGCGCAGTGTCCACCTCCGTAGCTGCCCGCGGGGTGGGGAGGCAGGGGGCTTTTGGGCCTGCGAAGTGAGAGCCCCCGCCCACTTCTCTGCCGGTTCTTTCCTCTCCCTTCCACCCCCTCACATTGCTTGTCTACAAGCAGCGATGGGAGCCAAAGTCTGCAGACCTGTCCCAACTCAATGAGTATCTTCTAAAGGACCCTCCGATGCAATTTGACACAGCGAAGTGCTCATCTTCGCATTTTCAAAGGTCATCCTTGGGCTCAAGTGCAAATACACGTGCAATCACGTACTTTGGTCATAAGAGAAGAATTGGTTCAAGATCATGATTACTAGAGCCTATGGAAGACCTGGAAACCCTCAATCCATCATGATGCAAATCCATCGTGCCATGCAAAAGCCCTCTCAAGGGTTACAGCACAATCATCCTCCACCTAAAACACGGCCTGCCTCTTTCCTCCTCAGACTCAGCCGTCAAATCATGGATCTTGATGCTTTATGCAACAAATCCTCTTCGTGATAGTGGTATCATTAACTCTTTGCGAATCAAATCAAAGAAAAAAACAACAAAATCGATAATGCGTTCAAATAGACGGAGAACTCAGACCTTCTCGTCATTACTGTTGCTCGGGGAAGCCTCACCAGTGTGGGTATCACCCGAGAGGTTGGTGTTGGTCCGGTACTGGGAACGGCTGCGGCGGCCAGTGGACTCGCCAGTGTCCTTGCGACCGAATGAGTGCCAACTCTTGAAGGAGCTGAAGGTGATTGTCTTCTTGAAGTCGCGGCCTTCGTCTTCGCCACCCTGACTGAAGGCGCCGCGAACAACCTGGTGATCGTCGAGGAGGTTGAAGGTGCGCTTGATGAACTTCCACGCTTCAACACCGACGACGTACAGGAGAGTGAACCCGATGACGATCCCCCACTCCCAACTGATTCCAATGTGCTTGAAGAGGGTGGTGTTGAGGGTCGGGATGTAAATGACAGGGAATACAGACAGGGCACCAATGATGACGGCCCAGAACAGGAACTTGTTGCCGTAAATATCCTTGAAGAAGGGGAACTTGCTCTTGCTGTCGGGGTCGAGGCGGAACATGGAGCGGCGAAGGTTCTTGAACTCCCAAGCGGAGATGAGAATAATCCAAGTGAGCTCAGCAAAGACGGCGGCACGGGCACGGAATACGGGTCTGCAAGCCTCGGTGAACGTCTTGTTGCACTCGACACCCAGGTTCCCACCGTTGGCTCCATAGACGACGATGATGAATGTGGCCAGTGTCAGGGCACCCATGATGATACCGTACACAATCATGTCGATGATAATCTGGTTGGTGAAGACACCGCGCTTTTTGTTCTGAGGGGGCTTGCGCATGACATCGGCGGCGGCCTGCTCACGACCCAGACCAAAGGCTGGGAAGGACGAGGTAACCATGTTGATCCAAAGAATCTCCAGAGGGGAAATTGGGAAGACGGACAGATCGAAACCATCGCGGAAAGCGAGACCACAGCAAAGAAGGATAACCTCGCCGACATTGGAGCTGAGAAGATGGAGGATAAACTTTTGAATATTGTCAAACATGCGGCGGCCCTGGCGAATAGCGGAGACGATAGAGTTGAACTTATCATCTGTGAGCACAATCTTGGAAGCAGACTTGGCCACGTCAGATCCGGAGCCCATGGCAATACCGACGTCGGCACGAGCCAGTGAGGGGGCGTCGTTGACACCATCACCAGTCATCGCCATAAAGGCGTTGCGGCGACGGAGGGCATCGATCATGCGGGTCTTGGTGTCGGGAGCACAACGTGCAATGACCAGAGGCAGCTCGGGCATGGCGTCGATCTCCTCGTCAGTCATCTTGTCGAAATCAGTGGCCTTCTGCACAACCGCTTTGGCCACTTCGTCGGGTAGGACACCAAGATTCTTGGGAATGATACCGACTTCCTTTGCGATAGCCTTGGCCGTTTCAGGGTGGTCACCAGTCAGCATATGGACCTTGATACCGGCGGAGGAGCATTCGGCAATGGATGGCTTAGTCTCGCGGCGGGGAGGATCGTAGATTCCGGCAAGACCCAATAGAGTGAGACCCTGCTCAACTTCGGTGCGCAGAGCATCTTCCTTCTCTTGGGCGACGTCGGCCTGCTTGGTCGTGAACTTTCCGTTCCAGTCGCGGCAGCCGATAGCAAGCACTCGCTGGCCTTGAGATGCCAACTCGTTCATCTGGTTAAGGACATCTTCCTTCAAGGCCTCAGTGAGCTCCCGTCTGTCGTCGCCGATGCCGATGTGGGTGCAAAGATCCAGAATACGCTCGACGGCGCCCTTGGTGAAGACCAGGCTGTTCTTGGGGTCCCAAATGTCGGCAGTCTCGTCACTCTCGGGAATATCGTAGATGACAGACATGCGCTTTATGGAGCTGTCGAATGGGAATTCAGCAAGCTGCTTCCAGCCAAGACCCTCGAGGGATTTCTTTCCGAGCTTGAACCGGTGCGAGAAGATTTGAAGTGCGATCTCCGTGGGTTCGCCAGTGGTTTGCCACTTGGCTTCCTCCTCATCGTATCGGACGGTGGCCAGATTGCAGAGAGCGGAAGACAGGAGGAAAGCCTTGAGGCGTGGAGTCATCTCGGCCTCATTCTCGGCCTCGGGTGCTTTGTTGGGCTGCTTGTTTTGCAGCTTCTCCTCGGGAACGTCGAACTTGAGAATAGCAGCAGATCGTTCCTGATCGTAGTCGCGCTTTGGGGCTTCTTTGACCTTCTCCTCCTCCTTGGACTCCGAGTGAGTGACGCGGCCCTTGGTCGGGTCATTGGGGCTTTGGGAGTCTCGAACAGTATAGGTGTGAGAGAAGGGAAGCCAGGCCTTGCGAACAATCATGGCACCCTGGGTCAGGGTTCCAGTCTTGTCGGAACAGATATTGGTGACACCACCAAGGGCTTCAAGGGCGGAGAGGTCTCGGACGACGACGTTGGACTTTCGCATGACGGTCACGGCGACAACCATGGTGATTGTGAGAACACTGAAGCAATGTTAGTGGGGGCTAAACTCTACGAAGCGGTGCTTAACACTTACGCGACGAGAGACTCGGGGATGATGGCAATGCCGAGCGAAACGGCATAAATGATGACTTCTCCAGTGACATCGAACTTATGAGCGGCAAAGACAATAATGGCCAGAATAATGGCACAGCCAAAGAGCAGGTAAGCCAGAGCGGCCAGCTTCTTCTGCAAAGGGGTACCCTCAGTGAGACCCAAGAACTTGCCGACAGCATCGTATACCCGCCTGGAGAGACCAACAACAGGCTGACGCTTGCCGTACTTCTTGTAGTTCATGGAGCGACCGGGCTTGCGAGTCTTCTTCTGGGTGGATGCGGCGATTTTTCCGACTTCGGTCTGCATGCCAGTAGCAACCACAATCCCGCGACCACGTCCCTTGCGAACAATGGTGGTGGCGTAGGCGATATTGAGACGATCACCGATGCCGACCTCGCCCTCTTCGGTGGCTTTCTTCTCGGTGCCGGGGACCATGATGTTGGCTTCGGTTGTCTTATCGACGGGTTGAGCTTCACCGGTCAGAGACTGCTCATCGCAGGACAGGTTCATAGCCTCGAACATGCGCATGTCGGCGGGTACGGTATCGCCCATCTTGAGCAGGATGATATCACCGGGAACAACTTCGGCGCTGTTGCACTGATTAGTACGTTTGCCAAGCGGAAACAAGCAAGACGGCCATGGGCCAAGAGAGCCACGGAGAGAAAGTGGGGAAGCTGTGCGTTGACGCATTCCGTGTACTTACTTGGGGATGACCTTGGTCTTTCCGTCGCGCAAAACATTGGCAGAGGGGGCAGAAAGAGTGCGGAGAGCGTCCATTTGCTTCTCGGCACGATATTCCTGCCAGAAACCAATGGTGACGTTGGCGACAATGACGAAGGCAAGGACGCCTCCCTCAATGTAGTCATTAATTGCGAAACTGAGAATCATGGCGAAGAAGAGTACGAGGACCATGGCATTGAACAGCTGCTTGCTGAGAATGGTGTACCATGGCACCGATTCGCCGACTTCGAACTCATTGGGAGGGTAGTTGTCCGAAGCCTGCTGTACTTGCTGCGAAGACAATCCCTTGTCGGGGTCAACTTCGAGCGCCTGAGCGGTCTCCTCAACCGTCAGCAGGAAAGGGTGTTTTGGGTAGTCACCAGACATTGTGTCGTGTCTGAGCTGGCGACGTCGATGAGGTATAGGCTGCTTCCATTCACGATTGGGGTGGTGGGGAGGCGCTTAAATCAGCTGTAGCGAGTGAAGATGGAGAGGGGTGGTGTTGATATCTCTCGCAAAAGATGTCAGAAGCGATGGTTGGCTTGGAAACCCGGGAAGCTTCTTCTTCTGTCTTGTGGCTGAGAAGAGAAAGAACGGAAGCTGTTTGATCGGTAGATCTAGAGGTTGAGATCATAAAGGTTCGGGGGGACAAGGCTACCTTTATAGACTGACAGCCGAAAGACTGGTAGACTTGGAATATGGCAGGGTTTAGAAAAGTTTGGAAGCTTGTGCCTCCCAGCCTGCAAGGTCATCGGCTTCAGGCTGGGCAATGACAAGAAAGAGAGAGAAAAACTTGGGAATGGCGCCAAGGTCTGGGCATATGATAACACGCCCCCCTCCTCCGCGGGGCATTGTCGTTAAGGGTACTTGGACATGAAAGCTTGCAAAAGAAAAGGGCATTCGGTCATTGTGCCGACTGAAAGAGTGTGATTGGGCACGGATGGTGTTACCAAGGCGGTAGACATGGCAGCTTGACTTGGCTGAACTTGGCGGGTGGTGAGTATCTTGGCCATGGAGACCATTCCACTTTCTTGAGGGTTCTGGATTCGAAAAAGGCAGAAAAAGACAGAGAGCGAAGACGGTCCGGTTGGGTGGTGGTCCTCGGGTGACGATGACCTTGGCGGAGCTCTTGGCGGAGGGAAGCGGCGTAGACGGAAGTGGGGCATCCAGTGGGAGTGGGGTCCGGTGGTGGGGCCTGGATTAAGGTATTGAAAGAACAGGGGAGCGCTGGGGAAGGAAGAAACACTGGAGAGAGGAACCGGAGGGAGGCTCCGGGGGAGGGAGATGGGCAGATAGACGGGCAGGCATTCACTATAACTAGATTGAGCATGGAATATTGATAGTGAGAATCTTTTGTTTCCAATGCTGTGACACTTTTTCGAACTGAGACTGGAGGTTTGCTTGCTTGTCTGGCCTATCTGTGTGATGCGACTGTGAGATGCATGGGGAGGAAGAGGGCGTTGTGCAACTTAGGTGGCAGGAGCTTGCAAGCTTCCACGCAAAACACCATGAGACGAACTGCCATACCTAGTGCGCATACCTAGATTTGTAAATTGAGTGCGAACCTGCAGAGCTTTACGACATGACACACATGACATGACGGCAACGAACGCATTGAAGTCAGTGACGCCATTGGCCGCCGCTTAGCGAATAAGGTTATCCGATGCGATGACCCAATGGCAAGTCTGGTCTGAGCCATGATGGCGTGGATCACGTGCTGATGGACGCGCACAGACTTTTATACTTTTAAGTGGATTTTTTGGAGAGAGTATGTTGTGTGATTGGCCTGTCACCTCTTGGCCACTGGATTCCTTCTCTCTTGGCTCGCCTCCAGCTCGTCCAGCCAGTGGTTACAGCGGGTGGAGGTACCTTGCCAGCCAAGTTGCACAGCCATGCTACTTATGCAGCTCAGCGGACTCGCCGCGACTATCCGCTGTGTGGTGGTCACAGAGGGGTAGATCTTGGCGCCTTGGCTGCCGCGAAAGCCCACAACGGCCACTGAGAGCCGCTGAAAATGAGCGCTGTGTCTCGTTATTTGGCCGTTTGCGTAACCCTCCTGGCCACGCTCCAGCCAAATGGAACAACTCTCGTCTTCACCTCAACAAAACAGACTCTTAAACAACGTGATCTTTCTCATACATACCCAGGTGCCGGACTTCCAATTCCACCCTCAACGCCACGGCATACCCGTTCTCGTATATCTCCGGAGGCTGAGGCTGAGGCTGAGGCTAGGGCTGGGAGACTTGTTCTCCCCTCTGGCTCTCAACAAGGTTTGATATCACGTGTACCCTATGAGTCGGCTGACCTGTCTCCTTGCCCCGAAAGATGCTTGCAACGAGACTGTGAGACCCTGCATGATCGTTCACCGAACCCGAATAGAGCCGGAGTCAGGAGCTGGCTTCGCATTCCGCCGGGCGGAGCGAGATGGCGATACAGGGTGGCCACACGGCACGCCACGTTCAGTCACTTTTTGCTCAACTCCGTCCGCCGCCAAGAATACATCGCCATCGTGCACATCACCACGCCCGGCTAGGCAGAATAGGAATATCAGACAAGGTGGGCCGGGTTTCGACGGCCTGCGGTCGGTGCGGGCAATGTAGGAAAAATTTCTAGTCTCCGGACGACGATTATCGGTGGGCGCCGCCGTGCCGCCCCGGGGATGGGCGGACGAAAAAGCAAGCTTATTCCGACTCCAAGCCAGGAATGCGACGGCTATTCCTTCATCTCTGCAGCCGCTATGCCCCTTCTTCGATGTTGGAATGTGGATTCGTGGCACTCCTGCACAGCCTACATACCATCTACATCGAACCCTTTCTGTTCAACTGGAGAGACGACGATGATTCAATCCTCATCCTTCTACCACTGCTTCACGCGGGTCGTATCGCATGGCTACAGTAAGGACCCAGCTACCCCCCATTGCGACTCCGTCTGCGCCGGCTCTACTTGGCGGATCTTGGCAGTTCTTGTCCTACGACTCAACGACGTCGGATCAACTCCAACGTGGGATGACCATCGCTGGGCCCAGACATTCCAAACCCCAGGAACCCCCCCATTGACCCTTTATCCCACATTGCCTTCAATTGACCACTCACGGCCCCGATACCCGCAGCCCACAATCCCGAGGACGCAGCTCGAACAACGAAACACCCATCACACAGGCCAGAACAAAGGGACGAGAGAGACATCGTATCGCATCGCACATGGAGCTGGGCGCGTCGACGATCCAAGCGCGATGCTGATCCCTTCTGTCGGTTTTCCTCACCTGTGCCGCCTTTCGCCCATCACCCCGCGTCGACGCCCGTATCTGCGCTCGTGCCACCCGAGATGAAATTGTCACTCGCAGTGGCTACTCCCCACCTCCACGAGCCCTTCTCCTCGTCCGAACAGCTTCACCCCACCGACTCTCATTGTCCAATTCTTATTCTTCGGGCTTCTTGCTCGCCAGGTGCCACCTCGAATGGCCTGACACGGTCACAATCTCCTCGGCGGGGTTGCCAAGCACTTGGCTTCTCGCGACCGCGCAAGATGGTGTGGACCGGGCCAAGTGACGTAGGAGGTTCAACCTCGAATGCTCTTCCGCACCCCTTCCCCTTGAGCCCCTCAGTTCTCTCGTTCCACGCTCGCTCAGGCCAGACACACCACTAGTGCTTCGTTGTACTGTCTTGGCAACAAAACTTTTCCGCCAAGCTGTCACCGTGGTCCTTGGAATCGTCAAACCCGATCTCAGATTCGTGGATAGCGTCGTGAAGAATCCAATGCTTACTCTCAATGCTGTCACATGGCGCCATTGGCCATCGTCCCGAACCAACCCCTCGGGAACGGTCTGTGATGAATTGCCATTACCGGTCTACCACTACGGCACTGGTAGCGTAAGCTAATCTTTCCTAGGCTCGCATGTTTTCAGCAATGCTGGGTAAAACAATAACCCGGTTGCCACATGTCGTTGTCCAACATAAACCATGCTTCAAGACCAGTCGCCACCAGCAACGTGCCCGCGATGCTCGCGATGATGGTCAGCACCGCTGTCACAACCTCAGCCTGCATGGATCCGTCTTGCTTTTTTTCTCGTCCCCCGACTACTCCACGCGAAGCTTGACTTTGCTTGTTCTGCTTTCTCCCATGAGCTTATATTACGGCACTATGCATGCGCTCGCGTCTTGGATGATGGCATCGACCCCATCTTCAAACGTCTGTCTGCCGCTTTCGCGGTGTGGGGGGCAAACAGAATGCCTACCTTGTCTTTGATGCTCGGCCGCGGCACCGTCATCGTACATATGGCAGAGGAGACAAGTGCCTGCTCTGTCTCAATGCGGTCAGAGAACCTATCAAAGGAAGAGACCCAGCTGCTTTGAGGGCTCCTTCTCTGCGTCGACGCCCTTCTCTCCACCTGTGACTTTGTCCAAGTCTTGGTGCTCTTGGGATGTTCTTGGCCTTGGCGAAACTGACCAACGACCAGATTTCAAGGTTATCGAACGGCTTCGCCAAGACTAGGCGATCAGCTGAAACTTTGCAAAGGCCAAATGGATTCAGCCATAGATCTACATCCTTGGTCCCAATGCATCGCCACACCTTATCTGTTTGCAAGTCTTCGATTGTGCCTCGTCGTCTTATGAAGTTGCCGATGGGGTGTGCAATTTTCATTGGCTTTATATCAGAACCAAGAATCAGCCCAGATTATTGATTAAGTAATGGTCGCTGGAACTATTGGTCGGGCCATGTTATACTGGTTGATCAAGACAATCGGTGCCAGTTGAACATCGCTAGTTTCTGAAACTTTTGGGTTGGACGAGTGTCAGACATTCTTTCTCTTACCCAGTAAAGACTCAAGATTTGGTTTAGTTGCTACTAGTGAAAGCATTGCTCAGGTATACGGTTTCCACAATATCGCATAACGAAGAACATGTCTGCTACCACAGTTCTAAAGCTTGGGATACGCTGCGTAGTTTAGCCAACGGATACTAGTTTGGAAGGAAAAATCGGACGATGAGTTAGAATAGAGTACACATGCAGGCATCAGCTCTGTAAGATGGGGTGAAGCCTCGTCGCTCTCGTCCCCCAAAAGTTTATCCCCAGCCTAATCGAGCCGAAACAATACTTACAAGCTCCCAATTTGCAGAGGTGATCATGAGAAGCATCGCATCTGTAGCATGCTGGATTTTGATCGGGAGCACAGGGGTCTATACTCGTAAGTTCAAGCAGCAGTCCTCACCTACCCAAACCTTTCAAGGTGGAACCTACTAGCAAGAGTATGAGCCGCCTACGAGCTCTCTGAAGATATCGTATCCACAAACGAGCTGCCGGTTCTCTGCTCGGTACCCTGTCTGCCACTAAAAGTTGTGTTCCCGGATTGCGATACTCTTTGTGAAAAATGCGGGAAGCCTGAGACCATTGCGAGAAGTCCAAGACGTTTTGTAAGACTGTTAGGACGGCTGAGTGGGTTGATCCGTCAAATAACGTCGTCCATAGCGGAAAATGCGGGAAGAAGGTAAATCTTCGTTGATTCTGTTTGCTTCCCGCCCTAAAAAGGGGGGAAAGGGGGCATCTTAAGAGCCAACTTTGACGTCTTGGGCTAATATTTGGATCATCTGCCAGCGTGGTGAGGGGCAGAGTTGCTGCAACTGGAAATGCGTCCCCGAAACTAACTTCCAATCGGATTTTAACAACTGCGGCAAGTGAGGCATCAAGGTACGTTGATAGCTTTATCTATCCTCTTCCTCGATTGTATATGATTGAGGAAGAGGATATTTGAAAGTTCCAGTCCCAATTCATCTCTCACAACCCTCAGTGTGATGAAGAAAAAGCATGCGGCGATTTCAAGTATATAAGTACGGCACAGTCACAGAGTGATGGTAAAAACTGCGGGAAGTGCGGTACCAAGGCAAGTCATTCTCTTTATGATCTTCATGTCTCTTAAGCAAGGAAATCATGCGCGGCTTTCGAAAGCTATTTCTACTGTGTTACTAGTGTTCCGAGAGCAAGATGTGCTGCGATTCCAAGTGCGTGGAAAAGGCCATATTCCAGAACAATCCCATGAACTGCGGCAAGTGGGGGAATAAAGTGCATTTCCTCCCTCCTTATTTACCAAAAGATGAATCAATCAAGTATGTCGCAAGTGTCCACAAACCTACAACTGCCACTCGAGCCACTGCCTCGAACCATACAACTGTGAAACCGGCGTCTGCCTCCTCGAAAGCTGCCACGTTACCATTCTCAACGGGTCTGGCTGTGGTGCTGGTGAAGACGAGTTGTGCGATTGCATGGAGACCGCCGACGGGAATCCGTTTTGCGGCACTTTCGATGGGCAGTATTGCAAGGATCTGTGTAATAGTGATCTAGACTGCCGACATAGCAAGGGCAAGATCTACGTGAGGTGGGATAAGACTTTTTGCTTGGCGGTGGCTTCTGACGATGGGAAGTTTAAGGGTGTTTGCTTTGAGGCCTATGGGGGAAAGTGGGAGAGGTTCGGTGGTTTGCTCCTTGGTCTTCCGGCTTCAAAAGTCCGCATCTGACTCTCCTTCAAAATTTCACAGCATTGTAACTTGCAGCAGAATATGAGCCATCGTAGCCTACTAAGTTTGATATCTAATTGAAAACATCAGCATCTAGTTATCTGAGGATGTCTACCAAGATTGACATGAAATCAATCACGCAACAGCCTCCTAACAGACTCAAAGGATATCCGCACCTCATTTGATTTTCCAGTTGGATTTCTTAGATAGTAAGGTACTCGAACCTTCGTTTATAACGCCACGCTTTCCAAATCATGCTTCTGACCACAACGTTTCCCGGTTTTCCGGAAACCTTCAGCCTCACAGCTTTCCGCTTACACACTCAACCCTCCCAACCTTTATGTTAGCTTTCGGAGATAGCCTTGAGGTATCTATAAGAGCCTGTTCTTTTCTCATCAAAGCTGCATCGTTTTCCTCAAATCTTTCATGCACAAACCTAAGCTTAGCCTTCAGCCATCATACCAGATACAGCAAAGCTACCATCGTCCCCCTTCTCCCAGGCGTGCTTCATACACTGCTAATCGCCAACGCGCAAGACGCCCCAATCATCAACACCCATTCATCCACGCAACCGCCAACATGAAGCTCTCCACCGCCCTCACCCTCCTCCTAGCCCCCCTGGCAGCCTTCGCCAAACCCCCCAAGCGCACACCTGACCGCGAACTCAGACTCGACCAGCTTCCCGCCTGCATGCGGTATTGCATAGCCGAAACCAAATGGCGCCTAAGAAGTCCCATCCCCAAGACAACTGGGCAGTGGTGCCATATCACGGCGCCGCCCCAGACCCCGGATTGGATCGACTGGGGTCGAACCATGGACAAGTGCAAGAAGCACCAGTGCGAGAGCAGCATCTTCTGGGTCGACACCGCCATCTGGCACTATGACCAGTGCCTCTACCGTAGGGACAAGGAAGAGAGCTTGGCGTTCTTGAATGACTACCGCAGGGCTTATTGGTGGCCAAACGAACGTCAGCCTATTCGGCCTCCACATCATAAGAATTGGATTTCAGACGAGCGAATTGGTGTTCCTCAATACCAGATAGATTGGGAGGAAGAGTATGTGACGAAGCCTGCTGCACCACCTATCCAGGAGCCTCAGTAAAATCTTCGCATGATCGGTTGGACCTGGGCTAGCTCCTGCTAGACCTTCCTCAACTTCCATCTCAGGTTGTAGGCGGATGGACAATTGCGTTCTCATGGAGTCCATCAAAGTCAAGGTGTCACCAAGCGGAAGATGGAGACAGCGCGGCATTCTTCCGTCAATCGTCGATCGCTTAAGCAGTCTGGTCTTCACGCTCTTCAAAGCCAACTATCGATGTATTAATCCTAGCTTAATTAATGTTTCAATGATTCGTTCTTCTCAATAAAGTATCATTTGAACCATTATTTCCCAGGTAGCCGTTGATAATGCTAAATCACATGTTCAGCTCTCCATCAGGTTTTTTCTTTTTTTCTGCGACGGATATTGTGGAATTACTTCATTTGGACTAATACATTGATACACATTTGAAAGCCGGAACGTGCATGTAGACATCAGAACCCCATAGCCTAGACTCGGATCTGAGGTGTCTTTCAAACCCCGACACATGTTGCGGACTTTGGACGAAATCCGTTTGCAACGAGGCCTAGCTGCGTGGCTACGGCCGTCATCTTCAAGGCTTATTTGTAATACAGCATGCAGCATGGTTGTAGAGAGGCGGACTTTGGCGGACTTTGAAGAATTTCGATATCATTGTGAGACGGTGAGATAATGATTAGTAAAGACACCGGCATTTGCTCGTAGATACTTAAACCTGGCGCCCGACTCACCAGCATATTGAAGGCAGGTGAAAGAATTAAGCTGAGCTTGCCCTTGTATTTTCAAACGCAGAACTTGCGATCCTTTCCAAACAATGGCGGGCGCTACTCTCTTCGTCGGAAGCGAAGGGAATGTAACTGCTCGACGGGACCTCCCTCCAGTCACAGCACGAGACGGCGAACTTCTCATCGACGTACTCTATTCGGGAGTCAACCCTGCGGATCTCAAGATAGTACACTTCATTAACTTCCGGAACTCTGTTCCAGGAACCGACTTCTGCGGAAAGATTGTGGAATGCCCTGCCCTTGCCGGCTCTGGATTCAAAGTCGGCGACATTGTTGCCGGCCAGACCGTTCCCCACGGAGACCACTTCAACGGGTACGGAGCTCACAAGCCGCGCATCTCTACGGCGCAGGCTGACCTTTTCAAAGTGCCTGCGGGCATGGCCTATTCCGACGCCGCAGCCATAACCACCGTCACTCAGACTGCTAGCGACGCATTGTACAACAACTTCAAACTTCCTCTCCCAGGAAATATCCATGACGTTGTAGAGGGTACGCTGGTCATTTGGGGCGGAGGTACGGCTGTCGGCGTGTCGGCCATCCAGCTGGCTCGTGCCAGCGGTGTGACCAACATCATCACTACGGCATCCCCTTCCCGCCATAATCTTCTACGAGACCTTGGCGCAACGGAATGCTTCGACTATAGGGACGCCGACGTCGCAGAAAAAGTGAAACAATCAGTCATCAAGGCAGGCCATTCCCGGGTCTGGGGGTTTGAAACCGCGGGTTCGCCCGAGTCTTGCCAGCTACTCCTCGATGCCTTGTCCGTAATCCCGGGTGACATACATTTTTCCTGGGTCAACGCCACGAGCGTGCGGCGTCCGTCAAGCGAGTCGGTTCTCGGATCCCGAGGCTACGAAATTGTCTTTGAGGTTCCCAGCGGTCGCCGCGTCATTCCTGCAGAACCTGAAAAGGCTGTTCAAATGTGGGATGCTCTCCGGTGGGCAGTGTCGAATTATGAGAAGGGATTCAAGCTGCCCGTTGTGCGTGTTTTTGAGGGTACGGGAGAAGAGGCGCTCGGAGAGATGGAAACGGTGTCCAAGCAGGGATCTTTTGGGAAGCTGGTGCTGAAGCATCCTCTCCAGTGATATTGAACCCAGGGTTGGTTCCTTTCTGCAGGAGATTCATTCCAGACATGGTCAAAGAAAGTATCTCTGCACAGGAACAAGTTGGCCAAATGAGAACTGCAGAGCAGGCTGCCGAAATTTAACTCCAATAGGATGTGTGCCCACGGGCCAACAATGGGACACTGAGAGTATCATGTATTACAAGGCCAACACATAGAGTCGACGAAAGATTACTATGATGCCGACCTTCTCTCAGCCGATTGTAGTGTCATGTCGTTATTTGCAAGCTTTGACATGATATAAGCCTAAACCTTTTTACTTAGCTTCTTAGCAAGCCATCATCTGTCTACCTTAAGGTATGTGTACAAAGCAGGTGACACGCATCGACGAGACGGCATCAAAAGAAACTTTAGAAGCAGGGATTTAGAATTTCGTAAAGAAATCATCGTCGGCTTCCCACGCCTTACAAGCCCATAGCTCGCCCCAAACCATCTGTCGCAAATGCTTTTCGCTTAGATCCTCGTTTTTGACCTACAAGATATCTGCGCAGAGGTCATTCTCGTCTAGGCCCCCCTGGTCAAACCATGAAGAACGTTATCCCAGACACGCTGGAAAGGCAAGAGGTCGATCCAGGGGTGGTGGAGGACTGTCCGTTATAAGGGTGTAACATATGACAGGTATGCCCATGATTGAAGAGCCCCCTTTTGTTTTCTTTTTCTCCCTGAGATGTACAGAATCAAATCCATGTTGCAAGCATTGATCGAGGCTGTATCCGGCACATAACCTGGATTGTGTGTAACCTCTATATAGGTAGCCGTTGGCCCACTGCGGTATTGGTTCCTGCCCAGAAAGTTAGTCACCGAGCACTTCCCTCGATCGTCAATGGTCTCTACCTTAGGTGGCGGGAAGTTAGCACACTGCCCTTTCATCCGAACTCACTCGCTATCACCCCAACATCTTCAGGCGATCCCGGGCTATATGGGATGCCACCTACCTTAGGTAGATTGATCGCGGTGCAAAGCATATTTGCTGATGTGATGCACATGTCGCAGTATGTAAGGGTATACTTACGAGCAAGTGCTGAAACGTGGACGGGCGAAAATCCCATGGGAATGCGTGCCCTTCAGCAAGGCTGAGCACAAGCAGGTGGGTTTTCTATTAGATCACTGCAGGAGATTGAATCCTACAATATGTCTTGGCCAGTCTCTGTGCTTTACCATTGGATTAGAAGAGAGACCGCAGCATCATCCTTGCCACGGGTGCGAAAAGCGCTCTCGCACTCGCCTAACAGGATAAAATGGGTCCATAAGCGGCCTCCCGGAGCCGGGGCGTCGTTGATCTGCACTGAAGCTCCGTTCAGATGGGCATATATGATCGGAGGCATCCTACTTACATATAAAAAAGTACTAACATGATTCAAAAATTCATTTCCATCAGAGCGGCTGCAATTTCTTTGTCATCGGGTCAAATTGGTCTTGTTCGGTTCCCTTCCACTTGGTCAAGCCTACGCCTCACGATATCAATATTCAAACAACAATGACACGAGTCTTTCGATATCGAGATGGCGTGGCGATCGCTCAAATAGTCGTATTCCTAGTTTACCTATCTTTCGGCATTTTCTTCCGTTTCAAAAAGAAAATGGGCTGGTTCGGCATTTCCTTCATCTCCACAATCCGCATAGTCGGCGCCGGCTGCATGCTCGGCACAATCACCAACGGTTCCAGAGCAGTCTGGGCCGCCATCTTTGTCTGAGAATCCCTGGGCCTCGTGCTCCTCACCTTCGTCTTGCTCGACCTGCTGAAGAGGGTGTAAGTCTCGTCCCCTCCCCTCCCCCTCCCCCTCTCAGTCGTCCAACCGCCCACTATTGTACAAAAAACGGCTCTTCATGCTGACGTTTATCCCCTCAATAGGAATTCGTTCGTCCAGGTCCTGACACAATGGCACTTCCGCATCCCCGAACTCATCTGCTGGGCCGGTCTCGCCATCTCGATTGCCGACTACGCCCTGGCAGCCCAAAAGACGGACAACGCCATGGCCCCCGGCTCGCTCACCAGAGCGGGCGTGGGCCTCTTTGCGGCGCTCTACTTCTGGGGCGTCCTCCTCTTCATGCTCTTGGCGAAGCAGTGGAAGCAAATCCCTCAAGCGGATATGCGGGCGATGATTGGCTTCGCCGGGTGCTTCCCGTTCATGGTCGTCCGGATCTCCTACACGATAGCCTATGTCAGCACCGGGGAGAGGCGGTTCAGCGCGGTCAGCGGCGATAAGACGACGTACTTATTGATGACTTTTTTGATGGAGTTTGCCGTTTTGGGATTTGTGGTGTGGACTATTTGGGGGCTGGATCCGGTGTACAAGCAGCTGGAGAAGGTGCGTGGTCAAGACACGGGTGAGATGGAAGATCTCGTAGAGTCTCATGGGCAGAGATCCTGGCGGTCGGAGCGGAGACTTGATAGTCAGTAGCTTCGCGTAGAATTTTTTTACTTAGTTTGATCGAATCTGGTGTATCTCAGTCAGTACAATATTGGGTCATTTTTCGACCACAAGATATGGCGAAATTGGATTTTACTACAGAACGTTCACATCGAGTAGCAACGTGCAAGAGTAATGGCAAGTCAGTTGTTCCTTTTAACTACCTAGCTAGACCGAACGCCGGTCGCCTGTGGGAATGAAAGACAAAGTCGAGACCTCTTACCTCGGTCGAATTTGATGCTAATGTGCTACCCTGTCTCAAGGGTCTTGATACGTTTTTATTTTGAAGCCAGTTTCTCAAATCTCTCCAGCCTCTTCAGCCTCTCCACTCGTTGCCTCACATCTTTACACGGAATAAGTAGCGGAGACGGACTTGGGCAAGGTCGTACGTGATGTACTCGTTGTACATGAGGTATGCGCCCGGGACATTGGTTGGGCCTGGCGTCACGCTCACGTCGGGCTGCGAAATAATTAGTAATGGATCATTGCGTTGGATTTGGAGTGCAGCTTGTTCTCACCATCTGGACATCTTTGAGGGATGGGTTTACGCAGCCAGCATCCTTCCACTTGCTCGGTCCGGTGTTACCTTGACCCCAAGTGGACCACATGCCGCCCGCCTTTGCAGTATCGCCCGCGTTGTAACTCGCGTTTGTAAGCTTCTGCATCGGGTCTCCAAGCTCGGCCTCACAAAGCAGCAACAACGCCTGGCCGCCTGAGTTATAGGAGGCGCAGTAGTTTGCTGACTTGCTAGACATGTCTGCAAGGTAGATTCCCTTGCCGAACATGTATCCAGAAACCGGGGCCTCAGGAGGGGCGATTCGGAGGCCCTGGCTGAGAATACCACCGTAGTTCGTAACTCGCGAGCCATGCCACAGCAACCTTCGATCAGACTTGATGGACGAGAACTCGCTCTTTTCGAAGCGTTCCACCTCGCCCTGTCGTTCGATCCGGAATATATCCTGTATTTTGTAGCTGTGGCCGTGGGTAGAGCCCTTGGATCCATTCAGGTACTCAGCAAGAAGGGTGAACTCTGGGCTCTTGGGGTCAAGAGGAGTCATCTCCTCCATTCCGAGACCCTGGTACTGTCTGTCGGCGGGGTGGACGTCGTTGTTCTTGCGATCGACCTTCATAAGGTCAGCCGCAACCTTCATGTCGGACAAACTGTCGAGCAAGTCGACTTCCTTCTTCAACATGTTGCCAGAGCCAATGATGGGAGGACGGTTGCGACCGAATGCGTGAGGGATCAGGGAGTAGTACGAGTTCGACAAGTGCTCAGTCGCAGCCGGGACAGTCATGTGGTATTGTGAGTCGGCAAGCGTGCTGTCGTTGAACAGAGCAGCGAGATCTTTGAGCACCTGGAACCCCCTGAGGATGGTGTTCTTGCTGAGCTTTCCAAGGGGCAGCTTGTTGGCATCGTAGTTCATTGAGGTCATGGCCTCGCGGAAGTACTGGTGGTTGAAGATGAGGCTCATCAGGTCCTGCACCGGCTGCGGAAGGGATGATTTGACTGGATCTGGCATATCCTCGTCGTCCTCTTCATCCTTTTTGACGTCGCCGGCCGGGCCCTCATCGTCGTCGCCATCATCATCCGAATCTGGCTCGTAGCTGCGCTCAACAAAGGCATACTTGCCAGGCTTGGGAGGGTCACCGCGCTTCACCCAGGGAAGGCCGCTCTTGTCTTTGAACTTCTTGTCGTAGTTTTTCAAGGCGTCGTCGAGACTACCATTGCCAAGAACAGCACACTGACCAAATTCTCCGACTCTACCCCAGCGGGTCCATGTCTTGAACGTTTTGCCATCTTGTACAAGCTGTGGGATGTTTAGATGACAGCTTCGATTCGGAAAATCAGCTGGCGTGCACATACCTGAACGCGGTAGAATTTGTTGTTATTGTTTGAGGCATTTGTCTGGTTCAGAGATGCGTCGTAGATGACACCATCAGGGGCAATGTAGACAGTTCCCTGGACTTTGCAGCCCTCATCAAGAGGAACAACGATCCCCTTGGACGCAACCTGGGCGTCACCATCGGAAACTTGTTTTTTCACGTCGGTCTTATCGTCAGCATCGTCGGATGCGGCCGCAGAACCAGCAGCTTTCTTTTTGCCCTTGGCACCAGCGGCGGCTTTCTGCTTCTTCACGTCGGGTTTGGCATCGGTATCACTGTCATTGTCAGATTGAGTGTCTGCCTTGACGCGCTTCTTGCCTGCGCCATTGGCCTTGGTCGCGGTGCTGGTTTGAGACTGCGACTGCGGGCCTTTCTGCTGAGACCCATTGGCTTGCGCTGAGGCACCACTCTTCTTCGTGGATCCATTAGTGGCTGCAGCCGGGGTGGCCTTTGCCGTTGCGGACTTGCCGGGCTCAAAGTCGCTCTCAGCGGCCTTGGACCCCTGAGACTCACACTCCTCGGCCCATTCAAGTGTGACGATGAAGATGCCATTCTTCTGGGCGGAAGCGACTTTTGTGGTGACAGCCTTGACTTCCTCTGGTGTCGTGATGAGATGGGTTGTCTTCTTGGTAACTGACTTGGCGATGCTGGCACCGAGGGAGGAGAGCCACGACTCGAGCTCCGTCCGCTTCTTTTCAAAGGTGCCGCTGATGGCAATGACGGTGCCAGCCAATGGTTGAGCCGCAGGGGTAGCGGGAGCAGCGCTTGCAGCTGTTGCAGCTGTCGCAGCTGCTGTTCTCCCCGATCTCCTAGGGGCAGACATTGTGGGCGGGATGTGGAGGTTGTGCAGCGACAGGGAAGAGTGAGAAAAAAGAAGCTTCGGACGTATGACAGGGGGGTCCGTGTAGAGTGGCCGAGTCCAACTGATGGTTGATGAGTGAGTTGAAGAGAAGTGAAGATGAAAGGCGACAGGATGAAAGGGAGTCGAGATGATTTATTTCATTGTGCCTTCTCTGGCTTCCGGTGAGAAAAGATGTCAGCTCATTGCCAGTTGGAGCTACCTTGGCTGGAAGGTACCGACGTCGACGTGCCCATGTCACCTAGGGGAAGGTGCCGCACGCTTTTAGCTCCTTCGGGTCGAACCAACATGGTCCTGCAGGCACCAACGCCGCTGGTGCCTGGCGCACGAGCCACCGCGACTGCTCGAGGACCTCGCGAGTTCACGTGCCGTCCCCACTTCAAGGCTCATTGTTTTTAGAGGGGTTCCTGCCTGGAGTGAGTGCTTGGCTTCATATTTCAGTCCATGTTTGCTACCTAAGGCATATATGGGAGGGGACTCCTCAACATTCCGAATCGCTTCATGCCTAGCCATACCGTTACCATGGTTGACTTCCCTAGGTGGGTCAGCTGCCTGGGGCACCTTGCCTAAGGTAGGTAGATGGTGGACCTCAATACCTAGGCCCAGAACCGGGAGACACCTCGAAGAGCGATTGCATGTCCGATATCACCACACGCAAAACCTCGATCTTCGGCCCTATGGCTCGGCGCCCTCTGCAGCCAATTAGTTTCCCCAGCTGCTCGAAAGGATGCAAATCGCATGACGAACTCGGCTTGGTTGTGACCCTCTGATTCTTTCATTGTCTACCTTACTGAAACATCATTGGATGGAAGTTCTGTGCCTCCCATGCCTCCAGCGCGTCCTCCATATCTTCCGGATAGTAGAAGCCCTCATCCATCATCATTTCTTCTGAATTGAATATAAATTCGTTAGCAATTATGTATTATTTAATCTTCGCTAGGTTCGTCATTCTACTCCTCAGTCTCTGACATGACGTCTGTGTTGATTAGATGACAAGAATCAGAGGAGGGTGCTTCGCATGGGCTGTAGGGCATCGCAATAGTCACTAACCTTGGATCGCATCCAACATGTCGTCGTCCATGTCGTCCATATCTTCTTCGGAGTCTTCGGAGTCTTCTTCGGAGTCTTCTTCGGAGTTGTAGAACTCGGGCGGGATATCCACCATGACTTGCGTGGCCAAGTCCCCTACAAAATGTTTCCAATCAATGCCTGTGTACTCTCGTCTGTCCACCGCCTTGTCAGGTACCCCGTCTGTGGCTTGCACCCAGACTCTCGTGCTCGTCATAGACATGCGCTGAGCAGGACAGCCGACCATGATGTGGTTCAGATCGAGGTCGGGAACGTCGCGCAAGCTCTGAAGAAATTTGGCCCACAAGTTGATCCTGGGGAGGTCGCGTCGCTCGTCGCGATCCCATACTTCAGCTCCTACGCGGGTCCGAAGCGTCACCTTCCATAGCTCTAAATTCCTGAGTGTCGGTGCAAACTTTCGCACAACCTGGAGAAGCCGCTTCGGCTCAACATCCACGAAGCCCAGGTTGATCTCTTCAAGATGAGGAAACGCCACTGGAGCCGGAGGCGGTGGGAGCTGGGTGTCGAAGGGTACAGGAAGAGCCTTGGGGACAGGTGTGCCAAGCCAATCGATGAATTCGTCAACGGCATCCGAATTGTGGCCCGGATGACTAAAGTTCAACCTCAGATGCTTCAGGTTTGGCATATAACCCAAGAAGAGGCGCAGAAGATAGTCGTGCCGACGTCGGCTGCCAGTGCTCGTGTTGTCTGTGAGTGATGTGGTTCGGAAGGGGCCACTTGCTACGTTTACAACGCACATGAAGGTCTCGAGGCCCTCGAGAACGGGCACGACCTTGGGCTTGAGGTACTTGGTGAAGAGGTTGAATGCATCGTCGGAGGGAACGCCTTGCTGGTGGCGGAGCAGCTCAAAGGCTCTGGGACTAGCAGCGGCGTTGCCAAGTGCGGTGAATAGCGTGATGAAGACCTTGTTTGTGTAGGTGACGATCTCCTCAATAGGTATGCGGAGGAGGTCTACCCCTGTCTCCCGCTGGAGCGTGGTGGCGCCGTAGCTCGCCCAAGTGAACTTGAAGCCATCCCGAAACCTCCGTCCGGTAGAGTGGTAGTCACGGATGCCGACGGTTTTGAGGTTTCTGAGGTTCCTGAAAGCTTCGGCAAGCATGGCGACGTCTTGGCCACTGTTGACAAGAGTGTAATGGTCGGATTGGGCTACGCGATAGCGAGTTTCTCTGGCCTCTTCTCCGGGAGCAAAGTAATGGCGTGTGAATGTGTTGAGGCCGATGATAACATGGCCGAGACAGTCGCTCAATCGGGACTTGCTGATGTCGATGAGGGTCTGCAAGCTGAACTCGGTGAGCATGAACTGGCGTTGGGTAAAGAACTCCTTCATAAAGGTATTGAACATGGCCTGCTCGATAGATCTGCACGTCAGGCGGAGGCTTCCCAGTTCTGGAGTTGTTAAATGCTCAGAGATTCGAATGAGAACCTCGAGAGGAATTCTGTTGAAGGGAGAACTGGACTGAGGGTTTGACAGCGCCTCCGCGGTTGGTGTTGGAGGCTCTGATGCCGCCGGTGTAGGCTGGGACATTGTGTGAGGGTGAAAGTAGTGTTCCCAGGGTCTCGCGTGGTCTTGAAGCTGATAATGAGATGAGTTATATTTTCCCTTTATCATTGACGAAATAGGAAGAAATATAGATTCGAGAAACAACGATGTCTGTCAGGTCGAAGGCCGTGATGATCGAGTCCAGTGTATCGCAGCGGGTGGGCCGACCTTCACCCTTCACGGTTGGTTTGGTCCAGGCAGAAGCGGGGAACTTGAAGTGAATTAGGCCTTTCTTCCCCTCATGGGTGTCAATGAGAAGAAGCAAACAGTCGAGGCTGTGACGGCAGTCGCATGGCTCTGGGTGCCTAGGTAATTGAGGTGTTCTCTCGATTGAAGGCAGGGCAGTTGTAGACGGTGAACCGCCGCCTCAGCCTTGCCTCATTCAATCGTAGCCCGTCTACTGGGCCGTCCCTGCCTGATGGTGTCCAATTGTTGGAAAGCGAGGTCCACGGGTACAGTTGGAGAGGTTGCACTTGCCTGATTGTGCGACAGGCGGCGCAGACTGCTTTCCAGTTAGGTTGAGCTTGCCGATTGGTCTATAAGATACCTACCTTAGGTAAGGTAGTCCGTGTTGTAGGGAGTATCGGTACCTTACACACTAAGGCACAGTGGAATGCCACAAGTCTGTGTACACCCCACTAGGTACCTTAGTACCCAACTCTTGCATTTTGACGATCACACGGTAACCAGCTACAGCACTGCCAAATTTATTTTGAATTCGATTAAATTATGATCAAAGAAAGCCCGGAATTTATTTTTCAGTATAGTGTACACTTAATCTATGTTCTCATCCCTACCTCGAGGCAGTGTGGTAAAGACTCAACCAGACTCTGGCGGGGTTTACACAGACTTATGGCATTCCACTGTACCTTAGGGAGCCGCTGGAAAGCTGCTGTAAACTTGTGCGCCTGCCAATGGAGTGACTCTGTGAGTCTCCCAATGAGCAACGCGTGGTGCCTTCCCCCGACGTGTTCGAGAACCCAGGCTGCAGCACACCACAGCACACCTTGCTGGCAGGGGTTCGGATCTGGTCGACCATCACCAGCCACATCTCCCGGGAAGCTCCAATTCATCACTTGTGGCTTGGAACTGGTGGCTCATGCTGTTGGTCCCATCGGCCTGCTCAACTCAGGTAAAGTAGACTTTTCCGTCGTCTTGAATTCGATAGTTCGATGGCGCGCTAACGACCATCTTCAACCGACTGACTCAGTCTCGCTTTCACCCACAACTGACAGGTTTCGCCATTACGCCTCAATCTCTCTTATGCTCTCTTACTATCCAAGGAGTGATACGACCACCTGACAATGCGCATCCCCTATTCACCTGGGAGTCCCGTGCACGATTATACAAAATGGCCGTGGGCAGTGAGTTCAGTGAGAAACCCGTGTGAAGCAGCGAATCACATCACTGCCACGCATGCCACGCATGCCACCAATCAAGCCCCTGAATGATGCTCATAGGGACTACCCAACAGCATCCGGTCTGTTCTCTCGGAATCAACCGGCCAAAGTCGCATTCGGCACAGGAGCCATGTATGTTTGCTTCGGGTGGCTGTTGTTTCCTCCATCCCCCTTTGTTTTTTTTGTCCTTTTTCCTTGTCTCTGACAGGAGATCCGGGTCATCGCGCCGACGTTTGCTCGGAACCGTCGCAGATTGATCACTGCTGACATCCGGCTCCGGCCGGGTGGTTACTTCAACGCAATGTTGCGACAGTCTTGGCAACGAAGCTTAAAAAAAACACACTGCCAATTTCATCACTCCAACTTCGCCCAGCCGCTGGCCTCAACAGATACGCAGGAAGTTCGTCATAGTACGGAGAGGTAAAGGAATTATGTAGTTACACGACCTTCCGGCAGAAATTCCAAAAGACAGGAAAGAACTTGGACGATCATGAAAGATGGCGTAATCGTTATCAAACACCAGGCATCTTTGCAGCTGACCGAGAGAGCTGATCTCTTGGACAGACGTTGGAGGCTCACTCATGCCCATGCAGCGCATGTCGGCTAGAGTCAACGCCGCCTCGCCGAGACTCTCTTCTCGTCTGAGGAGTTTGTCCGGCTGGGCAGGCCGTCATGCTCCATCAATCATCAGTCCGGGAGGCCAACCGAAGAAGCCAGAACATGCAAGACCAACACTCATCCCGAGCTTACATTGATAGTGAGCGCGGGCTGAAGAGTCGCACCCGACGTGGGGCCCATACGTTGAACGGACCTTGAGAAGTTGAGATGAAGGGGTGCAGCGAATACGCACCATGGCACCTTGGCAACGCAACCTGCAGGGCCCCGACGGTGCCCACATCACGCGAAAAATGTGCCAATGGTGGTCTGTGGCTCCTCAAATTCCCTCCAACCATGTCAACTCCAACGGCGTCGAGCTGCGAGCATCTCATCCGGGCTTGGCTCCCAGCAGAAAGGCCAAGGTTATCTCAATCGTCCAAATGTCCAATGAGCCAATATCTTGTTGGCCTCTATTCGCGGCGAAGGCCCCATACAACTCCCGGGGCCGCTTAGAACTGCGGACGGGTCTGGTCTGCTATATGCAAGGTACGGATAGTTTTCTAGTATCCGTACGGAGCGGCGTGGTCTTGCGAGTAGGCCCGCCATATTTCATCTTCTTAAGACGCTGCCAAGACGCTGCCAAGACGCGTGGGCAGGGAGCCTCAACCCACGTTCTCGTCACTGACTGGATCCGGACCTTATTTCTCCATCCTCCGTCCAACATCTCATCCACCTTTTCGCCAGAATTGGCCAAGCAGGCGGAGATGAATCGTTGAGGGGGTGGCATGTCACAATACTTGGCTCATAAACAAGCTCCCACTATGCTGACGACGACCTTGAGATAGCCGCTGGCGTATCCGTCTTGCAAGTCCTGGGCACTGGGCACTGGGCAGAAGCACATCATGCACCTCTTCGACATGGTGGATTTGGTCGACATTTTGCGGGATGTGATGGAAACAAGATGACCATGATGGAGCTCTAGCTCCTGGATATTTTCTGCGCCCCTTGCCCTTCCTCTTGGCAATCCTTTCCACCCTCTGGAGTCCTGGACTCAAGCCCAGTGCCGTTCATTACTCCAATCTGCAAGCCCCTCGCCCTCGCAGCCTCACCATACCGGTCGTGCTCTGCTTAGCTCCCCAATCTGATCATTCTGGTGGTGATGATCAACGAGCGCAACGGCCCCCACTGTCGTTCCTAATCACCCCGACTCATCCAACGCGTCCAACTCATCCCAGAACCCCGTCGATGGATCTTTCGTTGCACTGTCGCACCATGTCCCCCCCGTCGGATGCTCTCCAGCACATATTGAGGCGTCGAACCGGCTTGGATCCGATCTGCAATTAAAAAGAGCTCCCCTCCCCCAACCTTAACCGTCTAAGAGGAAGCTTGGCGACTCAGATCTGGTTCCTTCACACGCTTGCTTCTCTCTCCTGTCGTGATCCCCATCTCGACAAAGTCACTCTTTTGTCCAAAAAGCAAGGCAAAACCATACAATAGCCTGTAATGAAATCCGTTCTCTTCTTCGCGACAGCGGCGGCCGCCGCCGGTCCTTACCTCGCCTGGACCGCCGACTCGTTCACCAAGCACGAGATCGACAACAAGAAGCCTTACCACTACACCAAGGCCGTCCTCTACGATGGCTTCGAGGCCGCCATCGAGCTCACCAAGGACGACGCCCTCGTCGACTGGTACCGCGGCCGCATCGACAACCTCGTCGTCCAGGCCAATGGCAGCATCCTGAACTGGAAGCCCACCACCTACTCCCTAGACGAGTACCGCATCGGCAATAACATTCTCTGGTGGTACGAGCGCACCGGCGAGGAGAAGTACAAGACCGCCGCCAAGATCATCCGCGAGCAGCTGGACCGCCACCCTCGCACCGACGAGGGCGGCTTCTTCCACCGCAGCCCCGACTATGCCTACCAGATGTGGCTTGACGGCATCTTCATGGCCGACAGCTTCTACGCCAAGTGGACCTCCCTCTTCGACAAGGATAACGTCACTGCCTGGAACGACATTGTCAACCAGTTCGACGTAATTGACGCCCACACTCGTAACTACACCACCGGTCTCCTCTACCACGGCTTCGACGAGAAGAAGAAGGCCGTCTGGGCCAACCCGGTCACCGGCGCATCCCCCCTCACCTGGTCCCGCGCCGTCGGCTGGTACGCCGTCGCCCTCCTCGAGGTCATTGAGCTCCTGCCCCGCGGCCACCCCGGCGTCGCCACCCTCTCAAAGTACTTCATCACCCTTGCCGAGGGCCTGAAGAACGCCCAGGACAAGACAGGCGGCTGGTGGCTCATCATGGACTCCCCCTACGTCGGCCGTCCCGGTAACTACATCGAGTCCTCCGCCTCCGCCCTCTTCGTCTTCTCCTGGCTCAAGGGCATCCGCCTCGGCCTCCTCCCCGAGCGCCGCTTCTTCTCCGTCGCCGCCAAGGGCTACCAGGAGCTCACCACCTTTGTCGTCGAGAACGCCAACGGTACCCTCAACTGGAACGGCACCGTCGAGGTCGGCTCCCTCAAGAGCAACGCCAGCTTCGAGTACTACACCTCCGTCCCTATCGCCATGAACGACTACAAGGGCGTCGGCCCCTGGATGTTCGCCTCGTACGAGTGGGAAACCTTCAACAAGACCTCCACCGGCGGCGGCAACCGTCCCCGCGGCCCCAGCCGTGGTGGCCCCCAAGGTCCCCGTGGCCCCCGTGGTCCTCGCACCTTCAACCGCCGCTACCACTTTTAGAGAGAAGAGAGATATCCGGAGACGAAAGACGTGACGGAAGCATACAGCGGACGAGATCAAGAGTCCATGGCCTCAGCGTGCACTTGAATTAAACTTAATTTCTTAATCCGCCCTGTGGGGCCGTCTGTACTTTTTTTTCTCCTTCATTTACATGGACATAGATTCGTTTCCCTCTTCATGATGTGTTTAGCTCGTCTTTGTAATTCGTGATTTTCCGAACTCTCGACTCTGACCGACCCCTCTTGGGCATAAATATTCACTTTGACACTGGCCATGGCACATTTGTCAAAACCTCATTGATCCTAGAGTCGTGTTAGCCAAATTCTCATCACGGACTCTTGGCAACTTACCTTCTCAAACCCTCGGCCACAATATCCTCTTCTTGCGTATACACCAACCGAAAGCGCCCCGGCGCAAGACTATGTTCTTCGCCGGGATGCAGAAACACCCCCTTCTCAACAAACCTCTCGGCCAACGCATACTCCCGCTCGCAGTCCGAGTCAAACTCTTCAGACGCCGGCGGCAACCAGGGCGATAAATCGATAAACACAAAAAACCCAGCGTTGGCTTCAACATACCCCACCCCCATCTCCTTCAGCCTCCCAGTCACAAATTCATAAGCCGCAGCGATGCTCCGCTTCGACTTTTTGATAAATTCGTCATGCCACCCTCGATCCTCAAACATGGCCGTCGCAATCGCAACAGACGGCCCAGCAGGGCTATGAAACCTGACAACGCTCGAGAAAGCCTCGTGAAGCGCCGCATTCCTCGACACCAACGCCCCAAGCCGCATCCCCGAGGACGCAAAGTCCTTGGCCAGGCCGTACTCGACATGCACCAGGTCCGGGTCGATGATGCCCTCCGGGTCGATGGACAGCACCGAAGTGAAGCCCGGCAGCGCCAGCGACTCGGACGACGAAAAGACGGATAATCCGTACACCTCGTCGCTGACAAGATGGATCTTGTGCCGCTCGCAGAACCGCAAGATGGCCACCAGCGTCTCGCGCGGGTAACACCTCCCCAGCGGGTTATTCGGGTTCACAATCATCACCGCCCGGATCCTGATGCCCTTCTCATTAGAACTCCGCAACGCCGCCTCGAACGCGTCAACGACGTCCGGCCGAAAAGTCGTCTCCGGGTCGGTGTCGGCATACACAACCTCCACGCCCATCTCATTTCCAAAATCCAACTCAAAGCGCCCATACACCGGCCGAGAAGTCAACACCCCTTCCCCCGGCGATGCCAGCGAAAACGCAAGAATACACTGCACGGCCGTCGCCCCCGCCGCAAGCTGCACATGCTCCTTGTTCAGCGGCGCGTGGGGATGGAACGTCGCGTTCAGATGCCCCGCCAGCGCGGCGCGGAGCCGGGCGCCGCCGGCGGTGCTGTACCTATACCCAAAAACGTCTGTGGTCAGCGGCACCGTGGCCGCAAAGCCGGCGACGTCGTTGAGCATCAGGGTGTTGCTTGCGCTGCCAAAGGAGATTAGGCCGGCAGGGTCGGAGGCCGAGTAGGTCTGCGCCGGGGCGAAGCGCCAGGGCCGGTGGAGGGCGGATGCCGTTTTTGCGGCGCGGGGGGAGAGCATTGCGCCTGTTGGGGATGTGGTGCAAGTCATTTGTGTACACGTGAGTGTGTGTGTGTGTGTGTGTGTGTGTGTGTGCGGCTTTGAAACGGGGTTTGAGTTCCTATGGGTCCAACTGGGGGCACCAAATAGCTGGATGGTTATGCTGCGAGGAACTTGGTTTGGAGTTGCTAATGTACTTGACAGGGCGCAGCGGAGGAGCAGGCCCGGCCCACCGGCATCCGGCGCGGGGAAGAGGTTATGTTGCGCACCTCTGCGGCCTCCATCATCCACGATTGTCCGGGCTCCACTTTCGGTGATGGTGTGTTGCTTTCAACTTGCGCAAAAGCGCTCATACTCCCACTCCGCTGCACTGCATGCACACTGGACCATTCGCAACAAGAGCCGTCGTATACTATTTACAAGTTTCGAAATTGTGATATGACTACTTTATCCATGAGCTGCGTGGGGGAGCCAGTAATTTGTGTAAAAGGTAAACGTAGCACGGACCTTTAGCCCGGCATGCCCCCACAACCCGCCGCACGGTTGCTGCGCCGGCGCGGCCCGGCAAGCGGTCTCAGCTCCGGCGTACAATCGATGCTCCGGGACGCTACTGCTGACCCCGAGTCGTCTCCATACCTTATCCTATCTCGCTGCTTATCATGTGGGGGCCAGCATCTCAACGGCTGTTTGTCTTCGAATTGCTATTGAAAGAGTTGAATTCAATAAAATTTTATAACATTGATTCCGAAGAATCGAAGGGTTTCCATCCACTGCTGTAACAAATGGCAACTTCTTGGGCAGCACCTACGTGTAGGTGATTCCACACCTTGTACTTTCGCTTCGTTTGGAATTTAACTTGCATCTCGGCTGCAAAACAGCTTGAAGATATCAGACTCAGCGCGAAGGTAAATCTACAAATTTGACAATATCGACAAGTACGTCAAATGCTTGAAAACACAGTGACTCTGGTGAACCGAAGAGGATTGCGTTCTCTATCACACAGCTGCTGATGGAAGGGTTGGAAAAGCTGTGGTAGACTAATCTTAACAGCGGTCATGGATAGTCATTCGTACATCCTAGTGTCTATAATATTCTTTGTTATCAGGCAATTCAAAGCGTACCGCAATATACTCTGGACTCGAGAATATGAAGCTTCCATGAATACCGACATCAACATAACACAGCACATGTCACTTTTGATTATTAGTGGAAGATGTAAACGGCTATGATTCTTTTCAGTTACCCTTTTCGAAACAGATAGACGTCGTAGGACTTGTCTGTCATCATGGCTTCAACTGCCGCATTCACAACGCCTAATTTTCACAAAAAAAAAAAAAAAAAAAAAAGAAGAGCCAACATTAAACTCACGCTGCCACAGCTGATTGCGAGACTAATGTCGTACCCAACTATACATGTGACCGCCACCGCTGTTGCTATTCTATCGATAGCTTCACCCAGATATCTCTAGTCTTTTAGTCACCACATTCAGCTCAGGCTCATCCCCAGCATTGATCAAGGTGCCTGCATGTTCAAAACATGATGATCGATTCTCAAGCGACTTTCACAGTTAGTGGCACCTTCACATCAACGTTTGAAACGGCGCTTGTCGGGTTGGCAGGCTCCTGGGTAGCGTAGAAAGGTTGCGTGAGAACAAGTGAACGGAATACATATAGTCATGAATGCTGACAACACGGGGTGCAATACCCTTTACACCAAGTCCCACTTTCGGCTTTGGCTCCTTGCAGATAGATGAGTTGGGCTTATTCCTATCATGCAAATGTTTGAAAGTAAACTCCTAAGAAGACTGATGTGACTGTCGTATTCTGGGCAGAAATGTCGGGATTCTAGCGCAACATTGGCCAGCTTTCTTAGAGACTCTTTACTTTTGGACGGATCAAGGGCATGGTGTTATTACGGCAAGAAAAGGACAATAGTGACTGTCTAAGAAGACAAGAAGCTGCCACCTCTCAGGGCGGTCCTAGAACCATGGCTGAGAAGACCTAAGATGACACAGCAAGTGGTCACACGGCGGCGAAGCGGCAAGAGGCCTCACATAGGGAGGACAACAAACAGTCACACAACATGCTGACAACGGGGCCGCCAACTGGGTTTTTGCCTGCGCACTAGTGTCGGGAGCGCAGATTAAGCCACGATGGCATATGCAGCCCTAATCCCAGTGGTTCATTAGCAGACGGCATTAATGGCAATCCGGCAGCATTGCATCCAAGGGCCGAAAGTCGAGCGTTGGCTGACGGGTCAAACGCGTTTGTTGTCACCGGCGCGCTGGTTGATCAGCTTCCCAGGCGCCATACCGACCACGTGTTGATACAACCTGGTCTTGATCATACCTGGCTGCTCCCACACAAGAACCGGTGTACCTATTCTGAGGCATGGCCGAATCTTTTCGGCCCAGGTAGACACCATCTATTGTCCTCCACCTCCGCCGATACTATGTCCAAGGCACGACACGCGCAGGTTGTATCCGTACAGAGAAGTAGCCAGTGTGGCCTCACGAGTGGAATCGAAAGGAGAATAAACAAGCTGAAAGGGCAGTGGGAATGCAGCACATGAGTCGCCGGGACCGGTGGCGGTTGGGGCTCAATAGGCGGGCGGGAGGCGGGAGTGGATGCAAGATGGACATGGGGGCAGCGGAGCGATTGGGGTCCTGAGGTTGAGACGAACAAGAGTGGTTGACTGGCGAATCTGACGTGCATGAGACGAGCGATCTGTAGGCGGCCAGAACCGGGATGGAGAGGTATTTTGGTACCATCGTTGGTGCCATCGAGGGGTTGGCAGGCGGCAGTGGTACGGGATCAATGTGATACCAGTCTGGCGGCGCGGAGTGGCTGGATCTACCCAGCTGCGTGGTAGAGGCCATTTTAAGAGGCCGAAAGTCCCGCTCTGAACGTTGTGGTTGAAACGAAGTGCGTGATATCGGGATTGGCCAGTCCAATTTTGTTGTCGAGGTGCGTTCTATACGAGAAGCTGGTGAATCAGAACCGGGGCGCCTAGTTTTCAGCAGGATATAATCCAAGCGTTGCAGGATGGACCAATGTCAAGGCCGAATAGTCCAATCCTGGTAATTGACACTTCGCACGGCGGAAACGAGGACGGCTGGACGCTGGTAGCGGACGAGCACAAGATCGTGGAGGTTTTTTGTGCGGCGCTGAACGGGAACAACAAAGTCGTACACGATGCAGCAAAGGAAGTGGGCAGGGAGATGGAATGCAACCCATCCGGCGCGCGGGTAGACAACCTGACCCGTTTTGCGGTGTGGCATTCGGGTCGAATTCGGGAGACGGTCTGCCGGCGGGGTCTGGACGGTTTGGGGCAACGGCTGGGCTGGCCGCTGGCGGTACCTCAGAAGCTGCAGGAGACTGGTAATCGACGATTGGCTCTAGGAGGCTGGAGTTGTTGATGGTGTAGCGGACAGGGTGGGTTGATGCTGGTTGAAGCTGGCTGGGTTGGCCAAGGGGGCCGATTAGGGCCCTGTGATGCGTTGGCATGGCGTGCCAGCTCTCGTGGACGACGCAGATTGGACGGCGGGTGACCGGGGTGGGGGGGGGGTGGGGGCACTGCACTGGATGCCGGGTGTCTCGAGCGGGCAAGCCGTGAGGGATTGAGCAAGGGGGGAAGGCCACCCTCTCACTCCTCTCTCTCTGTAGGTGTATTGGAGCATGTAAAACAACAGGGCCAAAGGCTATGCATGCCAACTCATCAAGGCGGCCAGAAGCAGAGGTGAATTTGTTCATGTTGCTTCCACTCTCATTGCCTCCCCTCCCCCGTGCTTGTGCGCCGTGCCGCTGTCGCTGCATTCACTGGCCCCATCGGTATGCGCGCTGATTTGTCCGACATTTGTTGGGGATTTGGGGCGATACGGGAGACGCTGATGAGGTGGACAGCATGGCATGGGCGGTCGCTGTAACGGGAATCATGTTGCAGACCGCTTCTCTTCTGGGCGCCCGACAAGACACATATGCCGCGAAGAAGGTGTATTATCGGTGGGCATGAAGCAGATGCTGGCGGCAAGAGTCGGGCGGCGGCGGACGGTGGTGTTCTCTGCAAGGCAATGCTCGATGCATACTCGGTATCGCGGGCGAATGGTTGTTCAGTACGTATTCTTCAAGTGACAGATGTGTCCGACGTGGTACGCCGAGCATCGACGCACGAGGGCGGCGGCTCGTGTCGGAGAACAGGTGATAAGGCGAACATCAACTCAATCGGGTCTTTGTGCGCGTGCGCCAGTGTCGCGTCTGTGTATCGCGGGCCTCAAGAGCGAGGGTTCCCGACGCAACCCGGCCAGGAACTTGCCCAGAGGTGGTAAGTCGTGTTCTCCATAGCTAATGGCTAGCTTGTGACGACTGGAGCTGAGCTAGGGGGATATGACGATGACGATGCCAAAGTCAATCAGGAGCAATGTCATGCAGTGGCCGTGGTTGGCTGTACTTGGTGGTCTGGCGATCCCGGTTCTGATTGAATTTGGGCTTCAGCTTGATTTGATGACTTTCATAGGTATCCCCGGCAGCACCAGCCGAAGCTGATGGTTTTGAACTAGATACCTAGGCAGTCCTAGACTCCTAGATGCCTAGGTAGGCACTGGCCTGTTGCTTTCATTGGATATTGTTTGTGTGGCAAGCGAATCGACATGGAGAAGACCAAAACAAAAGCAACGATGGCTTCGACCGGGACGGGGGTGTTTATTCTCGTGCGTTGGCTGACAACGTCTTTTTCGTCCCATGTTTTTGAACCCGTTAAGGTAGTTAGTTACCCTATACTACCTTACCTTGGGTACCTTCGGCCAAATGGACCGCATTTGCATTTTGTGTGAAGTGGCAGGTGGGAGAGGCGTGCCCCGTCCGTTCCTTCTAGCTTCGCTCGGACTAGCTCCATCCCTCCTGAGTGTTTCCTTCTTCCCCTCCAGCCTTTTTACCCCACGCTTGCCCGCCGCCTCGTCAGTTTCCATGCGATGAATAAAGCAAGAACGATGAGAGGCATGTTGTCGGTACTTGAAAGTCGAAGGAAGGCGTGAAGTTGGGTCAGAGACACGTAAGGTACCTTGCACCACCCGCAACTGACGCCAGGGTGGCTGAACCTGACCGAGTTGGATGTGAGCATTCAGACCTTCCCTCAAATGCTCTTGGACGCATATAAGTCATCATCTGACTGCAATGTTTTGCAGCGTGTGTGCGAGCGGCAATGTGTGGCCATCCTTGTCAGCAGTTCGCCCCCTCCTTTTCTGCTCTCGCTCATTGCTGGAGGATCGTTCAGCGGTTCGCAGCTACAGGGAAGCAGCCGCTGGAGCACAAGTCCAAATCTTGGGTCTGCCCTGCTTTGGTCTGTTGCGGCTTGCCCTTGCTTGCCACGCACTACAGATAGGTTCTCCGTACGCGTCTCACGCAGCAAACCCACGTCTTCTCGCTCGTCTTCTTAGGACTTGGGTTCCTGTCCCAACCGCTGGCTTGATGTTGTTCCTGCCCTTCCATCTTTCTCCCGGCCTGTTGTTTGGGTCGGTACCGGCCCAGCCAGTCGGACATGGCCGTGGACGTGGAGTCTCCCTGCCGGCACCTCAAGGCTCACCCACGCCCAGCTCCAATGCCTGTCACTCGCAGCAGCAGCTCTCACCTCAGCGTGAGGTACCCGATACCCAAGTAGCCGGGGAACAACTGCATGGGACTTGCAATAAGTCCACGTTCATGCCTTGCTGTCCTCGTCTCTTTCCATGTTGTGTGTAGGTTGTATACAGATACCTCCTCTCCCCCCTCAAGGAACCTACCTACCTTACTCTAGCGTACTATCTGTAGGAGGTAGACGCCCGGATGCCCACGGTACCTTAAGGTAAGGTAGATAGATCACTTCAGATACCTAGGTATTTCAAGGCTCGGGGAACGTACCTGACCCGACCAGCCCACCCCCTCGTGTCGTGCCTGGTCTTGCCTTCCTTGCCTTGCTGTGCCTTCCTCGCCTTGCGACCCTTGCCTTCCTTTCTTGTCCCGTCCCTTCCTCCCGCAATACCTTAAACCACGACCAAACCTCGTCGGCCATCGCCTTGCTTGGCTTTCCGATTTTGTTCCTCCCCTTTATTTTTTTTTTTACCATAGAATTTCTTCTCGCGTACCTCACAGAATAAACATATCGACAAGGCAGTGAAAACACATCCTCCACACCACGACCTACACCACACTTCATGAGGCACTGGCATTGCGCCGACCTCTTCCGAGTACTTCCCCTTGTCCCCGTCCTCCTCTCCCGCCCTGTATCGTTGAGTCTGCCCCGCTCCAGCTCCAACAGATATCGATACCCGCTTGCGCCCATCGCCAACAGCGCACAATCGACGAAATCACGCGGTCGCGACAGCACAGCTTCCAGCTTGTTCGAGAGCTGCTGCTGAGGCTGCTCGCTCTCTCTTGGATTTTCATCCTCATGGTCCCATTATGATTTCCATGCAGCGTTCCCTCTCCTCGCCAGTCCGCGTAGTCTCTGCCCGTACGTCCCACCAACATTCTCACCCACAAAGCCTCTGTTCTAGCCTGCCATTTCCTTCCCTACCTGATGGTACTGACTGTTTTATGTTTGCGCGCCATAGCAGCCTCTCAAGATGACGCGAACCAGCCCCGATCCTCGAATCCTCCTTCCGAAACGTACAACACGTCCTTCAGATCCCGTCGCCAGAGGTCTCCAAGCCCTCTCCGAGGCGCCGAGGCCGTAACCTTGCCTGTCCGTCGTAGCGAAGACACACCGAGGAGACCCGCCTCTCGGTCGCACCAGAAGCCCGTGATTGCCCAAGCGTCAACTCCCACTGCCACTTCGCCCGTAAAGGCCACAATGGATTCTTCGTCCGATACGGCCCTCGTCTCGGCCGCGGGAACGGCCTCCTCGCCTTCGTTTCCCCAGGCCCTCCTCCCAGATCCATCCATGTACACAAATCCTCACCTGGCGCCCGAACCTGATACAACGACCCTCGAGGAGCTCGCCCATTTGGTTAGACTGGCCAAGTACCAGGAGCGCAAGCGCGCCAATACACGCATACGCCTGCAGAGAAACCTCATCTCCACGGCCTTGTCAGCTCGCTTAAACCGCTGTGGTGAGAATGCCCGGAAGAACTTGGTAGACTGCTTTCGTTCCGATGACAAGAAGACCTTTGCTTCTCTGTTCAACGCCATTCACGATGTGCGCAAGAGCTGCGATGAGCTACGCAGGTATGCTCTGTTGGAACCCGAGATGGACTCCCTCCAGTCTCCTGCCCTGGCGTCGTCGGAAAGCCTGGACACGCCGCCAAAATCGACCTCGGGGTCCAGTTCCCTTGGATCCATGACCCCTTTTCTCTGCGAGCTGCCCGCCTCTGTTCGGGAAATCTTCCTCAACTTTCTAAACCAGATCAGGACAAACCCGGACTACTTGGCCACAAGATTGTGTTCTCTAACCCCTACAGAACTGAATGTCTTTACCGGATTGCATCAGGGTTTGGAGCCTGTAGAATCTGTTCTGCCCTACCACGGCCGTCCCACAGCCAGGAGTCACGCCGGTGGTCCAAGTAGTCGAGCACCCGCTCATTCCCCAAATGCCATCGAGCGCTTGTTGTCGTTTCAGCGACACGATCCCCTGTCAGCCCTGGTCCACACCTGCTTCGCCAACTCAGCTGGTCCTGACAGCGCCGAGGATCGACGTCGAACCGAGATATGGGGAACAGCTCTAGCAAGACTGATTACTGAATCCAAGGCCAGCAGCGAGCCCATGCTGATATCCGTGCTCAATGTTTGGACCGCCATGCGCGACTGGTCCGGAAAGTCCAGCATGGAATGGTACCTGATGAAAATACTCGAGGATGGCGCCTTTCTCTTGGACAAGGCCGAGGATCAACATGGCACCAGATTCAATCTCGCGGATTGGACAGCCAAGGATAGTATTGCGGCTGAGGAGTTCTATGACAGGGCCGTCAATGAGCTCTTCGAGATCATCGACGACGAGGATGCGACTGGTATTCCTGAAGGTCTCATCGAGCTGGGCAATGCTATTCTGAAGAAGCTGGACAACAAGCTCGTCGATGGCACTCGAAACTGGTTTGTTTACAAATGGCTCTTCTCTGTTTTCCTCCTTGGTGTTGTCATTCATCCGGAAACCCATGGACTTATGGGCGATTACCATATCACCGAGTATGGCCGACAGAAGATCCTGAAGCAGGTCGCCATGCGAGCGCAGCAACTCGTTGTCGAGATGACCTGGAACAAGAAGGGAACTGTTTCGACACCGCCCAACATCCAGGGACATATAGAGAGTATATTGAATCGTTTCAAACGAAACCGATCTCAGAGACCTCCAGCGAAGCTGCTCCCGGCCCGTTCAATTACATCACTTCGAGAAACAGTCGAAGTTCATCCTTACCTCGTTGTGAGTCCGGCCGACCTTGTCACCCTGGTCAATGCCTTGTTCCCGGAGCGGCGGCCCATGTCAGCTCAGTCCAGCGGACTGAGATCCGGGGCGCCTTCCATCTCTGGATTTTCAGCGATATCGCAGCCCATCTCGATGGGAGCCGCGCGAAGCAATTTTGATACAGCATCGATCCTCAGCACCAGTGCCTCGTCTGTTCTCAGCGATGCCACGACGTCCAGGGAAACGAATGTGGATGAGCAAAGAACCGGCTCACCTCAGCGGTACTCGCCACCCGTGTTAGATCCACTGGCACAGCGACGCCTTAGCAACTACGAGGATGATGGGTATCGTCTTCGCTTCGCCCTCCGAGAAATGGGCGCTCAGGTCGGCATGGATGTTGTCCAAGGCTCGTGCCATCCGTGTGCCGAACGATGGGCTGTGCTGTTCATCTCCGCAGACGGCAACAGCCTGTCAAGCCAGATGACTTACGATCCGGATGAAGATGTCGAAGACGAGGATCATTCCTCCACTAGCGAGACTGACGATGACGAGATTGATGAGAAGCCTGAGCTTGATAAGGACTATCATCAGCTGCGAGATTCGATACTGAAGCTTGTCGAGGATTTCGAGATCCCAGCGAGCATTGAGCCGGAGGCAACAAGGGCGCAGTTCAGCAATCGGGCGACTGGCATCAAAAAGTACCGATCCAAGAACAAGATCATCACTGCTGAAAAGTCCTCTCCAAGCCGAAACCCTTACCGCAGACGCGACGTCGAGGCACAAGCGGGTGCCGCGGCTGATTATTCACAAGACAAGGACGATTCATCGGTTAACGCGGCAGAGAAGATACAGGAGACAGATCCGGAGCCGTCCTCGGTTCTAATCGCCATGCTTACCGCTGCTTCAGCTCAGTCGCGAGCGCAAGCAGACTTCGTGTCAGCCCATCTCTATTGGAAGACGCTACAGCAGCTTAATGCACTCAGTTCAGGGTCGCTGAGGCGCAATGGGTTTGCCATACTTCTGAACATTTTCTCGCGTGGACCACGCGATTCAATACGCCGCTGTGCTTCGGCCATTGAGGAGTACGACGCTTGGCTCGTCTGGCTCAAGCAAAGCCAGGAACGACACGAGGGGCTCATTGACGCCATGATGAAACGCCTCCGAGCTCTTCGTGACAAGATGTGGTAT